CACGCCAACTCGACTTTCGGGTTATTTCTGGTGTTAACATCCTAGAAGTTGACCCCCAAGTCCGGGTCTCACTATACGCCCCCTTTGTCGGCAGAGTGTTCACCGCGCTTCGCCACAAAAGTTACACTGTTTGGCGTTTGTCCCTTGTGACCGACCCACTGCCTGTTTTGCGTGGCATCAGAGGTATGCTAGGCCCTTACAGGCTATTGCTTGTTAAGGAAAAAATCGGAACGCTGACCATTAGTGGAAATGAAGTGGAACTGGGGTCGCGGAGGAAAAGGACAATCGCGATATGGCGATGTCGGAGGGAGGTCGTATTCGGGTTGCGTTGCCTCCAGTTGGATAAGTATGCAACCCCTGCAACTTCTACGTGCCTGCACGGCTGTCCTGCCAACTCATGAGTGGCTTTTGGTGGCTTGCGTGGACCACCAAAAATTCGAAGTTGAGCGATTCATCTCCGGTGGTTGATCGCTGCGGTGGAGAATCTACTATGAAACATTTGCGCAAGGTCAGTAGAGCAACAAGAGTATCCGATCATGCGTGTAGGACTCGTTGCTAGCAGACGCATCGTGTTAAGCTCAATAAAAGGAGAAGTTAGCTAACTTACAGAGGTTTCTAGCTGCAGTGATGCCCCTGATAGATTCGCTGTAACATCTCTTTAACCTGGAGGCCTTCGCGGATTTGCGTGCTACAATCCAGGTACTTAAAGACAAATAGGATCTCGGACGGCCTACACCGCATGACGGTAGGGACGAACGCGGCTCCGACGATGGAGAGACCTTGAAGCCAAAGGAGAGTGCTGTTAAAGTTGGGTAATTTATGCCGATCAATTCCGAGCGCGGTGAAAATGTAAGTATAGTACCGACTCGACAGATGCGACGGAGGAGCTACCTACAGATTATTTCGATGCAGTGGATGGAAAATCTCTGAACTTTTGTAGTACTGCAGTAATAGTAGTAATATTACTACTATAGTGCTGTTTTTCATCGAAGGTGAACATGGACGGAGGATGCGTCGCGTGTGGGAAGGACAGCTTGCTGATACTCCTCGTCAGTCACAACGGGGAAACCGTACTTGACACTGTGGTCTACAAGACGGTTACGCTTCTCGACGGTGAGCGTACAACCTGTGGGGTATGTAGGGAATGTGTAGAGATTACTAGGAACAATGCCACGCGTGCAGCAATCGCTCGAGCACGTTCATGACCGTCTTTTCCTCCACCTTGTCCTTGGATAATATGGCCCAAGTTTGGAGCGAATTCGTCCTACGATCCATGGTTCTTGGGAACTTGATTCGGCAACCGTGTAGCTGAAGGCTGTGAGTATTCGTAACCAAGTACCCGATTTTTGCATTATCCTAAATAGTATTTACAAATTAAAAATATCATAATCATTTTACTAATATTATAATTTACTTGCATTTTTAAACTAGAATTTCCAAAAATATAATTTTACATTTCTAATTTTTTTTACTAAAATGGGAAAATAATTTTTTTCGGAAATTCTAAGATAGGGATCGCGGCTGCTGAATCGGGACAATTGGCAGAAAATCAATTTCTTAAAATCTGACTCTTGAGTCAAAACTACTATTGTTTGACAAAGTACTATACTACAAGTTTTAGCAAATCAGAATTACCATTGCGGCCGTTATTGCTTCAAGTATTCCGGCCAATCAGAGAATGCTACAAGCGATATTGAAGGTCCACTCCCGCGATTGGCCAAAACCCAAACTAACGTGCTGTGATTGGCAAAAATGTGATACTGCCAGATGCTCACTGAGTTTCTGCAACACAATCATTCTTGCATCACAAGTTGCGACGCCCATGGCTGGACGACGTCCAGGCCGGCGAACTCGTCGTAAATGCGCTGGGAGACGATGAGTGTGTCGCCGACTGTCGTGGTTGGATACGGCTCGCGGCTGAGCTGCCACTTGAGCTCGAACGCGATGCGAGCCTTCTTCACCACGTCCTTGTTAATTTTGCGCCCTTGTGTATAAGACTGGCAGACTTCTCCGAACCACATGCGCCAACGCGGTAAGTAGTAGCCTTTGACGAGGCCAGCCCACTCCTTGCCTGCGTAGTCGTGAATTGCCTCGGAGTTGTTGTCGCCCCAGCGCGTCACTTGGTTGCGAGCTTCGTACTCGTAATAATCTTGAAGGTTACTCGAGTCGATAGTCTCAATATCTTCCGCAAGTGCCCGCGCATCTGCGATCCAGTTACCAAGTAGAAAATCTTCGTTCGTTGCCAAAATCTCGTCTAGCCGTTCGATCGTGATGAGCATGCGCTCTGTCCAAGCGCACACTTGATCCGCTGGCCGCTTTCTCCCTTCGTACATATCTTTCAATTGAAGATACTGAGCCATGAAGTGGTCACTCAAAAATTGGCGTGTAACATCGACCAAATCGTGGCGGTAGGTGTCCACAGCGTGCAGTTCCGATCCAGCAAGTAGCAGCTCCTTCCAGGCACGGGTTACATCCATTGGGTCATACGTTATTGATGTCGGCATGAATCCGTCCCGGACGAGTTTCCAGTGTGGTATTAAACACACCAAGCTCTTGGTTACGCCACCAAAGCCCAGTGTACGGTTGTACACCGACTGCAAAAGAAACCCCCATGCTCGTTCAGTATGTGCATCCAGCGAGTGATACCTCTGCGCCGCAAAGCTGGGAATCCACTCGTCCATATTGAGTGGAGTATCCACCCACGCCATCTGCAATGTGAGGTCGTAAACGACGTAGTTCTGGTAAATGCCTTCCATTGTCAAGCCCACACCGATCATAGTCCCATTGCTGTCACGGTTCGCTAGTACAGGTGCTGTGCCGAGAGTTGGCAAGTCTCCTCGCATCCCAGTGTTACCACCAAAGTTGTGCAGCACGCAGTAAATCCAACTTTTGCCGAAGTAGTTGTCCATTTTGTTCCACACCGGTCGAACTTCACTGTACAGGTCGAGAATGATCATCTTGTCGTCTGGTACACCGTCCAGATATGCCTTAACACGCTCTTTGGTCCAGTAGTCAGGACTGTTCTCAAAGAGCCACCCTTGGATAAGCCACACTGCATTGCGATCCGCAGCCGTCATACTGTCAATGACAGCACGTGATGCAGCCTGAAGCTTTGCCGGGTCAGTGAAGTCCGGATCCATTTCGTTGTATGTGTCGCACTGGTACAGTGAAGACGTGTAGTCGTACAGTGCGCGCTGCTCCTCAAGGAAAGTTTTACCGATGTCATAATATAATGGATCTGAGGAATCCAGCATGTACACACAGCAGAATTCGTCGGAAAAGTTGCCCCAATTGGGCGAACGCGTGAACTTTGCATTCGGGAACAAGACCTTTATCTCTTCCGGGACGTGACCAGCGAACGCCGGCAAAGCTGGTATCATACCGAACTCACGCATGCGGCTCAGGATCTTGAGTTGTAAAGCATGCTGACTGTCAATGAAAGCTTGTGGAAGTGGACCTTTGACCCAACTACCCCGCAAGTTACCCATGCGACCCCATGCCAAAAATGCTGAACCTGCGAAGAACTTGTTGAGCCCGGCAGAGCTCACGTTGTAGTGTTTCTGGAAGGTGTTTTGCCACACTTTCTCCTGCCCTGTAAACGCCAGAGGCATATTGATACCTGTGTTTAAAACAATATGTCAGTTTGTGCAACTTCATTTGGCTTGAAAAGGTTACGACGTACCGTTGAGTGCCATCCAGTCGATGTGCTTCTCCCATTGCGTCCACCCCCATGTCCACGATGAGTAGCTCACAGTGCAGACGTTCTGATAGTACGAGAACTTGGCGCTGCGTTTGTGCCGCGCGTGTTGTTTTACCTTGGGTAGCACGTAAGGAAGCTGTAGCTTGTGGTTGTCCCAGTCCGTTTGCGTGTGCAGCACCGTCTTCAAGTACCATTGCAGGCCGTACGCCATGGCGGTGGCCGAGTTGGCAGCAATTTCAAGCTTGTCACCGTCACTTCCCAGCTCGAATACGTCCAGACCATCGGATTCTGACGGAAGTACACGGAGCGAGATCTAAATTGCATGAAATTGCGAGATTTAATCCACGTATCAATGGGATCGTGCGGCGTATGACCAACCTGATCATTGAAGCGAGCCCCAAGCCGGCGATGGATGAGGCCACGCGTGGCTGCCACCACATCATGGTCATCTGCATTCTGTTTGAGTGCATCGATGGAGGAGCTGGCAGCTAATGGCAGCAGCAGCGCTGTGAGAAGGAGGGAGATTCGGCGCGATATCATCTTGGGCGAATCTCCAAATTGAAGTCGACTCAGATTTCAATTTAGTAGATGGGCGTAATATTCCGTCGGCTGTTTTGCGACAAAAAAGTAAGTCCGAACATAAAAGTAGGTCCGATCAGCCAGGTGACGTCACAAAACAACGGCAAAAACGAGAAGCAACAGAGCAGACACTTTCAAGAACACCCAGTGGCCGACAGCACCATGTCCTTGCGTAAGCGCCGCTCCAGCCCCGACGGCGGCAACCCCGAGAAAATGCCGGCCCCTCCGCCACCCGCTCCTAAAACCGGCGGACTCACCAAGTTCATGACGCGCGTCATCGTGGGCTTTGCAATGATCGGCGGCTTTATTGCCATCGTATACGGCGGTCACATGTACGTCTGGGGGCTCGTGGTCGTGCTGCAGACGCTGATCTTCCGCGAGCTAGTGAACGTGCGCTACCGGGCCGCAGCCGAGAAGAATATCCCGTGGTTCCGCTCGGTGCAGTGGATGTGGTTCGTTGTGGCGCTTTTCTACAATTATGGAGACTCACTCGGCGCCTTCATCGAGAGCAGCAAGATCCGCTTCGTGCCACCTGCCATCGTGCATTATCTGCGGTATCACACGTGGGTCTCGTTCACCATGTACGCGATGCTCTTCGTCATGTCGGTGCTAAGTCTCAAGAAGGGTGCGTACAGTTGTTGTTGGTTGTTCAGTCGTGCAGTTGCTTCGTCAGTTCAACTGTCCGATTGCAACTGCCAAAATGCTGATTAATTTCTGTTGACGGAATGATGGTGTTGTGACTAAATGGATAGGATACTACAAGTACCAGATGGGTACGGTGCAAGCATCTTGCAGTTGTTCGCTGAAGCGTGAAGACTAACAATGCTGTGTATGTAGGTCAATACACGTGGACTATTGTGACGCTGGGCCTGATCGTTTTCCAGATGAAATATGTGCTCACCAACATCTTCAACGGTATGATTGCGGCTGCGTGGTTCTGTTGCACTCTCCGGTGGCTTAATGCATGTGATTGCCTGCAGGTCTCTTCTGGTTTCTGTTCCCGGTTTCGCTTGTGATCTGCAACGACTGCTTTGCATTCTTCTGCGGAAAGCTGTTTGGCCGCAAGTTCATCAAGACGCCGTTCCTGCGGTTGTCGCCAAACAAGACGTGGGAGGGCTTCATTGGTGCTTTTATCTGCACTGTGATCTACGCATTCTTCTCTAGCGCTTTCATCTCGCAGGTAGGCAGTGATGAATACGGCGTGCAATTAATGGTGTGTTGCGTATCAGTGCATTGATTAATCTGCGGCTTGTTATTTCCTGACAGTTTTCATGGTTAACCTGCCCAGTGGAGAGCTTTGAGGTGCGAACTCTTGGATTGCATCGAGTTTGCGTTGATTTACATGCAGCTAACGCTCTTTTGCTGCAGTTTAAGCTGATTCCCGACCCGCTCACGTGCATTCCGCATGACGTGTTCCTTCCGCACTTCTACGATGTACCGGTGTCCATTGCGCGTATCATTGGGCAGAGCCAAATCCAGCTTCTTCCGATTCAGGTTTGTTATGATGAGTCTGTACTTGAATTATCGCCTGCGCTCAGATATGTCGTGTTTGCCTATTTGCAGCTCCATTCCTTCTGGTTTGCGATCTTCGCTTCGGTTGTATCACCTTTCGGAGGATTCTACGCGTCTGCTATCAAGCGCACATACAAGCTGAAGGACTTCGACTCTGTCATTCCAGGTCACGGTGGCGTCATGGACCGGATGGACTGCCAGCTAATCACGAACTGCTTCACGACGGTCTACTTCAACACCTTCATCCGGTCTGCCTCGAGTGATTTTTTGTGGGATGAGTGGTGAATTGCTGATTTTTTGTTATTGTTGCAGTTCGCCGACGCCGTCCGTGGCAATGATTCTCAACCTTGTGTCGCAATTGACAGTCAACCAGAAGCAAGATGTGCTGCGAGCCATCCAAGAGATGCTTGAAGGTTAAGAACACTATCCTCGTAGTTACGCAGCCATCTCAATTGGCTGCTTAGAAGAACAGGAAGAAAAACAAGCAGGTTGCATGCCGTTTTGTGAACAATTGACTATCTTTACTTTCTTCAAGATATTCGTTTCGGTTTGTTAGTGCCATTCGACATCTTTTTCTCTTTGATTTCCCAATCATGCCCAACGAATTGGTAGACGAGCGCTTTAGCCTGCGCGTACGGAACTTACCGGCTGTGCTGTCCACCGAGGCAATCACATCGCTACTCTCGCACTACGGTGCTACTCGCGTCCGTGTGCTGAAACGGAGAGTATGTCACGTTCTTGCCGAATAAATGTTGCGGTGTATCACAGCTCACAATGTTTGATGCTGTGTGTTTTAAGCAGAATGCAGCGTCAAGCGGCAAAGAACCCGGTGCAGATCCACCCAAGAACCTTCAAAAGGCTGTTGCAATATTTGCAACTCGCGAAGCTCAACAGAACGCGCAGAAGCGACTGCATTCGCTGGAATTGGCTGGCCACCGTATGCTGGTGGAAACGGTTGGCGATGAAGCTGCAGCCACGCCGATTGAGACGAAACCAGAGGCCAGGAAGACAGGGGGCAATGCATCCATAAGTTATCCGCCACCGTTGCCTAAAGGTGTGCCTCCACCGTTGCCACCGACGCCGGATCCTCTGCAGAATCGTCTCTATGCCCCGGCGCCGTTGGCTCCGCACCTCGGGTAAGATATTACCGCTGCAAGTAGTGCTACCGAAGATATGAGCTCTTACTATTGCGTCGTGTGGTATGAAAGTTTGAATTACGCACCGTCCCCATTGCTCGAGTATAAGTATCCCAGGGCAACTGAGAGTATTGTGCGCAATATCGCTAATGGTTCGTGATGCTGTGGATACCGTGCGATGTGATTGATAAGGCTTGACTGACATAAGGATGCTGCTTGTTTTTGGTGGAGCAGCACTAATTGCATTACCCCGATTTTATACTCAAGTACTTCATCTCATGAACAAGATGAATCTACCTCCACCATTTGAAGAAGATACGATTCCAGGGAGATTTTCGGTGAAGCAAGATGAAACGGAAGGAACCCAGGGCAATCAATTAAAGCGCCGTAGAATTGATCACAGTTTACCGCCACAGATTGTCGAAGAAGATGACGATGATGAACAGGATGAGGAGAATACAGACGCAACTGGAAGCGTCGAGGCCCACCCACAACCAACAGAATCCAGAGAGGTTGCCAACAAGAGTGACCATAAGCGATCGGATCAAGGTAATGACTCACTGCCGGTGCTTATCGGAAAACCCTTGGCACGACAGAACAAATTGATATCGACCAAAATGAGTGCTACATTCAGCACAGCATTTGAAATTGGAACCGATAATCGAAACCACCAAGAAGTGCAACAATCGACTCGCCTGGGTGTGATTTCAGAGAATGAGGTGAATCGACAACGACTAGCACCTGAAGGTAAGGTTTGTGTGTGCTTTGAAGAAATGTAGCTGCTGGCTTAATTCTTCTTTTGTGCTAACAGAGTTACTGAAGGAACCGTTTATGGAATCCTACGTCCGTGGATTACCATCGAACAGCATTATGGTGAAGAACATCGCACGCGGGGTGGATGAGAAAGACTTACGCTATGTATTCGGCTACGTTTTGCCGACGGATATGGCACTGGAGTGCGTGCTATTACCACAACTTGAAGGTTAAAGTAATCCTATTGACCGTGAATGCTATGACTTGTTTTGCTAGGTCGATGAAGCTTACGCTACTGCCAGCGAAGGGGTTAGCTCTAATCGATTACCCCAACGAAGAGGTGGCAACAGCAGCGGTTAATGATCTACATGGCGTTCAACTAGAAGGAAAGACGCTGATTGTGGTACGCACTATAGTTGACGAATCATTCCTGCAGATTATTTGATTCTCACGAAAATATGCTTCATATTACGTAGAGTTTTCACAACACTTCAGGAGACTCGATAGTCCCTACCGTACAACGTTGGACATTGGAAGAGTTGGCAAGCAAGCGCTTAGACAAAGCACAAATTGCTTCAGAGAAGGTCATGAAGAAATATCAGGTCGGCGAGCCTTCAAACTCACTTTACGTGAAGAACCTCGCCAAAACAGTGGACCTGGCAGACCTCTTCGCTGTCTTCGGTGCTATCCTGCCACCAGAATCCGGACTCGGGTGAGTGTCACCCTTCCCTGTGTGATCATATCATGATCACAATAACGTTAACTTCTGGCTGAAATTTTGTAGAGCGCTGAATATCCGCCACTTCACTGAGGGCCGAATGAAGTGCCAAGCCTTCGTGACGTACCCCACGGTTGATCTCGCGTCAAGTGCCTTACTCCGTGTGCATGGCGTCGTATTAAAGGATAAACCCTTGATTGTGGTACGTTATCCAGTGTTGGTGGTGATTTTGTGCAGTTTGATTCACAGTTTTTTATGTTGCCAGTGCTTCCGTAAACCCCAAAAAACTTGAAATGAACCTGCTTTTGCAGTTCACGCCTCTAATTTGGTGTTAAATATCGCCACAATTTAAGGAAGTTCGCGCAACTTTGCCTCACTGATGCTGTTGATCACCCACAGGTAATTCACAATGACTGCCGACGATACTGCGCTCAACTGCGGCTTCGCTTTGAGCTGTTTTGTCTGCTGACGCAATGCAGTTGGATTGAGCTTGTCGGACACGATGATGAGCTTCCGGGAGCGATTCTCGCGCTTGTGCATCTCTTCGCGAATTTCATCCAAAAATGCGATCAACTTTCCGCCTCCCATACATATCAAGGTATTCAACTCCGTTACTGGTGGCATTGGGGGTAGGAATTCACCAATCACATGGAAACAGAAGTCAGCAAACAGCATTGTGCCAACGTTTGAGCGGTCAACCTGTACATCAAAATACAGCAAATGAGTGTTAACCTTTAAAGCTTAATCTACACAGGTCTCGTGAAAGGTATCTTACACCCAATGACGACAGCTGAAGAAGCTTTTCTCGAGTTAATCGCGACCGCTTCACAGCGTCGTGGATCCTTCTTCCCTTCCAGTGACCGTCGGCTTCATAATTTACTTCACTCACATAGCCGCCGTGGTCTGCACACGCTAAAAATCAACATGGAATCAGAGCAACAGTCAACATCAAGTACGCAGCGATTGAAGACAGCATATCCTCACCTTGAAGCCACTCGTCGCTCACAATCCAGCGTCCTCCTACTAGAGCCTTGAGATATTTCAGCGACCGGATCTTCACCCAGCGACCGGACTTTCGATCGCCAAACAGTTGACGCTTGCCATGTTTGGGTGCCTGCGGCGAGGATTCCGAGTTGGAATCGTCCATTGACGGCCCTTCTTTCTCGATTTCATCTCCGCTCACGCACTTTACAATCAAATGCGTTACGTCATTGGACCAATAATGGACAACTTCGGCTCCAAGTAGTTCAGCCCATTCATCGATCTGCTGCATTCGGTCCTCCTTGAATCCCGAGCACAAAAACACCATCCCCGAGTGCTTCCCAATCGCTATCGACTTCGTTTTGGTCTTTTTTGTCGTGGAGTGAGGTGACGATTTAGTCTTGATAGTCAATAGATCAGGCGAGACCATGGTGTCAGAGGGCCGTCGACGCTGGCGCTTCCTTACAGCCCGACTGGGCGTCGAGTCTGAAACTAAATCCTCTGTAGGTCTCCGGATAAACGTGCCTGGTACGCGGCTATCCGATCCAGACCCGATCACAAACTTAACAGCGTAAAACCCATCTCCATGGACCTTTGTGATACGTCCCGCGCCACCTCGTTTATTGATGCCAACCCACTGACGCTCAATAACGTCCACCAGATCTCCGACTTGGAAGACTTCGACTTCAGGCAGAGGCTGTGCTTGGCTGTCAACGATCAGTGAAGGCGACTCGGCTGATCCATTACGGACTGGTATCTTCCCATTAGGCACTGGTTGTTGTTTTGTATCAACCGTGCCATTCGCGTTATCATCTGTAGCGACTCCGTTCGCAGGAGACCGCCGCCTTTTACGCGGCGTTGGTTTCTGATACTTTGGTTCTACTGCTTCCAGTTGCGTCTCATCCACGGTTTCATCCATAGCGACTCCGTTTGAATCTGACCGCCGCCGCCGTGTTGGTGTCTCCTGTTGCTCCATCTCTACTGTCTCCAATTGAGTTTCAGCCACTACGGCATCCACAGCATCATTATTTTCATCCGACTGCCGCCGCCGCCGCCGCCGCCATGGTGAAAACGCTGTATCCACTGTAACTACATCCGTAGTATTCCGCCGCCGTCGTGGAGATATTGCTAGACTGTTGCATTCTGCTGCGTCCAGTTGAGTTTCATCCATCGCTGTATCTGTAGCGTCATTATCCAAAACAAGTACATCTGCATTGGGCCGCCGCCTCCATGGCATCAATTTATTCTCGTCCACTGCATCGGTCGTCTCTGCATTGCCACCACTCGAAATCTCGAAAAGTGGTGGAGACATCTGCGTCACTGCTACTTGTGAGTTTATCTCCTGGGTCTGAGCTCGCCGTCTCACTGGCGTCAGAACTGGTGTCGACGGCTTCTCCTTTTTAATCTTGAATCCATTTTTCAACTGCACACTTCCTCCTGTCACCCACTTGTCCATTAACGTCGGCGTAGACGGCGGACTCTTTTGCGAGTTGCGTTTAGTACCACGTCGCGGCGTCATCTTTTTCTCCGGCGTCGCAGTCTTAGCAGCAACCTTAGTAGTTTTACCCGCTGCAACTTTAGTAACTGGTGTAGCGACTTTAACCTGCGTCAGCTCCTTTTTCACCCGTTTCTCGGTCTTCGACGGCGTCTTGGGTGCTGCAGCGGCTGCATTTGGATCTGGAGCAGCACAAAGCATTTCGGTGGCACGTAGCAGCTCTTGGACCGTCGTATCGTATCGTAGCCGCCGCTTCTTAGCCGGAGTCTTGCAAATAGGACACTGCGCCTTGAGCTCTAGCGCGCGATGGATGCATTCCTCGCAGAAGCAGTGGTTGCAAGGCAGAGAGACGGGGTTATCGTAGGCGCAGAGGCAGATGGCGCACTGTAACTGGTCCGAGAAGTTCTCCACGGCGCGCTCCAGCCTCTGGAGCGTCCACGGCGCCATCTCCGCCAGCAATAGTTGCGCAAAATGGTCACTCAGTCTCGCAAGTCGCACGAAGGTTGCACTAGATATACGCAACATTACCAGTTGCAACTTAAAGTGAAGAAAAGTTGCTGAAGTGAAAGTGCAGGCAATTCATTGCACAATTGGAAAACCAAGCAAGCCATGTCGTTAGATGAGTCTTCGGTCCTGATGGACCGGGCGCTGGTGACCATGTGCCAGGACCTGCCCGAGTCGTTAGGGCTGTATAACACGGCGAAAGACCAGTTCTCACTGGCGGCTATCCGTGATATCCCGCTACTGGAGAATGTGGACCCAGACTCGCGCAAACTGGTGCTTATCCGTGACTGGATGCGCGCGTACGAGCCGGCAGAGGACCAGCCGCTCACGTCGGAGATCAGTATGGACTCGCTCAAGGAGACAGACCGACGAGAACGCAAGGAGATTGAGCGGAAGCTACAGGAGGAGAAGCACGCGATGCTGACGAGCGCTGAGAGCGAGAAAAAGAATAAGAAGCGACGGAAGAGAGAGAAGGAGAGAGCGGCCAAAGAGAACAGCAAAGCGAAAGCCAAAGAGAAGAAAAAAGCGAAGAAGAAATCCGCAGCTAAGAGCAAGACGAGGAATGGCGAACGGAAACGCCACGTACAGCTGGACAGCGACGACGACGTGCTGTCTATTGACGAAAGTAGCTCCAGCGAAGACTCGTCGTCTGAGTCTTCGTCGTCTAGTGAGTCGGACAGCGACAGTAGATCCAGGAAGAAGAAGAAGACGCCAGGCAACTTGCCACCGAAGGAGGTGGTGCTGTCTTCGGACGAGGACGAGGAGCCCAACGACATGTTCGACACAGACGACCCGGACGTGTACGAAGTGGAGAAAATTCTCAGGAAGAAACCCGGGGAGACGTATGGCGATCCGGACTTGTACGAGGTCAAGTGGGAAGGATACGACGAGACCACATGGGAGCCGGCGAGCAACATCTCAAAGGACCTCATTGATGAGTTCGAAGGCCAGCCTGTGCGTGAGAACGAGTACACGGTGGAAGAAATTGTTGATCGGCGCAGCAAGCGCGATCCCGAGACGAGACTGAAGACGCATCAGTATAAGGTGAAGTGGGTCGGCTACGACGACGTCACGTGGGAACCTGCGGAGAACCTGCCGCACAACCTGCGACGGAAGTTCGACCAGAAGTACGAAAGCAGGAAGCGCAGGCGGTAAATGGTGAATCGCGGACCAGAGCAGTAGTTGAGAGCTTGGCAGCTGATGAGCTAGCGGTGCTGTGAGAACCTCGTGGCCCAAGATGCCACAGCTTTAAGCTATCCTGGAAATGCTACGTGTAGGCTACGTGTTAGACCTCCCTAATAACAAATAATAAGGACCAGCAAAGTGGTCTAGTAGTAGAGACCCCCGCTTTGTCGTCCCCGAGAGAGGTGGAGGTGCGGAAGGTGATAGCGGAAGCAATTAGGCACGAGTAAGTTGTTCACTAGAACGAGTGAAAGCGGAAGAGTAGTTCAGTTGCAATGCGTATACGATCATCTCCAACTTGATGCCAAACTTTTTTCCCAGGTAGGGCGCAAGTTTTAAGCACTTGTGTTGCAAGAGAGGAGCTGCGTTGGCATTGAGCTCTTGACGTTGAAAGTGAAGTCAAAACATGGCAGAAGAAATGGCTACATGACATTCAACATCTGTTTTTATCCCTCTACAAGAATCATTATCCAGCTCATCTCTCTTTACAAGAAACCTCAATCAGGGGGACTTCCGCTCAAAAGAGAGAAGTCATCGAGCCACGGCGCGTGCAGACGTTGCGCTCTATCGCAGCGCTCAGAGCGGCTACACTCGTCTACTAAGTCTCATCGTGTACCCCACTCAACGGCGGACGTCGCAGCCATGAGCGGTGTGGAAAGTTTGTTGCTAGAGAGCGATGAAGAGGATCTGGGGGAGTTGGATCTGTCGGCCATCACGCTAGAGGAGATCCTGCGCGAAGAAGAGCTGGCCAATAAGAGCGCAGAGGACACAGATGGCTCCTCACAGGACGGAGATGACCTGTTCTTCGCGCCCGCCACCTTCACGCTTAATATCGAGCCAGGACCAGGCATGGACGTGATCCCAGCGCCTAAAGCCGCGCCTCCCACGACTACCAAGACCGAAACGCAATTCCGTACGCCCTTAGAGATCGCTGAAGCGAGAGAGAAGCAGCTACTGAGCTGCGTAGGGGTGGAGCTCATCTCCCCACTGCAAGTGAAGCGTCGACTACGTGCCCACGCTCGCTCCAAGGCCCTAAAATCTCGACGAGAGGGGCTTGTAGCCATGAAGAAGAACCAGAGGAAGAAGCAGATCGCAGAAGGAGCAGGAACAGCTGCAGTCGCAGCAGAGAAGAAGTCCACGGGCGTGGTCAAAGTGGAGCCAATGGAGGCTATCAGTCGCCAACTGAGAAAGAATATCGAGTTTAAGGAATACGGCCCTGGCTCCCCCACTGTGGTGGCTATTCACTCCAAGTTCATTGCTATTGGAACGTCCAAGGGGCTGGTTATTATCTTCGACCACTTCCAGAACATCCGACAGGTGCTGGGCAACACAAACGACGCAGATGGAGACGGCCCCGTCACGGCTGTGGACGTGTCGCCCGGTAGTGACTATTTGGTGTGTGGATACCAAAGCGGACGCATCGTATTGTGGGATATGATCAAAGGAACGTCACTGAAGGCTGTGTCGGACGCCCATGAGAACCCTGTAGTGAGTCTCCGCTTCTTGAAGGACCAGAAGCCTGTGCTGGTCTCTGTGGACACCAACGGATTGGTGAACAAGCTCAACTTCTCGAAAATGATGGGAATGGTGTACGTAGTCGACGTGGATCCGCTCTATGATGGATCAGCGGGCAAAATTCTGTCCATTTCGGTACTGCCGCAGTCTGCCGGTAATGCCAAGATCTCGTACCTCACAGACCAGTATTGTCTTGCAGCATTGAGCACTGAAACAGTGACGTTCGTCATCGCTATCGAGCCTGAAGTTCGTGTGATTTACCGCTGGGCGCGACCTGATGACATTGCGCCGGATGATCCTGTACTGCCGACACTGGCATTCGCTTGGATTTCGTTCCCTGGCAGCTCGAGAGCTCTCGCTCCGGTGCTGGCGCGTGGCTGGGGCAACCGTGTGCAGTTCCTGGAAGTGGTGTTCCCTGGTGGCAAGAACCACTCGCATGCGCGTCATGGCTTCCCTACGTTCGACGAACACGACCAGATCGAGTCTTCAAGCGCTGTTATGGCAGTTCAATGGCTGGGTGATCAGGTGGTGGTGTATCTGAACTCGCACGATGAAATCTGCGTGTACGACGTGATGTCGCGTCAAGAACTGGAGATTGTGGACGTTTCCTCGCTGGAGCTGGTGTTCGCCTCTTATCGTGGCAAGAACGCACGTAGTTTCTCCAACAGTTTCCGTGGTTGTTACAATATTTTGTACCTGCTGGGTCTCAAGGAGCTGCAGACGGCTCGTGTGCTACCGTGGACGCAACGTATCGATTTGCTAGTGGACGATGGCGAGTGGCTCGAGGCTCTCGCACTCGCTTTGGATCACTATGAGGGATTGAAGATCGCTGCGGCTGACCGTGCAGCACGTGACCGATTCCCGCCTGTATTCTTCCGTGACAAGCAGAACGACCAGTGTCTCGTGGACATCCTGCACATGTGTCAGACCAATCAGCGTACTGGCGAGAAGGAGGATGTGTTTAGACACGAAGAAAGTGCCGACGAAGTGCGTTGGGTGTGTGGTGAGGTGCCGTATCCGCCTGATATTGCCAAGAAGCTGGAAGAAACGCTGCAGAAGGCTCGTAGTGGTGAAGTGACCAAGAATTTCGTGCCTATCAGTGTGGCTGAGCGCGTCGCTGATCTGCTCATGGAGTACGTGCGTCTTGCCATTGCCAATGCACCGGGTTCTACAGCTGCTGCGGGTGGCGAACTGAGTCTCAACAAGATCGGAATGAAGCTAGACTTGGCAAAAAGCCACTATCAGATGCTGGCGGGTGTTTGCATCGAGTACTGCGCTCTTATCGGACGCACAGATCTTCTATTTGGTGAGATCTACACACGCTTCAAGGACGCTAACAAGCTCAGTGTGCTTATCGAGTTGCTGGAGCCGTATATTCTGTCCGAAAAGCTACGAAACCTCTCCCCGGTGGCGATGGAGGAGTTTGTTCACCACTTTAGTGCCCAAGGAAAGCTCGCTCAAGTGGAACAATGTCTGCTTCATCTGAATGTGGCAGAACTAGACCTGGACACGATCCTCAAGCTTTGTCATGACCACGAGCTGTACTCAGCTCTCATCTACATCTATAACGAAGGCATGGACGACTACACGACACCGATTGATGTCCTACTGGAGGCCTGTTCCGACGCGAAGGCATCAAAGGCGAAGCCAACGTCAGAGCCGACCGCTCGAACTACTCGCGCGCCATCTGGAAGCCGTGTGAGCAGTCTGGCATCAGCGTTCGGAGGTACGACTCGAACTGCTAGCTCGAAGATCTCAATCGCTAAACCTGCAGCTTTGTCAGCACGTGAGAAAGCTGAAGAAGAAGCTCTCAGTGGTCCCCGACGCCGGCGTTTGTTTGGTTACAAGTTGCTGCTGTACATTTCGTACGCGTTGAGTGGTCGTACGTTCCCGAAGCATGAGCAGATTTCTCCTTTGAAGCTAGGAAAGGTGCGTTCGCAGATCTGCTACCACTTGTTCGAAAAGGCAGTGCCAGGATCGACAAACCCGCGTCCATTCCCCCGTCTGGAGTCTCTTATCGACTTGGATGCACGCGAGTTGTTCAACATTATGGGACGTATGTTCGACACGCCTAGTGTGGAGTTTGAAGGCGAAAAGAAGGATGGATCTGATCGCCCTACCAGCCGATACGACTCAGCTCGTAATGCTGAGATGACCAAGTGTCCTAGTCGCCTGTCGATTGTGTTGTCGCTTGCAGAAGTCATTTTTGGCCCCAAGAGTCCGTTCAGTTCGGTAGAGCACGCTCACTTCTTTATGTTTGAAGCCAGATTGCTCAGTGGAGGATCGATTGAGCCACAGGAGTACGCGGATGCTCGTGCGCAGGCTATTGGTGATGCTGGCTCGACCGACGGAGCGTCTATGATGGATTCGCTGATGAACTTCCTCGCTCTTGGCCCAGCGTCGCTGCTTTCGAACGGCTCGTCGGCTGTTTCGGCCGAAACCTCACAAGAGGAAGGCTTTGACAAGGCTGGTCGTGAAGCTATGCTGGTGCGTCTATTGACGAAGTTGAATAAGGCGACATACAACCACGAGGCGCTGTTGGCAAGTGTCATCCGAGAGAAGATGAACCGCGCGGCGGTCTTGTTGTACAAGGACAATGGCGACTTCGCCCAGGCGATTGCTTCGTATCTGGCTGACGAGGATCACGAGTATCAGATGAACGCGTTCAGTTACATCCGCATGGAGACCGACAAGGCCGTGGATGGGGAAGACATGGAGATGCGTGACAGTAACGGAGCTGAGCCTACTCGTCGTCGTCGCAAGGTTATTGAAGAAGCTGTACTGACCCACGCTCCAGCCCTCATGAAGACTGATGGCTATGCGTTCGTGACGCTCATCTTGGGCCAGTTCCCGAACTTGAACAACAAGGTCATCCAGAAGTTCCTGTCGATGGGTAAAGAGGGCTCCAAACTCGAATTCTTGTACCTCAAGCAGGTGCTCATGGCCTCGTCGACTACGAATGGAGGCAGCAGTGATGAAGCTGATGTTGTCAAGGATCTACTGGAACGCTCCAAGCTGCGTATTGCTGACGATCCTGCCGTCCAGGAGCGATTTGTGCGCCTTCTGTGCGAGTTCGAACCTGCCGGCGTCTTCCCGTACCTCGAATCCCACGACAGCTACAAGGTGGATGCGTGTCTGCGGCTATGCAAGGAGTTCGCTATCACAGACGCTGAAGCGTATCTGCTTGAGCGTACAGGCGACGTCACCGGTGCGCTGACGCTTATTCTGCAGAGTCTGGAGCAGAAACTCAAGATCCTTAAGCCAGCTTTGCGCGGATACAACGTCTCGGCTGTGTCTTCGTCGTCGACTGGAGCTTCGGACATGTTATCGAGTGCTGCTGGGGGTTCCAGTAGCAGCAATGGCGCTGCAAGACACCAGTCGTCTGACCGTATTATTGACAGTGTACAAGAGGGCAAGGACGCCATGAAGACGTTGGAGGTGGCCCTGACCATGTGTCAGCGTAACTCGCTGCGTAACCGTGACGAGCAGGCTGAGAAGCTTTGGTTTACGCTACTAGACAAGCTATTACGTATCCAGAACTCGGTGAAGCGCAGTCTGAGCTCCAAGAGCTCGTCTCGTAACGTTCCCGTCACTCGGACCCACAGCAGTGGTGGCAACAGCGGCCACGGTGCGATGACGGCTTTCCAAGTGGCTCTGAACGAGATGATCCGCTTCATTCTGGAACGTATGGCGTCGTCTGTGTCGCTCAAGTCGATCCTGTTCAAGATTACGAACGAACACGGCCGTGGCGCCTTTGGAGATTTCCGGCCAACGATCTTCGGTATGTTGGACACGTACAACTACGAGCAGAACATTTACCAGACAGCAAATGCGCTTATTAGCGTGGATCTGTTCGACCAGATCACGACGCTGAAGCGAGCCAAGTCTCGTTGCTATGCGCCCCCTTCGAATGTGTGTGGATACTGCCACGTTGCGCTGTCGAAACCTCCCTTTGGTATGGGCCAATCTGGAGCTCCTGGCACGGAGAAATGGCACCTCCATACGTCCATGGTCCTCGTCATGTCTGGTCAGACTTTCCACGAGTCTTGTGGCAAGGCCTGGCAACAAGGTGTGGACACCAAGACGCCGGCTGCTCGTGGTAACCCTCCAGGAAAACTCTCGAGGAACCAGAGCTCAATCAGCAGCATCACTAGCGACGGATTGGCGGAAGATGAAGCAGGCAGTCGTCTTCAACGCAAACAGCCGAGTACAAGACGGTACCTGGCACGATTGAAGACTCAGCGTCGTGCGTCGAGACGACAGGTATCGCCTCACGTTGTGCTGGAGAGTCTCATTCGTGAGGACAATGGTCGTAACAAGTACCTCAAGAGCTCTCGCGCCGTGTTCTCGTTGCGTCCAGACCCAGAGGTGGCGGCTAGTAAGGTCAAGAAGCGTCTGGGAACGCGCAAGTCTGGATCGCTCCCGGTGGCCCCCATTCAGAAGGGCAGCATCTAAGGTAAAGAGGATACTGACGAGACTGTGTTTAAACACTTGTTCATGTTTTAGGGATAACAAGGAATGGAATGGATCCATGGGACCGATGGATCAAATGTGCTTAGATATTTGCGTCTGATGTTGTAGAGTCGCTGGATCTATTTCTTTCGTTACAGGAACCATGAATCAAGGCAAACCCAAGGCAGGAGGAAGCGTGATTTACAGTGTCAGTTCGTGGCGACTTGGGGACGATGGATCTATTCATCGACGTGGTCGACTCAAGTACTCGAGTGGCGATGTATATGACGGCGAATGGGTCGATGGCAAGCGTCATGGTCAAGGAGTGCTCACCTTTGGGTCAGGTGGAAGTTACACTGGCGAATTTGCCAACAATTTGTTCGAAGGATTCGGCGTGCTTCGTATCCCCAAGTCTCAGCACCCGTTGACCAAGACATGGCAACGTGGAGAGAAGTACGAAGGCGATTTCTTACGTGGACTCAAGCATGGACGTGGTACTTGGCAAACTCGAAGTGGAGACCAGTACGATGGCGAGCTGAAGAAAGGACTCTACGAAGGCAAAGGCGTCTGTGTGTATGGAGCTACAGGTGATGTGTATGACGGAGAGTTTGTAAGAGGCTTTCGTCACGGCCGAGGTGAGCTGCGCTTCCGCAATGGGTCAGTCTACAACGGAGGCTTCCGGTTTAATAATTTCCACGGCTTTGGACGCATGTCGTATGGACCTGGAGGCATTCACGGCTCGTACGTTGGAGACTTCGTGGATGGTAAACGACATGGACAAGGTGTTCGTGTGTACGGAAGTGGAGATAAGAGCAACAGAAGACGATATGAAGGCGCATGGGAGGACGATGAACCTCATGGTACCGGCGTACTTGAGAGTGACGGACGCACAGCTGTGGGGGTATTTGAACGTGGCTTGCAGAAGGGACCAGGGGCTATTCGATTCGCGAATGGTGATACGTACGACGGCACCTTCGAGAGAGGAGATCTTCATGGCGAAGGACGCTACGTGTATCGAGATGGTGGTGTGTATGAAGGTACATTCGTACGCTCCAAGCGTCACGGTAAAGGCATTCGAGTGTTTTCCACTGGTGCTCGATACGTTGGCGACTGGGTGGATGATCAGATGCATGGTAGAGGAGCACACACCAGCAAGATAACTATGAAGCCTCGAGGTAAAGCCAAGAAAGGTGGTGGGATTGGTCTCTTAGTGTACGATGGAGACTACTACAATGGACACCAGGCTGGAGAAGCTAATATCGTCTACGAGTTCAAGCCGCAGATCGAAGAACGACCTGAGGTGGGGGAGTGGAATGGTGAGTTTGAGTTTCCTGAAGGCTCGCGCTGTTGGCATCGTGGACGAGGGAAGACAACGTACCAAGGTGGAGTTGTACGTGGTCGCTTCCATGGCCAAGGGTGTTTACGCTCTCCTGATGGGAAATTGTGGCGTGGGGAGTGGGTACACGGCCAGCTTCATGGTCGTGGTGAACGTGTGTATCTCCCGCTGGAATTTGACATTCTGATGGCCAATGAAATACTGGAAAAAGGCGCTTCTAGCTTAATAGGAGTACGGTTGGGGCTCTATGATGTGGTGCAGTATGTTGGCGAGTTTGTGAAGAATGTGCGCCATGGGGAAGGCGAGCTGCTGTACTCGAATGGATTTCGTGTTCGAGGACAGTTTGTGAACGGATTTGTTGAAGGCGTAGCAATGTGCACGTTCGGTGGACAAGGTGACAACACTCGATGGAGATATGGGGAGTTTGTTCGAGGAGAACGCAAGCGTTGGCTTAATGAAGAAGAAGAGAGCGAGATACTGAAGAGGAAGCACGACGAAGAAGCTGCTGAATCACGCAAACAAAGTTTAATAAAGATGATGGCGAGGTGAGTTTGTTGACGATACTTCAACGCAGTTCTATTCGACATTACAGTTCTTCGTGACCTGCAAATTCACCCACGTCCTTCGTCTTAAAGAAAGTCTTAACGCGAGAGATTTCGTCTTGCAACACGTCTTGTTCTGCTTGCCCACATGCCGCTGGCGTTTCGAAGCGAACCTCATACTGGCACATCTCACGTTCCTCTACAGACACGACACGATTCTGCTCACCACACAACAGCTCCACGCGTGTGTGACGCTCCTGTCCATTGGCACAAGGCTCGCCATGGTTGTAACTCTGCACACGCGCAAAGTTAACAGACTCTTGCCACTCATTCCAGATCCCAAGACCGATGGGACGTGGCACCTCTACTTCCTCTTCCTTCTCATCTGCCACTTTATCTCCGACCTTCGTTTGACGCTCCGCCTTCGTCCACTCGGGATATAAAGGCTCAGTCTGCGATACGTTCTGGAATGGACACAACACCATGTCGTACTTGCGAGGGATGACGTTGGGGGTTCCTCCCTTCAGTTCCTTCTCGTTTACCGTGTACGTGTAGCATTCCCCCACCAGCTCGACGAAAGCAGGTTTCCATGCCGCGTCCGAAAATGTACTCGGATCAACCACACGACTTTGGATGTACGTGATATACTGCACTCTACGCAGCACATTGTACGACTGCTCAAGCTGTCCTCGCAGCTCCGGGTTGTGTTGTGCCTGCCGTTGCAAATCCTCGAACGCTCTTTGTCCAGACTGATAGGCTTCCGCAAGTCGTTCAAAGTCCTCCTTGAGCTTCTGTACTTTGTCTACAGATCCTGCTAAATACTCTGTCCGACGTTTTAGTCCCCTTTGCACTACGTTCAGTCTTTCCTGAAGCGTCTGGAGTCTCCGCTCCCACTCGGTGGCACAAGTGTTAGCACACAGTCCGTCCCTCTCGTCACTGCCATCACAGCAATCGCACACGCCGTCGTGCACGAAGGCTAATGACACCATCTTGTCGTCCGCTTTACAGTTAAATTCCGGACCGAACGGAGGTGTCTCGGAGTGTAGCAATACGTGGGAACATGCCGACGTGTTGGGTTCATCGCTACCGTCCTGACAGTCGCAGTAGTCGTCGTCCACGAGATCAATGGGCAGCGAGTCCACGCAGGTTTCCTTGCTCTCGTCAGTATCAGTCTTAATGTCATTGTTGTCTTGCTCTGAGAGCCCCAGGATGGCGTCGTCGTCCATAAAGTCCCAGTCATCGTCCTCCTCCTCGTCTTCGTCGAACGCTTCATCGACTACGAAGCGTTTTGAGTCGCGTGAATTGGCAGGGGCAGCCGCAACACTCGGTACCTGATTGGAAAGCACCAACATGCACGCAATGGCCACGATCATGGCCAAGAGGAAGGCCAACATCGAGCGCTTGGTGGCTCGGGAGGGCATGATGACTTGGCGAAGAGCTACAAACAACGATGATTGGAGGAAAATATAATTAGGGTGACTAAGGTCCACGACACCAATGCTGCCTCTCGGACAACCTTTTATTGTGTGCCGTAGCTACTTGAGTCCTGATGCGGTAGGAGTTGTTATGTGGTTTAGCGCAGTACCATCGTTGCAGACTCTGGGCTGATCAGTTTAGTCGCAGCACGGTCGCGTTTAATTGAGTGAAGTAGAGCAGTGGGCTCTTCTCCGTCGCTGAACTCGATCAGCTCGTCTTCAGTGCTTGACTCGGATACTCGGTGGCTTGGCTTTCTGTTCGTATCCAGCAGATTCTTCCCACCAGGCTCCCAGTTGTCTTCGTCAGAGACAGCGACCCACTTGTCCGTGAGGTCCTTCTCCACCGCGTCGTCAATACTTTCAGTGTTCAGTAGTTGCTGGTCTCCGTTTTGTAGATCGACACGAGACTTTCCCACTAGCCGACGAGTCATCTCAGCGAGTTGAGAAGTCCCCATTTGCAGCAACTTTGCCGTCATCCGAATTGTCAGAAGAACCACCAACTTGGCATACACGAAGAACTTATTCATCACCCCCATGGAGAAAACTCGTGTGAACACTGGGACCCAGCGTCAAGAATGATCAGACTGGCAACTTCAACTTCATCCGCCAATCATATGGAAGTATTTTGGTCCGGACTATTTTTTTTGTTTTTGGTCTAAGATGTTGCAGTCGGTTCCTAGTTCGAACGGACACGAGGTAACTGCTTGTAACCTTAGTTTGCGATTAGAGCGAGCATGACGCGATCCAGCTACAGTGGCGAAGACTCTGATGTCAGATACTACAGCAGCAGCAGTGAAAGCAGTGTCAGCAGCGAAAGTGACGTTGATGACAGTGACAGTCTTGCGTTGGGGTTGAACGGGAAGAGTGAGACGCAACAGAAATTCAAACGCTTGCGTCGCATCTTCCTCAACCGTCCGAGCAAATTGAAGAAAAAGAAGGAGAATAACCAGCGTCAAAAGTGTAGTTCGAGTAGAGATAGATCTCAATCGAAGCGAAAGCCGTCGAAAGCAAACGTGACGGAGAGAAGGCAGTATACGAATTATCGACGACAGAGCAATTCAAGCAACAACAGCAGTGTGGCAGACGATAGACCTGCAGACCGACTGAGCAGGGCTTTTGCAGGTAGCTCCTCTCGGCCCCTTCAAGCGGCAATTGAGCAACATATCAATGCATTACGGGAGCAGAAGAAGCGACATTCCGCACATCGAGATTCCAGTATGTACATCACTTTACCATAATATTTTTCCTAGGAGCTAACATTTTACGTCTGTCAGATGCAAACCAGGTGCAGAATATACTGGAGCAGGCGATGGATGAATTGCAGTTTCTCAAGAAGCAGGAAGAGCGTGCACTGGAAAACCAAGTGAGGCTGATTCGAGAGGTGAGCTAGCTATCATTAAAAAAACATCTAACGCAAGGATCTAACCATTTTTCGCTCTGTTGTTGCTCATCAAAGAGCTACGCGTTACGTCTGGAAGTTCTCCAGCAGCAGTACCTCAACAAAGTTGCTGAAATCGAAGACGAAATGTACGCCGCGGTACAAAATCGTCAGGAAGAATGTGACGCAACGATCCTGGCTGCAGCCAAGAAGCTGCAAGACCAAACTCAACGTGCACTTCAAAGTGATTTTACCACGATGAAAAGCGAGTCGATAGAACAGCAGCTCGACTCTAATAGCTCCATCTCAACTGACAGCAGTTCAGCAAGTCAGTCAAAAGTTCGACGCCATCGGCGTCTTGGTAACGATCCACTCAGCTCTCCTCGACCAGCTTCTCCAGTCTCACAGCAACGAGCCAAATTGCAAGCACTTGAAGAGAAACTAGCAGCATTCTCACCAGAGTCTCTGAATCGTGTCAAGAACGAACTGGCCACGCCAGTCCGTACCAAAGGTGAGAACACTCCAGCGAAATGCAAACGAGAAACAGTCAAGTGCGATAGACCAAGTGAAGCAGTTGTTTGTAATGCTGACGAGTGGAGAGCTTCGCCGATGTCACCACTTCGAAAAGGACCCTCATACTGGAAAAATGGCATCTCTCTCGAAGTGAGAGACATTGAGGAAATCTATAGCAAAACTGCAAAGTCGAACAAAAGCGATCAAGTTGATGACGCTCCAACTGCTAAGACTGCAAGAAGAGGAGCCCCAATATCCCTTTTAAGTCGTCGCTTCCTTCGACCAGAAGAAGAAGAAGAGCTGCGGCATCTTCGAACCAGTATTGGGCTAGCGAAAGACTGGATGGCCAGACATACGAAGTAGAATGACATAAGAGGGCAGGGGTCAAACGCGGGCGCTAAATATTCTAATTACACGTTGATCATTGCCGAGATGCTGGCCAACGCCGCCTTGTGTTTTTCGCGCTCTAGCAGCATCACAACTGTAGTCTTGCTGCTCTTGTCCACTCGCTCGCGTTCAGTCAAGGGAGTGTCGAATGAGAAGGAAAGTTCCGCCTCCTGCTCCAGGAATTCGTCCTCGAAGTTGTGGAAAAACTTGGCTGTCTGCTCATACGCTGTCTTAGACTTCTTGCCCTGTTTGGAGCCGCTGCTGCCGCTCTTCTCCTCTGTACAAGTGGCCAGGATGAGGAAATAGTCCATCTTGAAGCTGTTGCGCAGCTCCTCCGTGTCCTCGTTCTGGATCGCCCACTCGATGTCCTCGTGAAGCGCCAAGTGAAGCGCTGGTACCAGCTGGTATGGCAGATTTACCATGCGCTCATTGAGCACGAGTCCGACGTTCTTGGTATTGAGGATCTGCTGGAGCTTGGGCAACTCAGCACTCGGACACTTTTTGGTCACGTACTGTAGGATCTGTTGGATGCTAGTCTCGTTGGCGAAGCCCTTGAGGTTGAGAGCAGTGATGAAGCCATAGACGTCGTCCTCACCCTCCACGCAGACCATGGTGCCAGCCGTAACCTGGCCCACAATGGCATTGGCCAGTCCAGACACGTCGAAGGGCTGCGTGGGCGGCAAGTAGGCCAGAAGAAACTGCTTAACGCTGTGGAAATGAGCCTCGCGCGGATCTGAGAAGAGGAAATCCACGCTCACATTGCCACCGGCAGCAGCAGCGGCCTCTCCTCCGTCCATCTCGTCGTCCGAGTCATCGTCATCGTCGGCTCCATCGTTAGGCGCGAACGTTAGGTCGTCCTCACTCTCGCTGCTGTCCGAGTCCTCCTCCATCATCTCCACCTCATGATCCTCAGTTTGGGCGGCTTTGGGGTCGATCGGTGCCTTGCCGGAGCCACGGGAGCGCTTCTTCTGGGGCGGCATTTTCGGCAGATTATCAAGTGATGCGCTTACTGACTGGCTAGAAAGAGATGTATCCATCTTCCGAATAAGAGCCCCAACTCGAATACAAGACCGCTGTCGGTACATAACCGGTATATACGCTTACAAACAGTTTCATCTTTGCCGTGGCTGAAGTCGCAATGGACGGCTCGTTCATTCCACCGCCGTTCCCGTTCCCAGAGGCCTGGCCGCGGATCTTTTCCGAGCAGCAGCAGAGGCAGGAGAGGCGATGGCTCACGCCAATGACGTTTGCGCCAGTGCAATGGCTGGCGCCGTCCTCAGCGAAATACTTTAATGAGATGGCTCCGTCGGTCGCTGCTGCCGCTGCGACGAATGACGCACATTTTGAAGATGATGAAGACGAAGTTGATGGAGAATACGAGTACGGATACGTTCTGAGCGATGAGTGGCGAGAACATTTCCAGTCGTCGGTTCAAGCGCAGCAACTCCAGCTGCACACGCAGAAACGCAGCGCCAAGGGCAAGAAGAGGAAGCCACCGCAGAAGAATAAAAACAAGCAGCAGCAGGCATTCAAAGCCGAGTCGGCTGCTGCGGCCAGTGCAAGTAGGTCAGGCCATTTGCAGCGCGAAATTGAGAGTGCGAAAACCCGCGAGCTAGCACGGAAATGGAAGCGAAGAGGCGGTATTGCCCTGCAAAACCCGCAGGTTGCAGCACTAGAAACGTCGTTGAACGCGCTCTTCGATGAGTTCTGCGATGCGTTCCAGCCAGTGGTGTGGCCGCACGATCCTCTGCAGAGATAAGAATTATAGAGTGAAACAAAAACATCAGAGTGTCGTCAACGTCAAGTACCGTCAGGTAGACTCGCGAACCGTAGAGAGGTCCTCGCGAAAAAAAGCCAGCTGTTTCTGACACCGGTAAACCGGGATATTACCGCTGGATTCACAAAAGGGGGAAGGCCAAAAACAAAGAAGCTTGCGCTGTATGCGTAGAAGCCTATCGCGATGAACCTCGGCCAGATGAAGAACGACCCCGCCAACGGCTCGGCGCAGGCCATCCCGTCTCTCAAGCGCACGTTAAGTGGCGGTGCGGCCAGCAGCGTGGGCCACGGCCACGCTGGAGGACTGTCCAGCCACTTGGGTGTGGGCATGAACAACATGAACTCAATCCCGTCGGTGCTACACGCTACGCCTAACACGAACCCGCCCCAGATTCTGCGCGCCGTCACGTCCTCAGGCGCGTACAACCGCCCGTCGTCCAACCAATCCTTCCGCGGGGGCAGTAGTGGCCTCTCGACTACGGGCACCGGAGGCTCTACCGTGGCCAGCACCAATGTCAGTGCCACGACGGCAACACGCAGCGTTTCCCAGTCGTCAACCATGCAGGACTGGAGGATGTACCTCACCATCGAGGAGCGTCAGGCCGTCCGCTCTAAGATTCGCGACGCCTACACCAGCCGCTGCTCCACATACGAAGATCTACTACAAGTGGTAAGCGACTTATTCAGAGCTGTCGAGTCTTATTTGCGTGGATTCCTTGATTTAATGTGTTGCTGTTTTTCTTTAGGCTTGTGCTATTGAGGAAGAGCTGCTTCATATTTCGGCACCGTCGCGTCTGGACTACTTCAAGAGCGGCTTCGAGTTCGAGAACCGCGTCAAGCTGAAAAAGGACCAACTGCAGGGCCAACTGGCGGCATTGGACGCCAAGCGGCGGTCATCGAGCATCGGTCAACAGCAACAGCAGCAGGGAACGCCGAACAGTGGCGGCAGTGGCAACAAAACAGTAGGATCGGCCAAGAAACAGAGGAATTAGGGTGCTGAAGATCCTGCGAGGGGCCTTGCCTTCTCTAGCGTTGCTTGTGCCGTCAAGAAGGCTCAACAAAGACCACGGCCTACATGTGTGAAGTGACGGAAGACGAACAAGCTTCCGTGTGTATCTTAGGTCTGTGGGAGGAGCTACATGAGCCCTGACATTGGGCAGTTCTCCTCATCGATCAAGTGGCTTTTGGAATCAGCGGTAGAAGCTCCAGTTAAACAAAGCAAGGAACCAATGAAGAAAGGAGTACGAGTTGTTGTATAGTGTATTGTGTTTGTATTGCGCAGGTCTACAGGGCTCTAGTATTTGCGCAAGAAGTAGTGCTTCAGTACCTGTAAATGCAGCTGAAACATATTCCGCTGCTGCAGTTCCGGGGCGAAGGCGTTGAAGTTGACCGTCTCAAGTTCTTTCAAATACAGTGAAGAGCTAACCAGTGGTAGGAACGCACTGCGTGACTCACTAGGCAACTCTTTCCGAAGCGAACGAGCTTGATGAAGGTGGTCCATTGCACGGCAGGCTACGTCAAACACTACAGGCGCCACCTTCTCACCGAGCTTGGGATCTTCCACCGCAGCTTGAAGGTCCTCAGCGGTGACGCCATGCTGGAATCGGACAAACAACACAAACCAACGCTTAGCATAAGGATTACGGGAACCAAATCCATGGATCAGGCTTTCGATCTGTACCTTGTTCATGAGGTCCTCCGGCAGATAAGACTGTTGTCGGGAACTGTGATACGGTGTTCCTCGAAGAAGCGTCGCTAAGCCGATTGCCACGCCAGCGTGACCAGCTACGCGGTCTGCTGTGTCATCGCGAATACCGAGACACTCCAGCGTGAGGTACATCATTGACGAGGCCGTCTGCTCGGCGTAGACCTCCAGTTCGTGCAAACTCTGCACCTCTTCGCGGTCGAGATCCTGGTCTCGCGCGTCCAGCATTCGCTCGAACCACCGCCGCGTCAAGTCGTGCTCCTGGATGGCCTTGTCCAGACCTCGCAGCAGCATCGTCGACTGCTGCGGTCGTTCCGTGCCTGTCGCGGATGATATTTCGTACAAATTGTAGATGCGCTCGCGCCACCACTGCATACGGATTTTGCCAGTGATCTGGTTGCTGTGCACCGAGTCCTTGATGGTCGCGATTTCGGCATTCAGCGCGCGCTGTAGTTGCAAACGAGTTGTTAGACATGGTGCAGACTTCTGAGTGCAATTGCAATACACAGCAACGTACAATGGCGAAGAAGGATGGACGCGTCTTCACTGGCAGCAGCAGACCGCATAGGTATCCGTCATAGTCCAACTTCCTATTGGAATGCAAATATTAGTGTCAGCTGCGGATACTATCGGCAAAAGCGTCTATTTTTGAGACCATATCCAGCGTATTTCTGACCTGACTGATTCGCGCAACTCGATATCCTCCTTGCTGTGTTTACTGCGGGCTGCACCGAGTGCCCTGCGCGGCAATAGCGCCACCGGACGTCGCCGCAAGGAGCTGAGCATGTTCGCTGGCCGCACGTTTTCAATGCGGTCAAACCACCAAAATACCTGTTGCAATACCGGTTCTTTGATCAAAAAGCCCTAAGCAATGTTGTCCACACTATCTTGTGCTCACTTGTGGCTACACTTGAGTTTAGTGATTCTAGCTACTATTGAGCCACCAATCACACACTTGGTAATACCAAAACGGTTGATTGGCAGTCGACCTGCATCATTGGCCCGCGACCTGTCATTCGGCGCGTATCGCTACCGACACTTGCCACTGCATTGCATCCTGGAGCCATGAGCCAGCAGAAGAAGCGCGCGGCCGCTGAATTCTCAGGTGACGTGAAGCGCCACACGGCACAGCAACACAATGGAGAAGAAGACCTGGTGTTCGAGGACCCGTTCGGTGATGATATGGAGGACGAGGAGATGATCGAGAGTGATGGCGACGAGGAGATTGTGGATGGCGAAGCTTCTAGCGCTGACAAGGACGTGGACATGGACGGCGATGAGCAGGCCGAGAAGCAAGTGAAGAAGGTGTTTATGCCTGGTGTGGACAAGCTGCAGGACGATGAAGTGCTCGACTACGACAGCAGCGCGTACGATATGTATTATGCCATGACGGCCGAGTGGCCTGCACTGAGCATTGATGTCGTGCCCGATAACCTCGGAGCCGTGCGCAGTCGCTTCCCCATGACCGTCTTCATGGTGGCCGGCACACAGGCAACCAACGCTGACGACAACCAGATTACGGTCATGAAGATGTCGGAGCTGCACAAAACCAAGCACAATGACGGCTCAGACTCAGAGGACGACGACTCGGATGATGAGGATGAGACGGAGGGCGACCCAGTGCTCGAGTCACGTTCCATCCCGCACCCTGGTGGTGTGAACCGCATCCGTTGCATGCCTCAGTCCTCTAACATCGTGGCCACCTGGTCCGACCGCAAGAAGGTGCATCTGTGGGACATCGCGAAGCAGCTCGAGTCACTAGATGGCAAGGCCGGTGCTCCGCTGCCAGCCAAGCAAGCTCCTGTATACACGTTCTCGGGACATGCTGACGAAGGTTTCGCAATGGACTGGTCTCCTGTACAAGCTGGTCGTCTGGTTACGGGCGACTGCAGCAAGTTCATCTACCTCTGGGCTAACTCGGAAGGTGCGTGGAGTGTGGACAAGGTACCCTTTACAGGCCACAAGAGCTCTGTGGAGGACCTACAGTGGAGCCCCACCGAGGCGTCAGTGTTCGCTTCGTGCTCGTCAGACCGCACCGTGCGCATTTGGGACACCAGGCGGAAGGCTGGCAGCATGTTGGATGTCACTGCCCACGACGATGATGTGAACGTGATTACGTGGAACCGCAACGTTGCTTACCTGCTCGCGTCGGGCTCGGACGACGGCTCGTTCAAGATCTGGGACCTGCGTAACTTTAAGGCCGACAACCCGGTGGCTCACTTCCGGTACCACACGGCACCAGTCACGTCTATTGAGTGGCATCCGACCGACGAGTCGGTGCTTGCTGTGTCGGGCGCTGACAACCAGATCTCGGTCTGGGATATGTCAGTCGAAGAAGATGCCGAGGCTGCTGTGCCCGTCCAGGGCGAGAACGGCGAGGCCAAGCTGGACTTGCCGCCGCAGCTGCTGTTCATCCACCAGGGCCAGACCGACATCAAGGAGCTGCACTTCCACCCGCAGTGCCCAGGCGTGCTCATGAGCACGGCAGGCGACGGCTTCAACGTGTTCAAGCCCGCTAATATTTCGTAACTAAGACCTGCGCTCTCGTTTGTGTCAAGCCCAATAGACTCTTCATACTCAGGCGTTGTGTTGTTCTTCTTTGGCAACAACATGCAATTCTTTATTACAACGGTAGAACGCAGTAGAGCCCAAGTTGCCTTATGAAAGGATTAACCTACGTTGTTCTTCGACCTGCACGTTGCGGCAACATTGCAAATCTCACGCAACTTATCGAATCATCAAATCCTTGCTGCAACCTAATTCTCAACAGGTCGGACCAGGAATTCCTTTCGAATCCGACTACTAAATCGACCACCTTGCTGCCTCCTACACAGCGTATACGATACACCGCATGACTCGCTCGCACAGCTTCACACTCGCCTTACTGCTACTCGTGGGTATCTCACAGGCCAAGCCGCTGTCCATGTTTGGCTACGGCTATGGCGGTGAGAATCATATTCGGCATCAAGCTGGCATGGGCATGGAGTTCTACGCGCCTGAAGACCGAGGATGTGCCATGTGCCGCAACGGCGAGAATTGCTCAATAGCCGTACACAACCAGTCGGCTGGTGTCTTCTGCGGCGACGTGCTGAGCACTTTCCAGCCGTGCTGCTGCTCGTACCGCAACGAATGCATGACCTCCATTTTCTCGGACTCATGCGAATGCTTCGACGGCGCCAGGGAGGAACAGATTATGACCACGCGATTTTATTTATTCGTGGGACTCTCACTCATCGCCTGGGGGCTACTGGCCTATGACAAAATGTGCGCGGGGCCTTACAAGGTCATGAACAGCAACCATCAGATACTGGCCAATTCTCCGTCGGTGGCGAGAGCGAGAGGCGAAGAGAGTGTCGTAGATACAGTGGACAGTGACTCAGATGACGAGCAGAGAACAAGGGACCAGAATGCTGCTTCAAGTGCCACTGCTGTTGCTGTAGCTGCCTCTGCAGTAGCTGTTGACGTCGCTGAAGTGGAAGCTGAAGTTGACAATGACACGACACCATTGCGACCTCAATCCTCCTCTGGAGAGGCAACGGAGAGTGCTGATGCTGAAGCCGATGGCTCACATGACGAGACGCGGACTAACAGTGAGAGGCAAAGCGGCTCAACTTCGATTCAAACTGTCTAATTGCAGCGGAAAGGTTTAACAAAGGGAACAGTGAGAGGCAAAGCGGCTCAACTTCTATTCAAACCGTCTAATTGCAGTGGAAAAGATTGGACGAGCCTTCATGGAATAATTGTGAATGTAGGTTGATATTATGATACACACGAACTCGCACTCAACTATCACAAAGATTATTACTCTAACGGGATTTCTTCCAGCTCTAAAGGGGACGTTGGTGGACTGGTATTCACTTCTTGGACAACATCAACAGGAACAGTGACAACGACGACTTGTTCGGATGCTGCTTTCTCGACGGCATCCTTGGGACTATCTTCGACTTCAGATTCTTCAAAGGTGAAAGCAGGTCTTGAGGTTGGAGCTGGGGATTCTAACACTAGCAGCGGCAGATTATCGTCGGTCTCAGTATCCGTTTGAGAGTCCCGCCTCCGCTTACCGAAGCGCTGGCGGAAGCGCAGCAGCTTCATATCAACCGCCTCTCCGTACGCTACCATTTGGTTCCGTCTGAAGTCACTGAAACACTCCACCCACTGATCCACATACATTGCAAAAACAAATAGCGCAAGATACGCCGACAAGTGGATCAGGATCTCAGTGGAGACGGACATTTGGTTGCTCATCGGGTCGTCGACTTCCGGCGAGATATTCTCTTCTGTCAGGATCTCTGTTTCGTTCACTGGTTCTGTTACTGAGAGTCTCTCGTGACGTATGGCAAACGGCCACGGTCCGCCGCATTTGCAAGTCTTGGACTGGCGGGTTACTCGGCATTCGGTGAAGTACGGACAACAGCACGGCTGTGTGTCTGCTGAAGCATGAAGGTCGCCACAAAACACACCGGACAACGTGTCATTCATGGCGACGGAGCAGTTGCCGCTATCTCGGCATTGGGAGCAGCCGGCAGAGACGCTGCCGATGGCCCAAGCATTGGCGCTCACTGGTATCGAATTCGGTCCCTGTAGGGTGCTTGCGGAGACGTCGGCGACGACCTGAGGAGCTCTCCAGGTTACGCAGACGAGAAGCAATGTCGCCACGCGCTGCAGTGGGGTCATACCAAAACGCAACACGGAAATGAAGGCACAATCACCAGAGTTCTTGGGATGGGGCCGCAAATAATGGCGTCGTGCTCCCGTGTGCGTTCCAGGGGACATTCATGCACAATTCCCAGCCGCAACGCTGCGACTTTACCCGTGACCAATCTGCTGTTGATTGGCCAATGAACGTGAGCTAGTCGGTCCAAATACAGTTCATGTGTCAATCATAAATAGCGGCCTTGGTGAAAGTGAGCCAGCTCCGTGATGAAACAAGGTGTGCATGAGGATGGCTCCAAGCTGCACTACCCAAATGTCTCCATATCTAGAGAGTTTGATGCAATGTCAATGCCGAATTGGTATTGTTTTCAGGACCAGCAGCCCTGCACTAACTCCTCGGAGACTATCAAAACTGGCTGTTTGCGACCACCGAATGCGATTGCTGAAGTTGCCAGTGCTGTAGAAGAAGTCACCTCAGACTAAAATGAAGTTCAGCATACCCAACTGAAACAGTTATCAACGCAGCTCAGCGTGGTATTACAAGTACCAAGCAAGGGCTCAAGCACGAGCAAGGCCTCAAGTATACTCACCGTTGCTGCCACTTGGCTGTCAACACCATCGAATCTATTAAAACCTTTTTCTCCAACCGTTTAACTGCGAAATAGACTCCGGGTCATCGGCCGGTATGGCAACCCGCTGTCATTGCCTCCTCGCCACCACCATCAAAGCTTATTCGAGGTATCCATCCCATCGTTCATCTGTCTCGAAAAACACCCTCAAACTGCAACCCTGTCAACATTTATCTTAGAATGCGCTTCGATTGTTGCCAGTTTGGGGCAGAATCGGACATTCTCCAAGTCATTCCGATATGACGGCGTCCACGGCAAGGCAGGCGACGTTGCTGCTTCTCCTGACGCTTCAGGTGGGGGTACAGCCGCTGCTCATGGGCTGGTACGCGAGTGAGGCGCGTGACGTTCGTCTGCGTGTGGGGGTTGTGGAGTTCCTGAAGTTGTTGCTGGCACTAGTGCCTCTCAGTCTCACACGTGGGGAAGGCGGGCTGCTCAACCAACTCAAGACGTGGAAACTACGCGCCGCCTTGGCCACGACAGTTTTTCCAGCACTCATTTACGTACTGCAGAACCTACTGAACCATGCGGCCGTGGTGGCACTGGATGGTGTGACATTCAACGTGCTGAATCAGACCAAGATCATCTGGACAGCGCTGCTCGTGTACCTGTTACTGGGCACGCGTCAGTCTCCGCTCCAGCTCGTGGCACTGACACTGCTCTGCGTAGCTGCAGTGCTGATGACGACGTCATCTATAGACCCAGAGGATGATGAGCAGCGTGAGACGGACGCCGTCGTGTTCACCGGAATGTACCAGGCATTGCTAGGCGCCGTGCTATCTGCTTTAGCCGGGAGTATCATCCAGAGAGCCTTACAGCGAGAGAAACGTAACCAGTACATGGTTACAGTGGAGCTCAGTGTATTGGGTGAGATGACGCTCTTGACGCTGGCCTTTGTACAGGACGGACTCTTGACAAGGGACGGAGACTCGCAGGACGGTATGTGGGACGGCTGGAGCGTCATGACGCTAGCTGCACTCATGTGTCAAGCACTAGGAGGAGTGTTGGTGGGCTTCGTGATTCGAGACTGCGGTAATGTGGAGAAAAGCTTTGCCGTTGTTGGAGGTATGGGACTTACAGCGCTGCTGGAGGCCCATTTCAACGGCAAACCATTTGGTCACAACGCGCTGGTGGCAATGGCTCTTGTGGCTATCAGTACGGCGTTGTACACACTTAATCCGCCTACTGTGTCAGTAGAAGAGAAACCGGCTTCTCTCGTACCTGAAGTTCCTGTGTCAACTTCGAACGTGGGGCATTCGAAGAAGAAAATGAGTGCCGATACCAGTGAACTGGAGCCGTTCTTGGCACGTCCGACTGTCGTCACAGTCAGTAGCAATAGTGTACATACCAGCAGCTCTTCTCGACAGGAGATGCGGAGACCAGTGCGGCAACTGCAGCCTCTAAAGGAGATACCACTTGCTCGACGGGAGCTGGAAGCGATCGTGTAAATTCACTAAAGTATCAACATATTCACTCTATTTCTCACTCCCGAGTCTTTAGCTAAGCTGGATTGCCTGCTGCATTGACCGCGTGAGCGTAGCGCCAGACAAGTCATCGAGCTCCTCAGTCTTCCACAGTGCACCAACGTGGCCATCAGGGCGCACAAGAGCGGCCGCCTTGTTGTTCATGAAGCTGGTCCATGCGTTGTTATCGTATTCAAGAACATGCCACGAGAACACCGAGCTGAACATCAAGGATTTCTGAACATCCTCAATAGTAGAATCCACGCTCGCCGAGCCGTCAGCACTGGAGCGCAGCACAACGAGAGAAATATGCTTCGCCACTGCTGGTGAGCCAGAAGACAAGCAGGATTTAATCGCCTTTGCAGCATCACGGCCACCAACGACGAGAACAAACTGCACGTTGCTGGATTTTCCACTCTGCAGAGCAAGACGAATCATGTCATGAGTGGACACCTTCTCGTTCTCACTAGAGCACCAGAAGTGAGGGAACCGCTCGCCTACGCGGAATGTTGGAGAGTAGATGATGTTATCACCATCGCCAACTTCAGTTCGGAACTCCACAGACTTGTCTAAAGCCGAGTCTTCCATGAGTTTCTTTGCACGCGTCGCCCACGAAGCTGCGTCGTATGAAAATCCAATGTCAAAGTGGTAAAACATCATGCCCAGTGTCTTACGACGTGTCACGATTTCTTGTACGCTGGAGCGCATGCGATTACCCAATGAACTGCCCGCTCCACCAGCATCCTTGGCTTCGTCTAACAAACCTAGCGGCATCTTTCCCACACGCATAACACGCTGAGCAATTTCCCGCTGGGCTCGCAGTGGAAGAAGTTGCATTGGTGCCGAGTTGATGATCTTCGCCAAGGTCTGCGCGTTGTCGTGGGATACGTTAAGTGCTCGTGGAATCTTCATGGTTCGAGCCACATTGCTCAGACTGAACTGCGTGTTTATCTTCGCGATAAGTTGGCGTTCACGGCCGTACGACTTCAGCAGTGCTTCAGTGTTGATGCCATCAGCGTCAGTCGAGTTCTCAGCGTTCGATTGGATCGCCATAGCAAGTTTCCAGACCAGATTGTGTGCATCTTGCAGCCCCGTGTTCATGCCAAAGCCTCCTGCTGGAGGGAACTGGTGCGCAGCATCACCCACGAGGAATACGCGTTGGTTGCCAGCGTCGTATTGCTTTGCCACTCGAGCTCCCATTCTCCACTGTCCAGCTGACAGAATGTTGATGTCGTCGTCGCTGATTTTGACGTTCTTGGGCAGGATATGGCGCACTATGTCCCTACATTGGGCAGTTGAAAAGTCCCAAGGGATCGACTCCTGTGGAGGGAAGAATGGGATCTGGAAGACCCACTCGCCTTGGTTGAAATCATGGGCGATCAGAATGCCGACCACTTCCTTGTTGAACACAAAGTACAGCATAGCCGGGTTTTCGCGTGCAGCTTCTGACAAGGCCTTGCTCGTGAAGTGAACGTTGGCGATACTTTGAAGGTTGCGCGTCCCAACCATGTCAATGCCGCAGAGTTGACGAATCAGGCTGTGTGCACCATCAGCTCCCACAACATAGTCGTAAGTCTCCTGCTCGAGTGCGTTGGTATCCCTATCAAGTATTCAAACACAACGTCGTCCTTAATCAATTCGTGAGTCAAACCAACGACATCACTCCAAAACAAACTTACATGTGGCGCAGCGTCACTTGTGTTGTGGCAGAACTGTCCATTGGTAATTTGAGACCCTCGAGTTCGACGCCACGTTCCACACGGACGTTGTTTTCAGCCAGAAACTCGTCCAGCAGCGTTTCGAAGCGGTTCTGCGGGAAGTGCAGGAACTGTGTCGGTGACAACGCTGCTAAGGACTTCCGTAGACTGTCACCAGTAGCCATTGCCTGCTTAACCGTATCACGTGGGATACCTTCACACCAAATGCAAGCTCAGTCTCACTTCCTATCACCATTCCAATCCGTCGTCACTTACAGGGACCGAATTGATCAACACGCGCAATTTCTCGAGCTTTACCCACTCCCGTGCAGTAAATGTAGTCGCGCCACTATTCACACACAACGTCCATAACTCAGTTGACACACATTGACACATTGAACCACTTCAACCACTCACAAGCACGCTGGGCGCCGCCTGGGCCAACAACCGGTCGTGAAATTCTGGCATTGCAGCATAGAGAACTTCCATCGTCCGTAGATTGATAAAATGTGCTTGCGGATGCGATGTGGGGCTGCGCTGACGCTCCACAACGCGGGTGGGCACGTTGTAGAGCTTCTCGAGCATGAAGGCGGTAGCCAGACCCACAGGACCGCCACCCACCACTAGCACGCGCGGCTGCTGCGCTCGCAACAACTGAGACTTCACCGTCATACTTCAGCGTAAGCCAAGCGAGAGGTGGGGGAATGCAGCAGCAGCCAGACACCGCGCAATGCTGCAGGTGCAATTGATATGCGCCGTCACATGAAACTTGCAGCTCAAATAGAGGCCTATCGAGTGGACCACTTCAATTGAATCCAATTATCCAATTATATACGAAGATACATATCCGGACAGAGTGATTGTCACTTCAACCATGGACCGCGAAGAGTTCCGCGCGCTGTCCCTAGTAGATGGAGCCTCCGAGCGGCTGACAAAAGTGACAAGGGCATTCGAAAGCCGCTTCGGACAACCGCCACTTGGTGTCGCGCGCGCTCCTGGTCGTGTGAACCTCATCGGAGAGCATGTCGACTACGAAGGCTACGCAGTGTTGCCCATGGCAATCGAGCAGAGTGTCTACGTGGCTTTTAGTGTGGTAAAAGGAAGCAACGTAGGAGAGGTGGCCCTAAATGTGGCAAATGCAAAACCACAGCATAAATCAGTGATATTGTCATTGGATGAGCAAGAACAGAAAAACAAGCAAAAGCTCGAGCTGGAGGGTGCGATGTGGGCTTCTTACGTGTTGTGTGGAGTACTGGGGCTTCGAGACGATCGACCAGAGGCATTTCAAAGCAAAGAAATGGAGCTACAGATGTTGGTTGATGGAGACATCCCTGCGGGCTGTGGCTTATCCAGCTCCAGTGCGTTGGTTGTTGCCTCAGCCTTAGCCACAAGTAGTGCACTGCAGTTATCAATAACACGACCGGAGCTGGCAGAGCTATGTAGACGAGCAGAGCATCGTGTAGGAACCATGGGAGGCGGGATGGACCAGGCGGTGGCGTGCTTGGCACAGCGTGGAGTGGCGCTGCATCTAGATTTCTCAAGTGTTCCAGCGAGAAGTATGCCAGTCAACGTTCCGGATGCTACTGCTGGAGTGACGTTCGTCGTTGCCAATAGCTTGGTGGTGGCGGAGAAGGCCGTCGATGCTGTAACTCGATTCAATAAGCGTGTCGTGGAATGCGCTCTCGCTGCAAAAATGATAGCCAAAAAAGCAGGAATCGAAGACTGGAGAAAGGTACTACGTAGTACTTACTTTTAAGGTTTTCATCGTGTGTGTGGGGTCAGTACTAATGTATGGTGATTGTCGAACCAGATTACACGACTTGTGGACGTTCAGAAGGGATTGGAAGGTTCTCGAGACGGGATTTCGTTTCGCGAGTTAGAAAAACTGGCGTCAACTTCCTGTCCTTTGAAGGAATATTCAATGGCTGAGATCGAGACCGACCTTGGTGAACCGATTATAGAGCTCTTCAGGGGATCCTCACTGGAAGCAGCCGCGATAGTACGTGTGTTTTGTGCATTACATGATGATGCCTCTTAACACTTTACATCTGTGACTTTATGTAGACAGTGATTGCTTCCGCTTCGTCATTCAAGTTGCAACAACGAGCTCTTCATGTGTGGGGCGAGGCTGAACGAGTGGAGCAATTTCAAACACTGTGTACTTCACTGGCGAAAGAAGTTCAGCGTTCATCGGATCATGTTGCTGTGCAAAAGCAATTACAAAGTCTTGGAGATGTCATGAGTGCGAGTCATCACGGTTGCAAGGCACTATACGAGTGTAGCTGTCCGGAACTGGACGCTCTGGTCGATGCTGCTATGTCCGCTGGTGCTTTGGGAGCACGGCTTATAGGTGCAGGGTGGGGAGGCTGTATCGTCGCGCTGGTGCGAGAGGCCAAAGTGACCACCTTCATGGAATCAATTCGGTCGAGCTACTACAATGAACGAGGAATATCGTCGTCTGACGCCGCGAACGCAATGTTTGAATCCGCTCCTGCATCTGGAGCAGACATTTACGTGGTGATGTCGAATTAATTTGATGTCTCTCGCATCACGGAGTCAGTAACGAGCGAAGTTTTTCCAGGTACACATCCTTTGCTTGCAGCTCGACGTCTATCAGCGCAAGCTAGTAAAGAAAGCAGCATCAACGTTAGCTCGTCGCCGTAATAATACTCTGGACGAACAAAAATACCTCGGCTTTCCGCTGTGCTTTCTCAGCCGGTGTCATCGAAAACTGAAGAATCGTGAAGTCTCGTTTCATGTCGAACAAAGACTTTCGTCGCTCCGCTATCTCTTGCTCGTACTGCTCAACCTCTTTTCGCATCTGCAACAGCATCCAGATTTATTAGCAAAATGAACCTGTATCCTACACAGCTGAAGCATTTTACCTCAACATTGGCAGCAAAGCGGTCGAGTTCTAAAATGACCCTGAAGTATGTATCACTCCTCTGCGACGAGCCAACAAATAGCATTACTAAGAACAGCAAAAACAACACGCAGCAAAGAGAAATATCTTACATGTATCTTCTCGAAGGCCTTTTTGACAGCAGGTCGTGTCTGGATCCAGCAAGGAGACACTAATGCAGCTTTTTTGCACGGAATCACTCCAATCTCCACAGCATCCTGCAATTGTAGTACGGTAAAAATGTCAATAAACAGTAACAACAATCCGACTAAACCTTTGTGTGACGTACCTTCGGACGCAGAAATAATACTTGCTGGTCGATCAGGTCCAAGAACTTTTGTTCGCCCTCTTCGCGGTAGTTAAACGGCAATAACGCTTCGACGGGGTTCACGCAGTTGAGTGGCGTCTTGTCTTTCTGATCCAATAGTTGTTGTGGAGAAGCAATTAGTGAACTTCCGCCAGTTACGGGAGTCACATTAGCCAACGTTTCCAGGCACTTCCAGGTTTCCAGCGCGCTAAAAGCTTTTGACGTGTCGGTGATATCGCTGGATACTGAGGACTCGGAGTTGTGGCTGGCAGGGTTTCCCTGTGGAAACTGCAGACTTCCGTCTAAGTGCAATAACTCCAGCAGTTTGACTTCTGTGTCTTGATTGAATGCACTGCATACTTCTTGGATGATAGCGAGTCGCTCTTCGTGCAGCGTCACGCTGTTTAGATTGCTGTCCTTTAATCGCCGGCAAATCTCGTCAATATCGCTCCACCAATTCCCGGTTGTCTTCAAAATAAACTCCAGCTCTGTAGCTCGATTGTTCTGATCCTCTGTCGCATCTCCATCCTCCTCATCCACTTGTTCGGAGTCAGAGAACAAGTTTAAATCGTGCAATTCCTACACATCGGCATCAACAAAACAAACGTTAGGCCCTTACGCTACCAAAAAAGCAAGGAATTTGCTGTATCGTACCGCAAGATGGTGCAGTTTTTCTTCCGCTGAAGTGGAATCCACAAGGTTGTTTGCTGGACGCAACAGAATGCCAACGAAATCTTGAACACCTTCCGATCCAGCGCCGCTCAGTCCGGATTGATGACGCGCTTGAATCCACTCCGCCTTGGATGGTGTAACAGTTGAGGTAGTTAACAGCACCACGTAAGCTAAGCCCTCACTCGAGACTTGATGAGTCCAACGGAGCCATCGTTCAGCTTCCTGATCACTGAGTGTATCAAAGTCCCTCAGCAAGAATACAGGAGGCGCGGGAACTTCGCCGGCTGTCGAGTTTGTCAGTGCATCTGGATCGCTCTTGGCGTCACTACACGTATCACTGTACTGCAGGTCTCGTAGCGCGTCCAGCAACGCATCCATCATCGTATCCTCGGCGCTAGTTTTCATTCCGACACGGGGATCGAAATCCTCCGGAATATTTCCGTGCAGAACAGTCTTCAGGGCCGAGTAACGTGTGGCAATCTTGTGCACAGTAAGTTCTAGCGTAGAAGTAGGAGCAGTCAGTCTCTCCAGTGTATCTCGCGTTGGCTCATCGTACGATCCCAGCACCTTGACACCTGTTAGAAGTCTGCACAGGTCTCCACTTAGTCATGCGGCCTTCGAATTCCAGAAACAACGATATGCCTACGTTTTAGAGACGACCGCTGGGTTGTCGCCCGCTGAGATTGATAATAAATATGGGAACTTTGGTGGCGCAGTGCCCAGCCAAATGGAAGCGGTTGCCTTCGAGCCTTCGATATTTTGCTCCGATGCGCAAGAATGACTCCATTTCAGCAGCTGCTGCTTTGCATATACGACCTTATTATTGTTGTCATAATGTTGCGCTGTTTCTCCAATAGCCAGAGCAGTCAGAGGTGTCAGCGTAGCTACAGCAACACCGACGGATCGAGCGTTGCGCAGCATTTTTCACTTTCGATCGAATATTTGATGCGACAGTCAGTCTGATTCATAATTTAATTCGATAAAAGGGATATCTAATTACACAGGTTGTAAGATGGATGGACTGCAAACCGCTTTGACTTGCTTTGCTGTTAGGCTGCTCAGTTTTCAATTTCCTTTTGGACGGCGTAGTGGACACTTGTAGTATAAGACATGTTTTCCCCGGAGTAGCGTGTGATGTCTTTCATCCTGGGCGGACTTCGGTCTGTTCAGAGTGAATTCCTCGTTTCTGACGAATCCGCTGAACAAGCGGCCTCAATGAGACCAACCTAAGACTAAAACGACTGATGCTCTCCATCAAAATGCATTTACACCTTACCAATAGTGTATTGGCCACCCACGAGGTAAATGCCAATGCTATCAAACTAGAATGACTTGGCACCTTTTCCTCATCGCAACTGGCCAACCTCCAAAATACATTGCTTCTAATGCAGTCGTTGCTGGCAGCACGCATGTTTTTCATGACCATTTTTCTTAGCTGTGCGAGCAGCTACCTACCCTACGTATACGAGAACTCTTGCATCTTCGTATTGTGTCTTGCTCTACTCTGCTACTAGTAATAAATACGAGCCGCTCGGCTTCCAATGTTCTAGTACTGGAGATGACGTATCCGACCATTAGCGCCGAGCACGAACTCGGCTTCATCTTCGCTCGGTCGAGGGTCTTCGCTTGGTCGTACTTCTTCCCGTCTGGCACTGGGTTGGCGGAACGGAGGCAGCATATTGGAGTCGCCTTCTGACGGACTCCTGCTGAACGTCGTCGACACATCGGACGGGTTGCCCTCCATCTCGAAGTCGTACTCATCCAGCGACGAGAGACGACCACCAACCAGGCCATCGCCGCGACGGCTATCGTTAGGAAGGCCAACGATAGGAAGCCCCGATGTCTCGTAGTTTGCTGGACTATACTCCACCGCTCCACTGCCTCGAGCGCTCAGCATACTGATGGTCTCTACACCTGCATACGGAGACGTGAACTTGTAGAAATGCTCGTTCTCCTGATGATCATGGTATTCCTCGCTCATAGCGCTGCTACTACTGCTGCGAGTAGAGAAGCGACCACGGAAGAAGTTGGTAATCCGCTGACCCAGGAAAGAACTGGGTCGATGCTCCAGATCCGATGTACCATCACCATTTCTCAATGACGAGAAGATGCTGTTCGTGTACTCGGAGCCAGATACAGACGCCAGGGTAGCAAAATCGTTCGAGTCCTTCGACATATTGTCCAGAATCGTGTTGAGGATCTCTGCAGCTTGTGGCGCTGACGGACGAAGCGCAGGGTTCTGAGCCCAGCATTCCTCAATAAGCTGTGCAAACCGCTGTGGACAACGTGGATTAATCGGGGGACGCTGCTCCACAAGCACCTTCTCGCGAACTTCGAAGTCAAACTTTGTGTCGCTGAAAGGAACCGCACCGTCTGAGGCAATTTCCCACAGCACCATACCAAACGAGTACATATCCGTTGCTCGACTGTATCGGCAGTTGTGCGGGTCCTGAAGGATCTCGGGAGCATTCCAACGCCACGTGCCGGCAAATGACGTTAGTTCATCCGAGACACTTGGGTTCTGCTCTGCTAAACTGACAGTTCGCTCGCTGTATCGCACCCGGTTGACGAAGTTCGACACCTTAGAGATGCCAAAGTCTGCCAGCTTGGCTTGCCACGTCTCGGTGACCAGAATATTGGATGCCTTGAGATCGCGGTGAATGTACGTCGGGTTGCGCGCGTGTAAGTAAGTCAGACCTTTCGAAATATGAAGAGCCAGCGCTACTTTACGCCGCCAACCGAGCGGGAAGTGGCGCTTGAGTACGTCCTTAAGGCTCCCACGAGAGCAGTACTCAGTCAGAATTCCCAGTTTGCCCTCGTAGTATCCAGCACGCATGAACAACGTGATGTTTGGATGGCGCAGACGAGAGCAAAGCTTGGCTTCTTCAATGAAAGCCTCCTCCGAGTTCTGGATAATAGTCCGGTACAGCTCGGCGTCCACCACGCCACCTGCGCCTCCATTAGGAAGCTTGATCACCTTCATAGCCACCTCAATACCCAGCCATTGTGCTTTGTACACGCTGCCAGCAGCTCCCTCGGCAATGAATGCCACGTTCGACAACCCGTTCAGCTCCTCGAGAGTCACCATTTCGTTGCCCACATACGTGCTTTTCATCGATTCTTTGCCGTTATTGGTGCTTGCTGCACTGCTGCCAAATACAGTCCGGAACGACGAAGCCAGGACATTTCCTGCGCCATTGTTCCCGCTTCCAGCCAAGAGCCCTGTGCCCATCCGATCTCGCTGACGTTCTCCATGACGTGAACTGTTGCTACTTGACTGTAACATTGTGCCGTTATTGCGTAGATCGTCTTCATCTCGAGGGAATCTCGGTTCTCCTAGATGGCGCCAGCCAAAGACGATGGCGTTGAACAGTGGCACACTGAACAATAAGCAGTCCGCCACTTCGTATGTCGCGTAGCTGATAGCATCGAAGCCCAGCACGTAACATAGCATCATTGGGAACTGTAGTATCTGCACCACAAGAAAGTAGTGCATGAGCTTCTCATGAGCTATCCGTAGCGCCTGTTGAGCCTGCAGCTCCCACGTCTTGGTAGAAGCCAAAACTGCATTATCCCCGCTATTACCAAGCGATGGGTCTGTCATCGCAGTAACACCCAGTTCCTCCACGCTGTTCAATCGTCTCCTCTGTGCAAATAGCACAATATTCGCTGCAATCACGCAGCCTGCCGAGAGTGCGAACACTGCAATGTACAAGTAACGCTGGCAGTTTGCCAGCGTGTCTGTGGCGTCGCTGTCCGTAATACGAGCTTGTAGTCGCGCCGTCGAGAGAAGTCCGCTGCCAAGGCCGATAGTCCATATGATCAACCAACTCGTCCTCACTGGGAATCGCTTCATGGGTGGACTGGTGGCTTGGTGACCACGAACCCAACGGTGCGTTCGCAACACGAAGACTGCAAGCACGACGCCCCAGAGAAGCGATACAAGGAAGCTCACATGAAATAGCGAGTCGATACTAGCGCCAACCACCGTGCGCACCTTCACTCCCCCGCCCATGACCATGTCCATAGACTGGTTAACAGCCCCCGTGACCGAGAACAACCAGTCCGTCATGACGACCGAGTAGTAGAGCGCAGGACCTGTCGCGTGTGGAGGCGGTAGCGGAGGCTTCCTGCTTCGACTGCGTCCTCGGCCCCTTCCGCGCGTACTGTAGCCTGGGTCTGGAATCCGTCGGAAGAGTACAACAGCCACCACAGACGAGATGACGGCAGCCGTGCAGATGATCACGAGGCGCGCCGTCTCCAGCGCGTCCTCCGTCGCCGTCATTTACGTCCTGTTAAGTCTCCTGTTTGCTCCACTTGGTCCTATTACTGAGAGAAAGAGAGCGTCGCCGTCGCCGGCCGAAGAATGGCCTGCTTCCGACTGCGAATGAACCTACCTTCCTCCGGCCAGTGCAGGAAGCATTACCAGCTGGCCTCATTTTGTGCCCGTCTCTACTTTTGGTCCTTATTACGCTCGAAAATCCCATGCTATGACATATTGTTTACTTCTCATACAGCATATTGTGTCCAGATAATTTTAGAAAAAGAGGATGAGCTTAGAAGCCCGTGACGAGCCTTTTAGAAATAGTGACTTCATCGCGCCAGATTGGATGCAAAAACAAACAAAAAACTTCAAGATCACTTTTTTTTCTCTAACAACCGCTGTTCATTTCTCAATTGACCAAGCGCAATGGACTCCGTCGACTGGACGCCGTACGTCGAGGCGCTGCTTTCAGGCCAGCAGACAGCTCATCAAGTGGCCCAGCAGCTTTGCAAGGACAAGGGGCTGAGCGCCAACGATGCTTCGCAGACTACGGCACAAGTCGCAGCGCTCGTGCTGCAAGTTCTGACTAAGCAGTCGTCACCCAAACACTACGTAGCTCCGCTGCTGGAGCAACAGAAGAGGGAGGACACGGACGTCGCACACGCACATCACCAGCAACGCAGCGCCACCGTTACGCGAGTAGTTGAAGCCGCTATCGCCCAGAAACTGCTGCGTGACGATAGCCCGCTCACCAATCTCTTTAACTGGGACGCCTTCCAGAAGCGGTTGGCCAATCTGCGCGCCGCCTTCCCGGAGCCAGAGTTCAACCATGCTCTAGCCGTTAAGACTAACCCTACGCGCGGTTTGCTGCGAGGTGCTTGTGCTAAGGGCTTCGGCGCTGAGTGTGCGTCAATCGCCGAGGCGAAACACGCGTTGTCACTCGGCTTCGAACCTCGCAAAGTCGTGTACGACTCTCCTTGCAAGACGCTAGGTGAGCTACGCGAAATGCTATTGGCTGGTGTGTACATTAACTTGGATAACGAAGAAGAGATCCGCAAGGTGAACGAGATCTTGGCAGAACTGGGCGACTCGGAGGAGACCAGGAAGAAACATGCGGCACAGATTGGACTACGCATTAACCCTGTGGTAGGCGGTGGCACAATTGACGCTACTAGCACAGCCACTGTCACCAGTAAGTTTGGTCTCCCACTTACTGCAGAGACCAAGCCTCGATTACTGGATATCTTTAAGCAGAATCCGTGGCTGCAGGGCGTACACGTGCACGTCGGCTCGCAGGGTTGTCCTCTCGATCTGCTAGCGGCAGGCGCCAAGAGAGCTGTAGCCTTCGCTCTTGAGGTGAATGCTCATGTAGGACACAAACAGGTTACTGTGCTTGACATTGGTGGAGGTATGCCGACTGTGTACGATGGTGGAGAGCGCGAAGCCTACGACTTCAAGGAGTACGCAGACTCAGTGCGACAGCAAGTGCCTGAACTGTTCACGAGTGGCTTCTCGTCCATCATCACGGAATTCGGACGCAGTGTCTTCGTGAAGCCTGGAGTGACAGTGTCCAAAGTGGAGGCAATCAAGGACTGGGCAGACCAGCACATTGCAGTGGTGCACGTCGGTGCTGACCAATTTCCTCGCACGGCATATCTACCAGAGCAGTGGTCTCACTGCATCTCGGTGCTCGACTGTCACGGCCGTCCCAAGACAACCCCCAGCAGTGAATACATTCGTCAAGATATCGCTGGACCGCTCTGTTTCTCAGGTGATTTCCTCGCCAAGCAGTTATTGCTGCCACCTATTCAAGTGGGAGATTTCGTTGTGATTCACGACACTGGCGGCTACACAATGTCGATGCACTCCAAGTACAACAGCCGACAAGTTTCATCGTATTTTGCCTACTCCGCCGCCAGTGATAACGTGAAGTTCTCGATGCTGAAGGAGCGCGAGACGACGGAGGAGACACTAGCCTGCTGGGGACTCGACCACAATGTCGAGCTGTAAAACGTACCACAAATGCTAGATATCAGGACAGGTTTCTCTATTTCTCAGACAGCAACGAAGTGCATTTCAGCCTTAGCTTGTCCCTCATTCATCACAATACGATTCCATATCGATTCCATGTCGAATCTAGCTTGTGCGATTTTTAATAACCGCTCTCAAGCATACTGCGGATGTAGATAACCTGACCAAACGCAATGCCCACGAGTACGATGTTGGTGATCAAGGACATCCACTTCACACGGGAATTCGCGCTCTCCGCAGCTGTCACCAGCAAGTTTGTGCGTCAGCAACTCAAGAGGTATTCTCATAATTAAACAAAAGAGCCACCCACCATCACGACTCAATCGTTCTCGGTGCTTGACGAACGAAATGTCACCACGGAGAGTGAAGACCGACTCCTTAAAGAACGCGACTTCATGCATCAGATCCAAGCCGAGGTCTGTCAAACGTATCCACACAATAATTAGTTCTACTTTCAAAAACGCTCAAAACAAAAGCGCACCTTCAACAACGATCTGCGGGAAGTAATCCTCTGCTACGTGGTGGACGCCAAACACGATAGCGTCACCGTTTCCGTGCGCATGGATCGAGAAGGCAACCGTCTCGGTCTTGCCGTCCAGCTTGTCTTCGAAGATCTCAGTGATATCAAACGCAACATGACTTCCCAGCTCTGTCACGGCATTATCAATGATATGGTCCCGGTATCCGCCCGTGGCGTAGCCCTCCAGCGTCTCCCAAGTGACCGGGTATCGCATTCGGTTGGGCAGCAGTGCAAGAGCGATATCCACCTGCTCTCCATCCGTGATGCTGTCCACTGTTAACACGAGCTTCACGCGCGTATTCCCACGAATAATACTACGTGAAACGCCGACCAGGTCGAACTCCATAACTCCCATCTTGGTAGCCTGGGCGTTCACTGTAGTCACAGCCATCTGCGTGTAGGCCGGGACTGTAGGAGCGTCCTTACTGACCGTGGCCGCCACATTGGGCACCAGCGTCAAGCTCCGAGCACCCGTCGAAATGAAGTCGAAGGAGTAGAAGAGCGTGATCGTGGACGACGCGCCCTTGAGCTTGCGGAAGCACAAGTGATACAACCCGCTCTCACGCACAGTTGCGCTGCCGAAATTGTTCTGTTCAGCCTTCCACGCCATCACCTCGCGCTGTGACGGGTTCTTTACCTGCATGGTATCGAATAATTACTGTAAGATAATTGATAATAATGCAATAGCATGCGGACATACCACCACGTCGACAAGATCGTAGCTCTTGGGTTCGAGGATACCGAAGCGGAAGAGCACTTTGTTGTTGGAGGCGCGAGCGTTCACCGCTTCCATAAAACATTCCTATTTAAGCGGTGGTAATGAGTAGAGGACAGTGTAGTTAGTTAGTATGCAGGATGGAGGATACTGCGGGGTTTGTGTGGACGAACGAACGCACCTCACTACGAGATGTCAGCGTGAACTGAAAGCGCGACGCGTGGGCGTTCGGCAACAAACAAACGCACAGCAGCAGAGTCACTGCCAGTGAGAGGAAGCCGCGCATGGTTCTATGTGGGAGGTCGAGTCACAGCGAGCTTTGGAGCGGGGAAGAGCACTAGGTAGACGTCGATTGAGGAGTGATTTGGCTCTCCGCAACGTAAGTGTGTCAGATCGTAGCAGCAACTTTAGATGGAAAGGGCAACTTTACTTTGGAATTCTGATACGGCTGCTGTGGGTAAACTGAAGGATGAATTCGTTTACTACAATAGATGAGCACACCATACAGCGTTGTAAAAGAGAGCGACCTTAACAACTCAGTATAGGTTGTCTGTGCGCTGCACTTGCGTGTTCATGTAGCGAGTTGCGTTAGCTGATCAACATCGAGCATCACAGGGCAAGTTGTTACCTGAAATCATTCGTCACCTTGACCCGTGGCACATCCACTTTCTCGCCTATCAGTCGAGTTTTAGTATACCAACACCATCGGTGTTGCTGAGGTTAAGCCATCACGGTTGGTGCAGTGTGTACCAGTCCGAGCCTCCGTCCAAATTGCAGTTTGGCTTGGAATAAGATGAAGCTTTCGAACCGCCGTCGTGTTGCGCACGCCACTAACAGTTCGTCATAGCAAGCCCCCTCCGATCAAAGCCAACCACATCGCTGTAGAATGGCTCCGGAGTGCCCAGCTATTGCTGGTTGCGTCCAGCTAGCGCCGCCAGAGTTCACGCACCACTTCAACTTGGGGCAGTTCCATTTAATTTGGATAGATACGCCGCCACGTGATCTGGAATCACAGCTCAATCTGACCGTCAGACTCTGCAGCCTGCATCCACTTCAACTGTTGTTGAGTGACGGATCATCACTCACGATGGTTGCTTGAGCTGCTCGGCACACAGAACTTCTGAAGGTGCTCCAGCTGATTGTCAACAAGCTGCTAATGAAGCAGCGTCAGCATCGTGTTGTGAGGACATGCAGACTACCAGAAGCTCTCGCTAGTGCGCGTCAATGCCCGTCCTCGAGGTCTTGGACCGGGGCACGCGTGTCCAACGGGGTTGTTGAAGCCCGCGCCGACTTGATTGAACGGCATGGGTTTCTAACAGATTCGCAGTATATCATACAGATTCCAAGCTTGGTCGGATAGACTACGGACAGGTCAGTTCAAACAGCGACAGTATGACTCTGAATCTCGTGCGGCGATCCGTTTCGCGAGATCCATGCGATTGTAGAGGTGAACTGTCTAGCGGCAACATAGCCGGGCCTCAATTTTTCGTGGCATTGTTGCACTGCTTCGTGTGGGCAGCGGCCACATACGTGTCGACCACGGTCTCTATCCCTTGCATGCAGCAGTATCCTCGGCTCTCGGCGGTTGCGGGTTCGTTCATACGCTCACTTCCCATTTTCCTGTTGAGCGCCTCGCACCGCAGCAATACTCCTATCAATAGATAGGACACACCGCCCCCGTACCGCGCAACGGATAACGACAATCTAACTGTAAAACCCCCACACATCGCATCAAAATGGTCAAGTTTTTGAGTCCCATGGCGCTGTCGCTGGCTGCCTCTGCCGCTGCAGTCGCCGCTTACGCTGCTCACTTCAGCTTCCTCCCGCAGTTGACCAAGTCGATCCCTTCCTCGCCTGCCAACATGGCTCCGCGCACGTCGCACCAGCGCAACATCGACGAGATCAACCGTCTGGACGGCTATGACGTTGTGATCGTGTGCACGTCCACACCGCACCAGGCGCAGTACTGGCAGGATCGCCTCATGGCTACGCGCGGCTCTATCTCGCCCAAGGATGCTAAGGTCATCGCTGTGTTCGAGGACTGGGAAGGCGGCGCTGGTAATGGTCTCGGCACGCTCTATGCCTACACCAAGGCCGTGGCGGCCGGCAAGGAGCTCTACGGCATCGACATCCCAGCACTGCTCGCTGCAGGCAGCATCAGTGTCGCGTTGTATCACACTGCCGGTAAGGGTACGCGTCTTGCGCCGCTGCCCGGCAGTGAGAACAACAACAAGTCTGGCGTCAAACTTCCGGCAATGGTAGAGGTCAAGGACAAGTACGTGCCCATGACGATCCTTGAAGCCGTGGTGAAGCAGACTGGCGTCTACGCTTCCAGTCGCCGTGGACGTCTGTCAGTTTTCTGGGGCGACCAGGTGTTCATCCCGTCGGCTGAGGTCAACTACGAGGCCAAACACCACATCGATATCCTGGCTGCACTTGCTCCTATGCCCTCGGAGAAGGAATGGAAGGAGAAGGGTCTCGAGAAGTACGGTCTCATTGTAGTCAACCAGCAGGATAACGCCGCTCAGGTCGACAAGGTGACTCACGAGACTGCTATCCGTCTGTTGTCTTCGTTCGGCGAGATGAAGTCGGTTGGTACCAGTCTGGGGTCGTTCAGTGTGGATGCCGACATGCTTCGTGCACTATTGAGCGAATTTGCCAAGGAACTGGCTGCTAAGAGTGGCAAGCTTGACAGCGATCCGCACTTCTGGATGCCTTTGACGCTTGAGCTCGACGCGTACACGGAGGTGATGGCACAAAAGGGTGTCGACAAGGCGGAGTCTACTGCGCATTACCAGCGTATGAAGAAGATGATGGCCAATTTCGAGGAGACCCGGACGAAGGAGCTCGGACTGTTTGGCTGCGTCGACGTTGGCAGCGATGTGTACTGGTGGGACTACGGCCAGCTGAAGCTGTACCTGAAGAACAACCGTCTGGTGACCAAGCCTGGTGTGGAGGCAGATTGCTTACGGTCATTCCTGGGCATCAGCAACAACATGGAGCACAGCCAGATCGGTGAGAACGCGGTCATTAAGGAGGCCACGGTCTTGAACAGCGAGATCGGTCACGGTGATATCAAACGCAGCGTATTGAGCGGAGTGTGTGCGAAGGAGGTGAACGCGGATGGCTCGATCCTCATCAACGTGACTGCACGTTCGATCACAGCGCCTAATTGCGTGGTATACAACGTCACCTCTGACGAGGCTGAAGGTTTGTGCTTGGAGGAAGGAAGTGTGGTTGTCGGTGTGCTTCTGCCTGATGGCGAAAAGGTCGTGATGCGTTCGAGTATGGATGTGTGCGGCGGCAAGGCATGGAAGACGGTGCTGGAGGAGAACCAGCACTCTTTCGAGAATATCTATGAACTCAATGCGGATGCGAATGTGTCAAAGCTGGAGAAGCTCATCCAGGACGAGCACGTCAAGATGCGCGAGATGGTCTTGTCCTCCTAAACAACGCAACATTCAGAGCTAGTACAACGTAGATAATCCCACCGGTTGCCGGTAGAAACTCCTAAATGCATTTGATTCATCCTAAATCTTTTGAGACCATTTGATTGATGTAGCCACCTGACGCAGGCGACGTCGCAGAGCGGTTTCCTGCAGGTTGATTGCAAATTGTGGTCAAATCTGACGAACTCACAATCCAACGATGCCACGTCACGGCGCTCTATTCAGAGCACTCGTTTCGATGGTTGACATACGTACTTAATCGAATACTTCTACCACTTTACCTTTACATTCTAGCACTGATAATTCACGAAGACAATCATGTCGACGGATGCCAAGCTCCAGCTGCTCATAGCCGCCCTGGGCGCCGTAGCGCTGCAGCAATTCGTGTCTCGACGTCATCACCAGACTATCGCAGCGGAGAAGGTGAAGCAGCAGAAGTTTCAAACCAAGAAACTGGCTGAAAGCGCTGCTTCAGACAATGACGAGGCATTTGTGGTTGAGATTGAGTACTGCACAGGATGCCGCTGGATGCTACGCGCCGCGTGGATGGCACAGGAGTTGCTCACGACATTCCAACAGGACGAGAACAGTCGTCTTCGGTCCGTGACACTCACACCTAACTCGCGCCAAGGCGGTGTATTCAACGTATACTTGCGTGAGGTTGGGCCAAACGCTGATCCGGATGCTGAGCCAGAGGTGTTGTGGTCTCGCAAGATCGCGCGCCGATTCCCGGAATCCAAGGAGCTCAAGCAGCTTGTGCGCGACATTATGTGTCCTGAGCGGGGACTTGGCCACTCAGACAAGAAGTAAACGGTGAAGAGAGAATACTGTTCGTGTGCATGAATCCTATCGCTTTACGCAGTCTAAACTAAATGCGCTGCTACTGAGGCGCTCGGAGGTTTGTCATGACAGTCGGAAGAGATGGGCGACTTGAACCGCTTGGAAAGACGGCACTAGGACTGACGGCCCAAAGCTCCGTTAGCCACCAACAGATAAATTTGCTAATAAATCATTAACCGTACCGTGAAAAAAGACCCCGCATGCTCTTGCCGAGTGAGGCCACGCCGGCTAAACTCTTTGGAATTGCGGAGAAGGATGTCCGCCGACCTTCCGGGTGAGTCACACATTTGATAGCAGAAACTTGAAACTCTCGCCATGCCCACGGGTGCGCCTGAGAACGAGAAAGATGAGATGGTTAACAAGTAGAAATGCTAATAAAACACACAACGACATAGACATACGCGGATCTGCTGGCTTGTGAATCGTAACTTCGGGTCCTTCTCGAGTAGCTGCCGAGTCAGTAAAATTGGTTAACAAAGTTGAGATCTTCGAGCGTAACTATTGCAAACGCACATGTTCCATGAGGTCGATAAGCTCGCTTTCTACTACTCGGTCGCCAACCTGTGTAGGGTACTCGATGGGATCGCTCTGAGGGCAAACGGTGTTTTCATGTCGATTTTAGCACTTGTAAAGAGTTATCAATTCGTCTCGGTAGCAGTTGCAAACCTGAATTTTGCCGTACAGCACTGTCATGGTCTGGGCGATAAACGGTGGATGTCCGTAGACGAACATATAGAGTGTGATCCCGCAAGCCCAGATATCTACGGGTTTACCCTGAAAGCTATCTCCTGTGAGCATCTCTGGTGCTAATAGCGTAAAATCAGTCAGCTAGAGATCGGTGAACCAATATACTTTTCGCGTACCCATGAAAATGGCCGTTCCAGCGGTTTGCCGCATGTCTTCATTATCATGCTCCATTTCCTGAACGCAGCATATAGATCAAATACTTGGCGTTCAGTATACTAGTCCAAACGTAGTTATCTTGTGTTCGTACATGTGATACACCAAAGTCTGCAATTTTGAGGATAACTTCGTTGTCGTCGACTGTCTTTAGTAGCAAGTTTCCCGGCTTGATGTCACGGTGAATGATCTGACAGAAGACACAACAACAATCAATATACACTTTAGTATTGAGGATGTATTTGATATCTGGCAGCAAACACACCTTGTTTTCGTGTAGGAAATCGATACCTTCAATCTAAGAGAAACAACAACAACAGATTAACTTGGTATTTGCTGCCGGCACACAGCGTAAGGAGAGCGCTTACCAAATGGGTGAAGTACGTTTTGGTAAGCTCCGCGTTTAATGGGGTACACTTTCTGTAGGACAAACAGGTACACTTAGGTGATACTTGAAGCACTTGCACATTAATTGCGCATATCCTTACATGTCATCATCCAGTACGGGGCCACCTTCAACCAATTCGCTGATCATATACAATTCATCGCTGTCTACACAAGGCGAATACGAATTAGCTCATAGCTACAACAATTATCGTCGCACAACATCAACTCACCATCCGTATCGATGACTTCACGCAGTACAACGATGTGTCGGTGTTTGAATCGCTTCCAAATGTTGAGTTCCTTCTTGACGGATTGTAATGCGTTACCAAAACGACCGACTCGAATTCGCTTGAGCGCCTTCTTATCCACGCACTTGGCGGCAAACACCTCCTTCGTGTCGTTGCATTCCACTTTAAACACAATACCATACGCTCCTTTGCCTAACTGCTCCATGAAGGTGCTGCCAAAAATGAATAACCATGACCATGAGTAGCAATCTATTCGATGAGCCTTCACAAAACACAAAAAGAAAAAAAAATCACGTAATTCACGTACTACTGGTTGAGATGCCTCCGACCATCAGCGTCCACTGTACTGATCATGCTTTTCGTCTCTCGAAATGACTGTCCACGCTTTCGTAGTGGCACAATCGGCTTCATTCCTGTCAATTGCTTGTCAGCACTGCCCTGTTGGCTCAGTGAAGCTCGACCAGGGGCGATAATAGGTTTCACGACAACCAAAGCTGGAGGATCTGATAAGGATCCATTCTCCACTTTTGTCACTACTAATGGTTCAGAGTTGGCCGTCAAAGTTGGAGGGCTTGACAGGAGTTCACTCTCTGTTTTTGCCTTCACTAGAGGAGAGTCTAATGCCACCGAGGATCTACTCTCCACTCGAGCCGCTGCTGTTGGTTCAGATATGGCAGCCACAGTACTTTGGGCTGCTGTATCTGTTGAGTTATTGAGCTTAGATGACGTTGGAGTCTCGATTGTTGCACCTTCGGACGATCCCGGAATCACGTTGCATTCAGGTATTGCGAGCGATGAGTCTGGAACAGCATCCAGATCTGGAGCAGATTCCTGCTCGCTTGTCAAGTCAACCTCAACACCTGAAGGGTCCTTCATCGAGGCTGATGATGGTATTGAGTCGGAGGATGAAGCTGGTCGACCCATCGAAATGGAATGACGTCTCCTAGATAAATGCAGCAAACACACCAACCTTGAGTACAAATGACTGGTGAACTCTGCAACTAGACAAAGATAGCTGCGGTCGGACGTCGTCCTAGAATATATATTTATGTTTGAAGCGATATTTTTTTTTCATAAATGACACGCAACACTGATGACTAACCTGATGAGTTCAGCTTGGCCTGCTTACCTAGTAGTAATCATAATACAGATCTTGGCAGTCGAGCAACGCTTTGACGTTATCTCGCACATGTACCAGCCACGCGATCTGCTCGTCGAGGTGGACCAGCATTTCCTCTAATTGCGGGATCGGCACCGAGATCCGCGCATACTCGACAATCTCAACTTTTTGACCACGGAATGCACTGTTCGCAAAAGAAAACGTTAAGAAATAATTTAAACAAAACTATAAGAAACGTGCAAGCAATACTCACCAAACGCAACCGATGAACTCTTTCCTCGATGCACAGCCCTCTGGAATGTTTGTGATCGACTTTTGCGTAGCCATCAGACTAAAAGCCTCCACCAACTATAAACATAATAATCACCTAGGTAAGACCGATAGCACACGCTTCACTAGGTCACGCAGACGTACCAATTCTCCGCGGTGGATGGAAAAGTCCACGATGACTTCTGACGGAAGAGCAGGCTTGAAGCTCTACAAAATGCGCATACTGATTAGAAGTGTGTCCACACTGTGCCTCTCGCACTGCGTAAGGTCACGTACGTGGTCGACATGAGAGCAGTATGGGAATCGGCGACGACTTGGCAGCCGTAGGACGTTGGCGGCGTTACGCAGCTCTTGACAGATGCGACCCAAGCTCTGGAATGTGCGCTGTACAATCTCCACATACACCTCGACGTCGTCGTTGTTCGGCTGGTCGTTCAGCAGGTCGTGGCGCTGCACGTTCAAAAATTCCTTTATTGCGGTGAGTCTACCCACTTGGCTCTGCACTATGCCGTGGAACTCGAGGATCTGGTTCAGTACGCAATACTGCTGCAGTCTGGGTGGCATAAAAACATAAAAACACTGTTAGAATCAGTAATAACAGCATCATTTAGTGCAGTTTGCTGGTCGTACGTGCTGTTGATCGGCGCATTGCGCTGGGCTTTGGTCAGCTTGAGTTCCACCTTGGTGAACACCACAAGGTGGCCCTGACATTAGAAGACCCGTGTGTAACACAACACATGTCAGTGTGGTCAATATCCAATCTAAATCAGTACCAAATCGTACTTCGACGCGGATATCGGCCTTGATGGCGGGCGATGCAGCACCTCGGTCCGAGCGGATGCGACCCCAGATGAAGTCGATACGCTCCAATTCTTGCGCTGTATAGTCGACAGCCGAGTTCACGTCCTTGAGCAGGTAGTAGCGCGTCTCCCGCTTCTGCTCGGCAGCAATCAACAGATATCAGCAGTGTACTTAAATAAAAAATAAATAGAGCCCTACCCACCCATGCACTCAGCTCTTCATCGCCCTCTTGCTCTTTGAACCTCGTGGATGGCGCTTGTGTCAGGCTGCTGGACATTGCTGCTGCTGCTGCTGCTGCTTGTTGCTGTTGTTATCTCTTGGTCGGCGCGAAGTCGGAATGGCAGACTCACGGCGCCGTGCGTGCCTGTCCCCTTCAACGTGGACGACGCTACAGCAGACAGTGGACAGGCCAGACGACGTCTACCGTAATTGGGCAAAATACCTTTACTGCAACAAACTAAAATAATTTTATTTGTTGTCATATCTTATTATATACTGAAGCTAAACTCGTTTTACATATGTAAGTTCTGTCACAGGTCAAATGATTAAATATAGAGTTTTATCAAATTTCATAGCTCGTAGTTGTTCTTCAAAAATCTCCAGAATCAGCACCGGGAATTGGGTTCACACTGCTTTTCAGGACGTGTTGGTGCTGCATCACGCAGTGCTTCTTGTTCACCACAAACTTGACGGTGCTGGCCAATTTTTGCTAATCTTGTCACAACGAGCGCCAGCTGGAGGTGAGAATTTCTCGAAGAAGCCCCAAATTCTACCTCAACTTCCGGCTCTGGGCAGTGAAGATCCTCGATGGCGAGCCTCCATCATCGGCCTTTATCGTTGTAGGGACACTACATGTATGATGTACGATGCATGTATTTGCGACTTGCGTATGTTTAAGGTGGCCGCTGACTAAAGATACTTTTTTGGCGAGGTTGCTGCTATGCGTGACTTCAGGTTTAGGTAGCCGTCTGGCATGTACATCGCTACAATACAAATAACTAAAGATACTTTTTCCTTCTACAGTATTTTTATCGTTTTTGGAATAGATATCTATTGGGTGCTTGACGCTTCATCTTTGAGTTGCAGTGCACAGTAGAATGGCAGCGAAGGAAACAACCGAGACGGCACTAGCCGTCGAGGAAGGCAAAGTTCGAGATCTCTACAATGCACTGCGAACGGGCGATCACGGCGTTAGGTACGACGAGTTCAGCTTTGGCGATGCACGTGAGACAGGCCCCTCTAAGAGTTCGTTTGATTTTGCCTTAATATCAAGCCTCGAAGCACTGGCACAGTCGCTCTACTTCTTACAACATGCCGAGTTCACGCTCTTCGACGTGAAAGACGTTTTCCAATCATCCACCTGTGGGATTTCAGTATTCTAGTGATTCTTCAGGAATCATACTGGACATTGACGCTGTGCATTTTGACAGGTGCGAGCGAGCGCTTCCTAGCATACCGAGAGTTTCAAATCGCTTTGGGCAAGATCGCTCGCGTCAGGTACTATGGTAATTGCGGTGGGTCCGACGAATCCGTTGCGTCGCCACCGAAACAGCACCCCCGCCCGACAGAGCTGGAGCTCCTGAGCTCTTTGGTGGATCAAATGACGAACGAACGCCACCATAATCAGCTCGACACGCTGCGGTGTCAGATGACTCGATGTAGTGCCATCGACACGCTCGAGCACAATCTGCCGGTGTTGATGCAGAGCTTTCAAATATACGGCTCGCAGAACCGCATTTCGACAAACGTGGCAGGATCCACGTTGTCGACCATAACCCTTGACGGATTTGTCGATTTCCTCAATGCATATATTGAGTATGAGGAGTTCTTCTCTTTTGACGACCTCGCACGAGTGAGTATTTTTTTTTAAGATGAAGTCGATGCACTAATTTCCCTTTTCAGATGTACACCGAGGTTCTTTCTGGGTTTACAATAGAGGTCATCAAGAAACAGACAAAGAATCGCAAGGATGCACCAATTCACATTGCTAGTGAGATGAATTTTGCACAGTTTTTGGAGTTGCTTTGTCGAGTGGCTTGTGTAATGCACCACAAGCTTTTACTAGGAGAGGGTGTACAGCTTCGACGAGCTGTTGAGTCCTGTCGTCTCGAGTTCAGCCTTGAAGTGCTTTTGGACCACATGAGTATCAAACTTATTCCGAACGATGAATCGATACCAGGAACTACGAATCAACAGCAGCAAGAAGTCCCTACTATTACCTCTGGTGTGAAAGATCTGGCAACAATTTCCTCCCAATCGCCTCGCGACGACATTGCTGCCATGGTATCGATAGTACAGAATATTCGTGATCTTCTTCAGCTTGAAACTGCTGACTACGCAATATCAACAAAGCCCAAATACCGGCTAAAGCGAGAAGGTAGCTTGGCAACGATAGGGCAGTTTTCGAGAAGACCGAGTGGTAATCCAGCAGAGCAACCATCATCAGGACGGAGCACTCCCAATATCCACTCGACTACTTCTCAAGCCAGATTAGACGAGAAACCAAAGCCACTTCCGCAAGTAGCCATGATACGAGAGGTTGTCATGCCTCCTACGCTGCCTTCAGACCTGATTCAGTTGCTTGAGAGTGCGTTGAAATTCCAGAATATGGCCCAGTACAATGTACGTTATCCTCAGATAGCAACTGCTGTATTGCCTGGACTGACATGTTTTCTTGAGTTTAATGCAGATGGCTCTGAGCACGCTTGATTCGTGCAAGCAGCGTTACCAAGAACAGTATTCTTCACCCAATGGCGACGAGGTCGACCCAATTTGGACTGAAGTTCATCTTTTCTTCCTCCTCCAAGCTGCAAGTGTCTACGATAGTGCTCACCGAGATACACAAGCTTTGACGAAGTACTATGAGGCAATGAAATTAGCTCGCCAATTACCAGCATCGCACCCGGGACGACTATTGGCCAAGAGCTGCGTCGGAGTCACACTATTTTACGTTGGTGAACTAGCATTGGCACAGCAATTTCATCAGCTAGTATTGGATGTACGAAAAGCTACCAAGAACAGTACTGGAATCCAGCCAGACATACGAGGGCCTGCAAAGGCTGACAACTCTACCAACTGCGCTCTTGTCGACACAGCGACATCCATGAATAACGTTGCGTGCTGCTTATCCCAGGATCAGAGTGACTCAGCTTCCAGATCTTTGGACAACGCGTATTTGCTGTTTAAACACGCAAAACAATTTTACACTGATGCTTTCGGGCCTGCACACCCTCGAGTGGAACTAATCGGTCGAAATTTAGATCGAGTTCGAGCATGTCAGAACGGTGTAGTAAGCGATGCTGCTGGTGCGTTGGCGCGTGGGGAGTACGCCCATGTGATTCCTGGATCGACATTCCAGATTAAAGCATTTGAGTTTGCTTCAAAATCTTCAAAAGGAAGCAGCGGTAAAAGTGGCAAGTCAGGGGGCAAAAAGAAAAAGAAAAATGCCAAGTAACTTGCATTGATAACGAAATACACCTAGTGGTAAGTCTATTGATCCGATGATCGGATGACATGTCGACAATTCTATCAGACAAGTTCTATTGGTGCATGAATACATTCTAGCTACTCTTCGACTTGGCAGGGGACGTGAGAGTCAAAACTAGCAGATCTCCTAGTGCTTTTTTCCAGTACTTATCCAACGCAAACCAAGCCACAAAAAAGTAGAGCACGCGAGCCTCCATAATCCGCTCTTCGTTCGTAACGAAATGATTGGCAACGTGCGCGACGAGGCCCATTACAGCGCTCGTTCCGATAATTTGCAGGATGAATCCAAAAACACCCACAGACAAGTCCACCACGCGGTGAGTTCGGCCGTAGTTTGTCAAATAACGTAGCACCGTTCCACTGGCGTATAAATTGGCAGTAGAAACAGCGAGAAACCCGATCGGGTGCGCATTTGTGTTCATCTGCCACTCCATGACCAGCTTAGGGATCGTAACAGCCTTCAACCAACTGACGCTCAACCCCACGATCGCCTTTAGCAGTGGCATCGGAAAGCGAAGCCCATCGACTATCACCACAACAAAGAAATAAAGGGGCACCACAAGTCTCACAGTTTCTTCAAACTGCGGTGCAGCGCCGAACACCGGGCGAATGATGGTTGTTCCTAGTAAATTAGCAGCGATGGAAGCGAATAGTGCGCGGGCGTGGCGAAGCATTTCCTTGCGCAGCGACGGAGGCCGACGCGCTAGTTGCGGTGGAGTCACAAAATCTGTGAGCTGCGTTCGTACAGCCAAACAAACCCAGACGATAAACGAGCGCTTCAGCAACGTCTGGAGCTCTGGGGACTGCACGTAGAATGCGCTGGTGGTGAACTCGAACCAAACAGCGAGGAGGGCGACGAGGATCACGAGCAGATTGGGCAACAAGCTGGAGCAAATTGACACCCATAGCGGAGATGAGCCGCTAACACCATTGCGCTTCCTTGAAGGTGACTGAGGGGGCCTGGCAGCGTTGGTGGCGGCTTGGGTAGAGCGGCGCTTGACCATGGCGACAATGGAATGAAAGACTGAAGGTCGGAAGTTCGAGTCGGAACAGCGGTTGATACGATGACACGTTGCGCGAATCGGTTACAACAGGGCAGGTGATTTGTGAAGGTTTTAAAAAAAGGGCATACGAGGAAATTGGATTTCGCGTCGTTTCGATATTAAATATGGATAGAATGTGTCAGAAAAAGGGGATTCTTTTACCACGTCACAGTTTTCTTCTTGATCGACTCAATGAGCTGTGCCGGCAACAGTTCTCGGCTGAAAAACGAAAGCGTTCCGAACTCCTCCATCACCTGCGCGCCGTAGATGTATCTCACCCACTCCCACATGCACCCGCTAGCATGATCTGACGAGAACATCTTCTCAGCCTCCTGTCGAGACAGCGGTGGATCACACTCATCCGCCTCTGACAGCAGCACGGAGAACTCTGCGGACAATTTGGTATCGCACGCGTTGGCTAGAAGGCTCACAAACTCGTCAAATTCACGCAGCGTGAAGGTATCGTCGAACTCCGGCTCACTTCGACCGTAGTTGCGGTGTTTGTCGGAGAACTTCGAGCTCGTCATAAACATGAAACGCTCATTCGCACTACAATCCTCGATCCATTTGCAACCCTCCGACTCAACTCGTTCAGCGAACAGGTCGTACTTTTGCTTGAGCTCCTCGAAAACTGTCGAGAACGGCGACTGCCACTCCCAGTTTTTCTTCAGCTTGGGCCACTCACAGTCAGTTCGAGTGTGGAAATCCATCAGGTACGTGTACAGCGATTCTCGAGTGCCCCAGATAGCCAAGAAGGGGCTGCAAAGACCCAAGCCACCATCGTTTAGCGGCCAGTGTAACCAAGCCGCAGACATCGATGGACTCGGACCTTGACGTCCACGCCTGATCTGCTCACGTATATACCCTAGAGCATCGCCATTCGTCTTCGGGAACACTAGTGTGTGAATACGGCGAAGTGTAGATAGAACTTCTTCCACGTGCCTCAGACCGAATATCGGGGACGGGTTTCCAAAGTTGCGTAGGAAGAAGAACATGTACTTGTTGTACACGTTGATCCACCCGAAGGTTGAGGTAGCAGCGGCCAGTCGATCTGCCATCTCAGTTGCGAATAGCTCTACTTCATCTTGACAAATGCGAACCGATCCGTTCGAACGCAGTTCAAGCAGACCCCATCGAATTGGAGTCACTGGTAGTGGGGCCGACGCCACCTCAGCTTCCGTGTGGTTTGATCCAGCGTATATCCGAATCGATCCACTCTTCTCTTCGTTGAACTTCAGACCCACTTGCTGAGCATACCGCTGCATCTCGCTCCAGGCCTGCAACACCTTCGACTCGTCCGCGTCAAAGAAGCAAATGTCATCGTGCGACCGGTACAGGAAAATCCCCGACGACACGAGCACGAGATAATCCATGACGAACAACTTCATCTCGGCAAGAAACATTGTCATCATTCGACTCACAGGCAAGCCTCGCTGCATGATCTTGGGCTTCGTGAAACCCGGGAAAAGCAGTGGAATCCGAGTGTATTGCCGGAACACGCTGATCATGTCGTCGTGCACACCCAAGAAGCGCAGGATAGCAAACACGGCTTCATGCGAGACGGAAGGACCAAAGAACTCAAGATCCGTCGTGACAGCCACCAGTGGCGATGACTTCTTGCCCTCAACCGTTAAAGTTCGCTGAAGATGCGCTTCCACCAACACACGACGGATAATATCCTGCTTGTTGCCCTTATCGTCCTCGTCGTCATCATCGTCAGACTCTGAGTCATCATCTTCATCATAAGGGCTACGCCCAGCGTCTTTCATGCTATTCGGTAGGGCGAATAACTGGAATCGTCGCATCATGTCAGCCCTGACAGACTCCACCGACGAGGTTCCAGTCATAAAAGGCTTGTCACTCAGCGAATCCAGCAGATTTCGAAGCACCGCCTTCATTTCGATACTCCATTTGAGACCGATGTATTGGAAGAGCAACAATGTAATTGCCTCTTCCTGCAGCATACAACGGAACCGTCCGTTCATACCACGCTGGATATCCACTCGCACACCTTCTTCAGGCCAACGCCAGTCGCTCACGTTGCTCAGCTCGATCGTCAGAACATGTGAGAGTTCCTTCATAATCTGCTTGTTGCGCTGCGCATCAGTAAACAGCATCACAACGTCGGGATTGAGGAAAGCTTTGTCCTTCAGCAATGCCGCCACACAACTAGAGACATCTTGTTCTGTAACAGGGGAATCCCCACGCAGCATACTGTCACCGAACTGACCCAAGCGACTACGTGCCAGGTGGAGCGCTTCCTGCTGGCGCTGCGTCTTGGCCTTGGAGAACTCCTCACGTTCCTGGAACACCTCTGTCTTCAAGAACTCAAATACGTCGTCCTCTGATACTCCGCTGTTCTCAAAGAAATACGACTCCAAACGTTGCTGCGTCTCCTCTCTCGTCAGCTTCGCGAGTGGCTCCTTGTTGCCAATTTCTCCACCAACGGTAGTGGCCTCTGGTTCGCTGTCTTGCGCTCGCACCAGCTCTCCATCCTCTTGATCGTGCTCCGTCTCGACCAGCGACTCCATGAGCAGCTCTCCCATCAGCTTATTGTGCTGCCAGAGACTGCGACGCTGCCGAATCTCCCGCAAGATCTGCTGCTTGCGCTGCTCGACCACCGTCTCCGTGCTCCAAGGGTCAGCGGCTGCAAACTCGACCAGCTCTCCAATACCCTCCAGTCCCTCGTGCACGTAGGTCTGCACGACCTGCAGGTCTTTCACGCCTTCGTATAGATCTCCCAGCTGCTCTCGGGATTGCTTCGCGCTCGTTGAAGCTGCAGCGTTGCCTTTCGCCAGGCCAGTCTTGGTCAGCAGCTCAGTGTAGTGGGTCTCCAGCTTCCGCTCGTGCTTGGTGAGCTCTCCCAACTTGATCTGCGTCGACACTTTAAGCAGCTGGAAATGCGCGTTCGCCGGCTTCTTCGATGTCGCCATTTTAACAAAAGGGATGAGAACTGACTGGGTCACTTGGGCACGGGTCGGCAAATTGAATAGTGAGGTTGGAAAGGATGCAAAAATAAAAATGTATCCATATCTTTTTGACCATCACTCATAAAAAGTAAACTTTCTGGTGCGCATTGTTTAATGGAGACCACGCGCCATTCATGACTGCACAAGGTGTATTGGATTATCCAATACACCTGCTCGTAACTATAGATGCATGTGTTAATGTATGGGGTAGCCAACAAAGGATAATAATGATAATGACACATAAGAACATTGGAAAATCTGGACAAGCACTTTTGTGCGTTATATTCTGTTATTCGCTGATCATGATGTTGATCTAAAAGTCTCCAGCAAACTCGCCACCGCCACCTCCATCACCGCCCATGTCACCCAGGGCTTCTCCAATTAGAAGACCACCCAGCAAACCTCCTGCAGCGCCCATGGCCACAGCACCACCCGTGCCCATTCCACGGCGTCCGCCTCGTCCATAGTCGTCTCGATAGCCGCCATGGCCGTATCCTGGCTGGACGTACGTAGGCTGAGCGTATCCTCCTTGAGCATACACCGGTTGCGGGTATGTGCCTGGTCCGTATCCCTGTTGGGCATAGCCACCTTGTGCGTACACTGGTTGCTGCGTGTACGTCACGCCAGCTTCAGGTGGGTAGTCACCCTGCTGCTGCATGCGGCGCTTGCGAATGGCCATGAGGATTCCGCCACCGATCAGTCCACCGACGACGAAAACACCAAGGCCGATCCAGATCCAATACGACGGGCGGTCGTTCTTGTGCTGGCATGTGCACTCATACGTGTTGTCCGAGGAGCAGACGTCGCTGGCGGGGCAGCAGCATGCGCGTCGGTTGTTGGACGAGTCCAGCCATGAGTTGCAGAATTGTCCGGCGGCCCCATTGTAGGCCTTGGAACAGTCACCTCCGTCTCGGCAGATTTCGCATTGACTCTTGGAGCTTGACGAGGAGGATGAAGAATTCATAGTCGAGTTCGCGAAGATGGAGGCGGACGAGGAGCCGCTAGACGTCTGCGCGGAGGCTACAGCCACCAGCAGCGCTAGCAGCAGCACGAAGCTGCGCAAATAGCGGCGATGCATGTCAAATGCAAGAGTTACCGGTAGCCGTTACTTTGGATTTGCGCGGTAGTTCAAGAAATGAAAACGATGTTCAGCGCGGTAATGGGAATGCGATTGCGTATGACTTGGCATTTGTATGTGGTAGTTCTTCTCCCTGCGAAAGCAGCATGAGGACAGCCGCTAATGTGGGTACAATTGCATTGAAAATCCAGCGAATCACTTGTTGAGACACCATGTCTGACGGCAGAGCCTGTCGTCAAGGTATTTGCATGAGGTCAAGTTGCCTTTACCATGAGGTCGAACACTGAAACCCCTCTAATTCTGATTGCCCCTACAATATGGCGATCGCTTGGGGGCGTCGGGTGCTGACGGGGCTCGTGGGGATCCCGACGGCGTTATGGCTGCTGAGCTCCGACATGGGCATGCTGTTGCTCGCCACGACGCTCTGCTGCCTGTCGCTCGTGGAGTTCACAACCTCCATCAGCCCACAGATCGTGCCACAGCCAAAGGCGGCGACGGAGAAGCTGGCACATTATGCGCTGGTGATTGCTTCGGGTGCTGTACTGTGCGTAGGCGCGTGGAGTGGCGCCAAAACTGTCTATGGTGGGAGGTGTTGCTGTTGCTGTATTGCAGGATATGAGGCTGACATACTTCTATTGCAGATGCATTGAGCCTCGGTGTTACATTGGCGATCTTCTCGTTCCATATCGCCAGCACCAAGAAGATGGACCAGACAGGTACAGCGAATCTGTGCAGCTAAGTATGAAACTCGTGACTGGCACTGATGGAGTTGAACTGCTACAGCGCTGATCAAGTTGTTGCTGGATCTGTTTGCACTGCTGTACATTGTAAATGGTTTCAGTCATGCCATTTTACTCCGGTACAGCTCGAGCAAGTACGGACTTGGACTGCAGATCCTCGGACTGTGCTGCGCTTGGGTGTGTGATAGCGGTGCACTTGTTGCAGGGTCCTTCATGGGCCACGCAAAGCTGGCGCCAGTTGTTAGTCCAGGCAAGACCCTTGTGGGCGCGATCGCAGGCATCATCTCTAGCGTGGCCACGGTGCTGGTCATGTTTGCACTCCCACATTTTTCTAGTGTCTTGCCCTGGACGCACGAACTGCTGCCTCCGCTCGATGTGGTGCCTGTCACGCACCAACTAGTACTCGGTACAGTTCTTGGCGTTTTATGCATCGTGGGGGACTTAGTCGAGTCGTACGTGAAGCGTGTCGCTGGCGTGAAGGACTCCGGAGCTTTCTTCCCCGGCCATGGCGGTTGCCTCGACCGGATGGACAGCTTCCTGTTTGTTGCGCCGTGTCTGTACTTCTATAGTCAGTTCGCATTGCCAAACTAAGTCGGCCACGGGATTCACATCAATAGAAAACTAAAGCTTACTGCAATTTGCAATTTACATTGTGGCATCAACAGCCTCCTCCACGATCGATTCGATTGCTTTCTTGTTCTTGTTCTTCCCACTCTTCTTAGTCTCCGGCTTTAATGGCTCAATCGCTGGCAGCTTCTTCGCGACTGCTACTTGTGCAGGGTCGTTGATGTCAATTGTATCGACTGTCTTTGTCTTCGAGTTCCTGCGAAGGAACTTCTGGCGGTCTTTCCTAGATCCGCCCAGCTTGCTCGAGTACTGGCGGATACGGTCCCTGTGAGCATTAAACGTTGCTGTAAATAAAGAAATAACCACCACAGACCCATTTGATCGCTGCAGACGTACGTGATGACACTCGAGTCGGACTCGCTGAGCTTGAAGGATGTCCTGCGCATGGCCATACTGAACTCCGTCACCTTCCCGTCTCCGATGCCGTGCAGCGCGTCCAGTTTGGCAGCTGCCTCTGCCTGTTGGCGAGCGATATCGTCGTACACACACTTCTCCTTCTGTTTAGTACGCCAATAGTAGATGCCGACGCACACGAGCAGCAGGATGGACAGGTTTGACCCGAAAGCGGACTGAGAGGGACGCAAAAAAAAGAGTTAGATTTTCAGTCAACTAGACGACGACCTACGTCTCCGCACCTTCACCATACCCTTGGCGATCACGCCGAACACGAACAGCAGTAGCAGATACTGCGTCCGGAGCTCCATGTTGCCTGCCCCTTGCCACTTCAGTTCTTGCACTGTTGTACAAAATCGTACTTAATAAATCAGTTGTGTACGTCACACAACAAGTTGAAGTCGTAGAAAACAGCATTTACTACAGCAGCAGGTCAGTAGTCTACAGTGGAGACATCTGGAGACCTGGTCTAAACCAACCAGTCAATTTCAATAACGTGCATTACTAAATTAGAAGCTCCTTGATAGTCTTTATATCCTGGAGAACGCGCCTTATATACATACATTTTTTGGCGGAGATCACTGGCGCAATAGGTTTTGGATGCTCCAATTCAATCGGCTAGCCCGATCACGGCTCATCGAAGCCCAGGAACTCCCACACGAGGTGCATTACATTCTCGTCCAGCGGTTCTCCCAATGAGAACCGTTCAAACACACGTAGTACTGCCAGACGCTCGAACAAATAGTTCTCATGCCATGTGGCACAGTCGCCGGTGAACTCAAAGTCGCCGAGCTCTGGAGGGAACTCATTGCCGTACTCGATGGCCAAGTGCTCCAGATGTACATTGTACTGTAGAGCCTCCAACAAGGCTCGCGTACCAATGGCGTCGATATCGTTGAAGAGCAAGCTCAGGTCTGTGAGCCAGGATCCCATCGGAGACTGGCTGTCGCTGATCAGCAGCATGGCAAGGTCGAACGCACCACGGAACCCAAGCATATTCGAGTCTAGGTTGAGACTCCGAATACGACAGCGGCCCTTCTTGTACGCCTCCAGTAACGGGGTGATGTTCGTGAGCTGACAGTCGGACAGGTTTAACGTGGTTAAATAAGGCGAGAAGTAGATGATCCGGTGCAGAATCTCCGTTGCTGGGATGCCGAATTGATCTGGACTCCCGATCCGGTTTTCGCTGAGGTTAATGTCCTCCAGACGATCACTGATGCCCGTCATCTGGAAGAAAAGCGTGATTAGCGGCACCACCATACCCTCGGCGTCCGAGGCCTCAATCATATTCCAGAACGAGACCGAGCGCATGAGCGTCGCCGGCGAGCATATCCGTGGCGACATACCGATCTCCGTCATTTCAATGGCACTCTGGCGTGGTACCCATCCGAGTCCGAAGCCAGGGACGACAACACACAACCACTTGCGCAAGATACAGAACACTTCTAGCAGCTCCTTCTCGACGAGCAGGTCGTTGTACACCTCGTGTTGCGAAAGCTTGGATGTCGGCAACGGACGCACAGTGGTGCCCTTTTTGATGAGCGCGAACACTCGGCGATGTGGAATTCCTTTCAGCAACGCACGCTTGACGTCCTCGCGCAGAATCTTGTCGCGGTTGCTCTTGCTATAACGTTGCAGGGCGGCTGCGTATTCCGGAATCAACAGAATCAGCGCCGGGTGGCCACCAGACATGATACCTTCCACAACACGGATGTCCTTCATGCGCATCATGTTGCGTGACAAGTCCAGCTTTTCAATGCGTGCGGTCGAGTTGGGGTGGAACAGACCATAAACCAACCAGCCCCAGCATAGGTGCAGGTCCTCCTCCTTTACTTGAGCCGGGTCCATCAGCTCCTGCAGGTCGATGTTTTGGAGCGTGTTCGAATAGTGCATTGCTGAGCCGATGCTGGCGAAAAATGTGTTGTCCATTGGACATTCGCGAATGGCTATCTCCTTCATGAGGCCACGCTGCTCCTCCGGCAGTTCGGCAGCCATCGAGTTATACTTGATCACCGGGTGCACAGCGAAGATAGCAGTGCAGAAGCGGCGGAAGGCGACGCGATGCTGGTGAATGAAGTTAGCGTCCAGCGTGTCAATGAGGTGGATCTGTCGGACGTGCGCCATCTTGTCGCGGATGAGGCGCGTAAGCGAGTTGAGCTGGATCTCGTTCATTTGGAAGTGGCGCAGTGTGAGGAATTCGATGACCTTGCCCACCTGTGTGCCCTGATACACGTAGCGGCGCACCTCCTGTTCCTGAATAATGCGAAGCAGGTGCTTGAGGTCCACGAAGTCATGCGCGAGCTCGAAGCTCAGACCGTGGTGCTCTCCGCGGTGATATTCGCAACGCACAAAGTAATCCTCATCGCAGGAGCAGAATGGAAGCGGCTCGGGCTCGCTTTCGGTCTCGGAATAAGTGCCTGTGGAATCATGGTACTTGCGTCCCAACCCACCCGGAGGAGAGCTCGTGGAGGATCCATAGTAGGCCATCTTGCCGCCAACCATGTCGAGGCGCGGATACTGCTGCTGCGGGGCTGTCTGATGTAAATAGGATTGCATCCAGGCGGATGCGGCTGTTTGGCTACAGCGCGAATTTGCCGGTAGGAATCAAAATGACCACCGAGAGAAGGTCGCCACGAGGCCACCTTGCGCGTATCTGTTTGCAATGTGCGTGTGCGTGCAGCAAACGATTGAAGCTCGTCGCCTTCACGTGCGACTTTTTTGTGGTCTGTTTTTTGATTGGCAGACAACGAGATGGCCAGTTGATCGATCAGTAGTACCGTGCAACTGATATCGTCGGCTTCCAGTGTTTAAACTAGAACGGCCTTAGAAGATCAGCCTGACATTAAGAGTTTTTTTGGAGGGCAATACCCTGCTTTGCAAGGTTGACGGCATTACGGTTCCCGTGGCAGGATATGTACTCCCGATTGTACCCGTCATGCGCCACCGTTGCACCTATCAACCTGACCACGAGCGCTTCGACTCGAAGTTGTGGCGCCGTGTTTGACGGTCGAGCTGCGTAGCGATCGTTTTGTCAGGGCTCTGCCAGCCAGCCAAGCTGGCCTATGCCCATTACATCTGCACGTTTTGTCAAGACTTTGGGCATTTTGTACCCCGGTTCCGTCAGTTTGCGCGTGTCTCTAGCACATCGGATACCGTTACTGTGCGTGCGAGTCTAGCGATATATACCGGCGGAAGATCGTTTCGTCGCCTGCATTGACCCGCACAGTGTCAGTGCACACTCGAGTTGGGCGTAATTGATAATGTATGCTATGATAAAACTATCTGTAGCTCACCGAGATGATGCCGTGAAGACGCCGATCAGCAAGGCAAACCAACCAGGCATACATCGTCGGAATCGGTGCAGCTTCAGCGGCACGGGAGGGCTTTCCACGCTTCAGCGAACTGACATTGCCGAGCACAACAATACTCGACGTTGGTTAAAGCCACCCGAAACAATCCATCGAGCTGCAGCCAAATCCATGCACTTTTGTGACTGACGCCTACGAATTGAGCCTGCACATTAGAGTCTAATGCTCTAATGATTAGACGATGAGCACCGACAACTCAATGTTGCCGGGCAGCGAGACAGCGGAAGTCAATGCTGCAAACCAGTTGTAGCCTTCAATGTAAGACCAATGTAGTCTAGCTGACACCCACGAGACCCAAACCTATATGCTATGCAGCATCCCAGTTTGCAAGCTCGAGAAGCTCTTGCCTTCCGATTGTAGTTACTGTACATGCATGTTCATTCCGATCCTGCATCGGAGAATAGTGTTGAAAGCTGAATGCTGCAGCTTGGGAAGCATTGTGATCCATCGTGCTAGTCCTACGTGTATCTGCACTATCGATGGCACAATTCGCTCAACCTGTTCCTCGTGATCTCGCGTCCCCTTCGATAATACTCGAAGTACGTTGCTACACAACGACGTAACCATTTCAATGCACGAGCTGCTGCTGGTGTCTAATCCGCAAAGGTTGTTGCTTCTCGAGTCGTGTAGCTTCAAGCGATGGATAAATCAGGTTGTCTCGGCAGACTCTGCCACGGAGTGACCGCATCGCGTCCGCTTAGGGTCTCAATGAGCGCTACTTGTCAAAATGATTTGTGTAACCTGATCGATCTGCAAGAAGATGGTCTTCTGGATGGATGACACCCAAACTCTGTCCTTTCAATGAAGGTGCAATTCATATTGCGGACGAAGTCGTAGTTAGCTTCTTTGATCTATGGGCCATAGACTATGGCTTGTAAAACACTGGTAAACAAATATATGTGTTGTGCTCGCAAGTTCACTATGGCCTGTAAAACACTGGTAAAACATATATTTGCGTTGTGCTCTCCACTATTTTTCTTACAGATTACGCTCAGTTTGATATGCAAATGGGTAAAATCGATAGTAGCAGTTGGATCAGCTTGATCCGATCCAGATAAAAAAAAACTTGAATGGCGTACGAGTGAATACGGCATCCGCTTAGCTCGTGACAAACTCACTGCGCGCCATTCGTCACAGTGTACACTGTGAATATTCTAAATATTCTAAATATATAGTCTGTATTTACACAACCCACGCTTCACCGCGTCAGCCATTTACTCTATAGACAAGGCTAATTTGCATCATCCAGCAGATTATTTATTTCAGGAATAATCAATATTGCATTATTTATGGAGAAAAGCCTAATATTTGGTGTCCCTGGTAGACAGTAAAGATGAAACACGTAAATGCATATTCTCGTGAATGCTGGACGAAAGAAGAGAAAAAAAAGCATAAAAATTGGATGCCCCAATAGAATTGCTAGCTTACAACAAGGGAAATCGTCCGCTAAAACAGTAGCAAACTCCGCAAAAGGACCTTGTGTATGTGTGTGTGTAAGTTTGCCCAAGTCCGTTGCGATCGATACCGTATTCGCGCAATCTCCGAGTCACGAAAAATGCCGACTGTAGCATCGCTCTCGCTGACTCAGTATTGATTGTCTCGCAGAGATTGTGGCGGTACGTGCTCGGATGTCGCTGAAGCGATCAACCGATATCTTTTCCTCGAAGATCCCTTCGTTGTCTTTTGCTGTGGCTTCATTCTGCAATCTTCATCGTGGTACCTCCATCGAAAGGAAGCAACGCGAAAATAGGTAGCCTCCATTTTGGGCCATACGATACCCATTTCGGAAAGATTTGGAACTACTCTCCCGCGACGGTTCTTCAACGTCACTAACTCTCATACGCAACCAGCGCTAAAGTTTGCCAGCGATCGCCAGCTCGAGCCCTCCGCGCCTCCGTTCAACCGAATTGCGCGCAGTTTCACCATCAGCGTCGCCGATCGCTCATCGCTCTCCGTCCAGTCTACGCATTCGTTGGTCTCCAGCAGCTGAGTTGCCTCACCGACAGCTCTCTTTTCTCCTTGGCTCGGCAACACAGTTTTGCCGCCAAGAAGAGCGAGCGACTGAGCAGCACCATTGGCCAGGCCTTCTTCTGTTTGCAGACACGGCCACAGCCGGTGGCCCCGTACGCTAACGGAGGAGTGCTGAGCTTCCACGCGCCAGGAGCTCCTGAGGACGTTCGCGAGCGCCTCACGCGCCTGTTGCATCTCTCCTCCGACATGATGGCCGATCCGAACCTGGTGGAGGCCGCTAAGGAACATCTCCGCCAGGGAGATGATAGCGCCAGTGATGGCGACGCCGCTGAGATCGCCGACGCCTTCCGCGCCGACGAAGACAACCCTCAACGACTCACGGTACAGTCGCTTCCTTACGTCAAGTGCCGCGAGAGCGTGAGCGCCGTGTTCAGCTTTGACTCGGCTGCTCGCCGCCGCATCTCGTTGGCGTCCAATGCGACATCCGACACGGCCAATTCCTCGCCTGAACACGCCGACAAGCTTCCAACGTCGCTCTCGTACTCGGTGCCATCGACCACAATGGTGACCAACACTCCGCGTGGCCGACCCGCCGTGGACGTTATTGCCACGTACATGAACACTTGTGACCAGCGCACTGTCAAGTCGGAGTTGATGCGCGCCCACGCTCATTTTGCGTCTCCTCGAGGTACGGTAACAGCCGCATTGTACTTGAATTCTTGCCGCCTGCTGTGCTTGAAGTTGACGTCGCAGACGAGAGAACTGACTGTTGTGATTTGGTGACTTGTCTTGTCGTTGGGACGTTTGTGTGTGTGGTTGTTGCTGGTGCTGGAGAAGGCGGTCCGCCGTCGCGCATCCGTTCGTCTTCCATGATGAGCAAGGAAGGCAGCGCCGAGTGGGGCTGGTTCGCAGACATCGACTCGAGCAGCGAAAGTTGGGGCGGCGACGGCTCCATCCACTCACTGCGACGACGACTTAGTGCCGACCTGGGACTCATTGACGTTGGCAATGTCCATGTCTTGGGCGATGAACAGACCAACACACGCAATACAGCAGCGCACAAGACGTTTACGATCGTTACAGAGGGAAACAGTAAAGTCGTCTCCGCTACCGTGTCCATCCCAAAATTCCGTATTGTGCAATCACGCTCGGGCGCCGATCGCCATGCGCAGTATTTAATCACACTCATGCTCGGCAAGGAGCTGTACGCAGACTGGCGCCGGTATTCGGAGTTCGGAGAGTTAGTCAAGACGTTGGATCAGAAGCGGTACACGCGGACACAAGACGCCTGGGCAGGTATTGAGACGCGCTGGTTCAACCGACTAGAGCCCTCGTATCTGCACCAGAAGTGTATCACGCTCGAGAATTTTATGCGTGAGCTCATGTACGAATCGAACGAACCGACTGTGCTGATCAACTTCCTTGGTGGCTACCTGGGTAAGGTAAACGCTCGGCCAACGGACCCGGTGGGTTACCGGCCAGCTGCACAATTGCCGAAGGAACTTCGTCCTCCACAGCCACGTCACGAACGAGAGCTGTTTGAGAAAATGTGGGCCGAAAACTTTAAGCGGTCACACGTCGACTACTCTCACAGTTTGCCGCCAGGCCAGACGGCTAGCTAGAGCTGATGAGTAATGAAGGGGATACACGGTGGTACCCCGTTATTTGATTATTTGTGTAGTGGTCACGTGTGACCCATGCACTTTAGCTTCTCTAATTGGACTTGAAAGTCCTATGAAATCATAGTTAGGTGTTTCCTACTACGTAGAGGTATTTGGTAGGAAAGTCTATAGGAACTTGATTTTAAAAGCTGGAGCGTCCGAGTAGCAGAGTTCGTGCTGATAGACGATGAGATCAGGAATGTGGGAGATGTCACGCAAGTAGAAGAACTGTGCCAGTCGCGACTGTGCAATGAGAGGAAACAGCCACGGAGACACCTGCAGAGCAGAATCGTTAGCGTAGGCAGCAACAGATCTGGAAGCCAGGACTTACCGTCGAAATTAGGGAGTGCCAGCTGAAGCCGACAATCGCTCCGACAATTGCACCGACGACAACTTGGTCCTTCGTGTGGTAGCCCAAGCGCACTCGAGAGTAACAAGTGAACACTGCTAGAAAAATACAGCCGACAATTGTGAACCACTGCTCAATGTAGCGGTGCGCGTTCAACCTGCAGCGACGATAACCATTAGTTTAGTTTAGCCTTTTCAGGTACTTCAATGACAATGGATGAATGTACATACCTCGAGTACGTGTAGGCGACGGCGTATGAGGCGAAGTACGAAATGAACTGCGAATGAGCCGAGGGCATCCCGGAGCCACTCATACGCGCGCCATCAGGTCGCTGCTGGTTGATCGTTTTCTTGAGGATCTTGTTGATCACTTCACTCACAACCTGCCAGCCGTTAGTCCATTACATTCGATTTCCAGATGAATAATACATCTCTACCTGGCCAATAAACATGCTGACGCTGTCCAAGTCGCGCTGACAGGTAACGAGGGTCACGTGCATCAGAGTCACGAACCTGTCGTTGTATTCCAGGTTAGCTATGAAGACTCTAACAAACAGCTTTTGATACGTACACAGGTGAGAGTGTAAAGAGCGCCATGATGACGCCGAACCGGTCAGTCGGATCGTACATGACCCATGTGAGCTCGAACGCCTTAAGTGCCTTGCCCTTGGTCTCCGCTGTCTTGGCCATGGAGTTCCTGAAGTTGTCGGGAGAATGCCACGTTTTGCAGTACCGGAAGTGTACCAACAGACGATCCGATCCGATTTGCACTCACAACGTCAGCATTGGCCTTTGTTTCACAATGGACTTCACCAACGCTAGAGAGCATGAGCCTCATGATGAGGTGGTGAAGGATGCATTCACCTTTTTAGATGACTGGGAGTCGGGAATTCCGCGTGATGTCCTGTTGCCGCTGTCAATGGATTCACAGCCTTGGTTACTGAACTCGCGAAGCATTGAAAATGTTGCAATCGGCTCGGGCGAAATATGAAGCTGCAAATTGCGAGGCCTCCAGAGCCATCGCATTGACTGCGTGTGAGCTGCAGAGAGGCAGACCTGGAGCTGTCAATGGTCAGTTGCTGTTGGAAAGAGATGGCAAAAAGGACGAAAAACTACGAAAGGAGGCGGGGGAGGAAAACCGTATTCTAAGAGAACAGCCCTTATTGCTTATCAGTTGAGAGCCATCGAGTCGCTCCAAAAGCTGGTGCGCACGCGTAGTTACTTGTCTAGAGTCGGTGGGAAACTTACTTCGGAGTACCTTCGTTCCGTAGATGTACAGAAATCTCCTTTCGTCCGAGGCAGATATCGTTGCGGTTAGTGTTCCCCCGGTCGATCAAGATCGTAAACGCTGAGTCACAAAACGCATCGGAAAGCCTTAGCAGTTCACTTGAAAACCAGGTTTTGGAGACAGACCCAGTATTTCGACTCGAAAGCGTGCCTTCGACTTCGCCGGAGGTGAGGTCGAGGTGGTATCGCCAACGCAGACGCACTTAGAAGTTTGTGCAGCACTGTCTTGCCATTTCATTTCCTATGCGCGGCCCAGACCTTGTGGAAAAACTGCCAAAATTGCCAGAGCAGTTTACACATTGACCCCAACGTGGTAAGTTGATGAATTGCTTAAGGCGAGGTTATTCACGACCGAGTTCATTAACATTCTTGTGCGATGGTTGATAATGTAAAGCCTACAGACATTCTCGACTAGTTTTGCTGACAGCTACGAAAGTGTGGAGTTGTCGTTTGTAATGAATGGCCATTGAACTAAGCGTCTACACGACGATTCTGCACGGAATGTCATCGTTTCATCCAGCATGCACCAACTTGTAAGGCTTCAAAACAACAATGATCCAAGTGCTCACTATAGCGAGACTGCTTGGGTTGTGATTGAACCAGCCAATGATGATGCCACAGAGTTATGCGTATTGCGAGTCTGTGCAAAGATCGGTAACGAGCATCTATCGGACCGAAAACGATGCATGGACATAAGTACTGTCCAACTTCCTAATGGAGCAAGAACTGGACGCCATCCAGCTCGATATTGAAGGTGATCTACTAGCTGCGCCACCGTGGCAAGGTAATTTGTAAGAATGAACAAGTCTCAATTCTATTTAGCAAGCACAGGGCTCATTTGATGCTCCCCATGCGCAGGAGTGTGCTTTATACACCTACTGGGACTTCTTTTTAGGAGAAGTAGCAGCAGTGTTGTTGCAAACTTCGTGTTGGTAGACTGTCAGGTCCGGGATGTGTGAGATGTCACGGACGTAGAAGAACTTGGCAAGGCGCGACTCGGCCACCAAAGGGAACAGCCACGGAGAGGTCTGTATCAATATGTAATCGCATAAGCGTCAGCCCTTGTACGATAACAATCACCATATCATTGTCTAAACCAACTTACCGCAGCGACCAGGGCGTACCAGACAACACCAGTGAGCACTCCGATGGCCGCACCAACAACTACTTGGTCTATCGAGTGGTAGTTCAAATGGATTCGCGAGTAGCAAGTCAGTACTGCCGACGTAATAGCACTGAAGATAGTGAACCACTGCTCCAGAAATCGACGCGTGTTCAACCTGATAGCACTCACGAACTGCGTGAAAACCATCACACCTAAAGCAATAAAGCACAGTTTCTATTCCTCTACCTCTTCCACGTGTAAATCACCACGTAGGCTGCGAAGAAGCCCATGAACTGGGAGTGCGCCGACGGCATTCCCGGCCCGGTCATGTACGCGCCTTCCGGTCGCGGTTGATTGATGAGCTTCTTCAGCACCTTATTAAGGACGACGCTCACGAGCTGCCAACAATGAAGTCCGTTAATGCCCCAAGAAACGCGATATAATAAAAACGAAAGATACAAATTCTCTACCTGTCCCACGAGCATGCTGATACTGTCCAAGTCTCGCTGCGAGGCCACGACTGTGATGTACACGATCACGAGGAAGCTATTACCCAACAGGTTAGAACGAGCAATTTCCAATACAATTATTGTGTGCAACAAACAAACGTACATGGGGGACAGTGTACATAGTGCCAGAACGGCCCCGAACGGATCCTGCGGGTCGTACACGACCCACGTGAGCTCGAACTCCTGCACGGTCGTAGCTGCGTCCTCCATTATGCGAAATGATTCGCAAGTACGTGGCCTCAGGTCACTATTCTAGAGGGATGGTAGTGACATCAGCCATTATCACATGTCACTATTCTCGAGCGCGACAGTGCCATCTGGCCATGAGTGCGCAGGCTACTCGCCTCGAGAACCTCTTCCTGCTCTTGCGCGGTCTGTGGACGCCCGATGGCGCAATTGATTCTGGCAGCAGTTACTTGTGTTTCATTCCTATCTAACAGTGCGAAATTCTTGTTGCTAGAGCAGACGGAAGCAGCGCACAGATCCGCGAGAACGCAGCGGAGAAGTTGGGTGAGGTGGCCGCGCGCTCTTCCGATGTCTGTGAATCCATTTTGCAGCAGTTGCGGCCTTTAATTGTGGACAGTGAGTGGGAGATCCGAGTGGCTGCATCCAAGTGTCTCGATGTGGTGGCGCGCTCCTTGCGACACGAGAACGAGAACGTCGCGGATCTCTTCGCCTTGGTCTCGCGTAAGTGTAAACAGGAGGCAACAGTGCAATGAACCTCCTCTGATGCAATTGCTATTGCTGATGTGGTGTTGCAGTCGGTAGCCAAGAAGCTTCTAGTGCGGCGTTGAATCTGCAGACTGTGGATATCAGCCAGGTCGTGCAGGAGGGTGCACCGCTATTGCGCAGCGGAGGAGAAGTACGTAGGTGCGTTTACAGTGGCATTACAGAGGCTGACGGTGGATGTTGAGTGAGGTAGGAGTATCAATACACGACAAATCTGACGGAGGAAGAGCGGCGGATCCACGCTGTGAAGCAACGCCGACTGCTGTTGAAGCGTTTAAGTGGAGCAGGAGGTCCGATCTGGAAAACACGCGAGGATTCACTGACGAAGCAGCTACTTCCACGACTCAACCGAGACCGTATGGAGGATCGTCATGGTTTTTTGTTTTTTTTTTTTTTACTGACTACCGTGTGGATACTGTAGATGCACAGGAAATTGCGGATGATATTGAGACTAGTGAGTCACAACCTCACGCAGAAGAGGAACCTACTACGGCTATTAATCGGAAGCAAGCAAGTGATATCTTATCTATTCCGTCACGTTCAAAGCGTCGCTCGGTTCATGACTCGGCTACAGGGAGTGGCGTAAAACGACTGAAAGCTGATGATTGCAGCGATACTGAGGATGTGATTATGCAATCTGGAGGCGAAATTGGTTCTCATTGTCGAATCGATGAAAGTGAAACGCAAACAAAAGCAGCGATCGTCGCAGGTTTGGTCTCCGATATGTTTGAGAGTATGTTTGATTCGAAGTGGGAGGTTCGACACGGCGCTCTCTTGTCGCTGCGGCAAATTCTCCTATCATCCCACTTCACTGCGGCTGTTGAAGCAGCTCGGCCAGCGGTGGACGAGGCCACGCAGCGAAATTTCGTTGATAAATGGCTGGAAGAGTGTTTGATTCGCTGCATCTGCGTACTAGCATTGGATCAATTTGTGGACTACTCGGCAGATGGATCGGTCTCCCCTGTACGCGAGGTTTGCGCACAGGTGTTTGGTATTTTACTGGGCAGTCTCTCTAGCGAAGATACACTGGTCGGGTATTTGCAAGTAGTGAGGACGCTGTTCAGTGGGTTGACCTGGCAGGCGTGTCATGGTGGGCTGTTAGGGCTGAAATATCTGGTCCAAGCTCACAAAAAGCATGCACAAGTGCTGATTCCTCTCTTCTTCGACGATATTGTGACGGCGTTTTCTCAGTCTGATTCAGAGGAGGACGTGCTAGTTCTGGCTGCTGAAATGTTCAGAGATTTTGTTTCGTTTTTGGATCGGATTGAGCCTGTGGGCATCACGAATACTACTGGACTGCTGTGGAGATCTTTGAAGCTTCACGAAAGCGCTGGGATGGTTTCCGCAAGCATAGTTCAGGCTCTAAGTGCCTGGCATAGTAATCCTACAGTTGCAGAACTTTTGCAGGATAACGCTAAAGTTCAGGCAGCTCTTTGGCAGAATTTATCGTGCACGATCCCGATGCTCCACCATCATTCGCTATCTGTTCGAGCGTCCAGCACAACCTGCGTGGCAGCCATATTCTCCAGGGAGTCTTCGTCCTCACAGTCAAATTCAGCTAACTTTGCTAAGGTATTCCTGCCGCATTTGCTACTTCAAGTGCTTTTGGAGGAAGAGGAGTCGATCCAACGAAGCTTACTGTCCGCGTGGAAACAAGTTGTAAGAAACCTGTCGAAAGAAGAGCTACTGATTCCTGTTATTGATGGTAATCTGCCAAAGTGGATGAAGCTGTTGTGGTCGACGAACGAGATCAGTTGTTTAAACGTTGAAGTGGCCAATTCTGAAGGTACTGTATCCATTGCAGACGTAAATCAATCTGTCGATCGACTAGCACAAGAGAATCTGTCCTCACGTGTGGTGTTTGCTGAGGCTCTTGGCTTTGCCGTTTCTCACGTTCCTCTTTCGAGCTCTTGCATGACGCAGTTGATTCGATTAGTATGTGATGGTTTATGCAGCAGTTCTGGGGAACGACAGTGTGGTGTGCTGCTAGCATTGTCAAAATGGGGTTACTATGAGCAGCACCTGAATGTCGAAGACCCACAAGAGCAATCACGACGAATTCAGCATTTGCAAGACTCAATCGGAGCTTTCCTGGGATCCTTTGCAGAGAATCAGTGGAGGACAGGTCAGTCTGATGCAGCGAGTGAGGAGGGGCCAGTGTTTTACAGGGAGCAGCTTGGATCGTTGAAAAGAGTCGTGCAGATGGAAGCTTGCATTATCGATATTTTTTCATCGGCAGGTATCTCCCTTCAGCCTACGGAAAAACCAGACGCAGCGTCATCAGCAGATATTTCACGGCAGATCGCCGAACATATCGCTCTTTTTCCTTATGAGAAGTTGCAAGACCATCCGAAAGAGTTTGAATTGGCGCATTTCAAGCGACAAGATCTCTTTCTGGTAGACGAGTTGGTTCAACAAAGTTTCTCCCGCTTTTACCATCGGATACAAGGTCTGGGAAGTAGCGCGTACTGTGTAATCCTCCCGATTCCAAAGAAGAGCGGCTTTTTGGTCAAAGCGCTGATGAATTCGATCAAGGAAGAAGAAGAAATAGCATTCCGCGCTATTTCAGCGCAAGCGATTGCCAGGTTTGTGGTGGATCAGGCACATACTCAGAAGAAATGTGTCGCCAAGATCGTCTCCAACCTCTGCAACAGTGCTGCGGCGTTGATAGGCGCAACGAGCGATCCCTCCGACAGCAACCCGCAACATGATCCAAGCCCTGTTATTCTTCCTGACGTACTCAAGAAGATAAGGGTCCGAGCAGTGGGCGCTGAGGCTGCGTTAAGTGAGATTTGTAAGCACACGGGTGATTCTCTATTTGAAACATGTCGTGCGTTGGAGGATGCCATTTCCAAGGCGTGGAAGCAGCAAAATGTTGATGAGCTTACTATTCAACGATGCATGCACTTGATTATGCTGGTGATGCCCCATACTGAGAGTGGCGCGATGGAAAAATGCTTGTCATGGCTAGAGCGACTGGCACAATTGATGCAGCAGCCATGTGAAGATCATCAAACACGGCGTACAGTCGCTCATGCTGTTGCTATTATTTGCAAGAATGCCCAAGGTCAGCACCGCGAACATGCGATGCTCATTGTATACAGCTCAATATTTGTGGCATTTTCCAACACTGGCAGTGTGAAGACTGAAGCGCTTGAAGCTGCAGTGATGGTGCTTGATCGTATCGTCCATATTCTTGGGGCAGACCTGACACCATACGTACCCAGCCTCGTTCACTACGCGATGAAGACCATGAGCTCGCAGTCGAAACGTATTCGCACTTTTGCAGCTGGGGCATTTGCCGATTTGGTTCCATTGATTCCGCTTCAAATGGATCTTGAGCTTCATGATTCTGCCCAGCTACTCCCTGATTCGCTGAGAACAATTGTGGAGGTAAACGCAGTTTCACGCAGCTTTCTCGAGAGCTTCTCGACGGGGAAAGCTGTTCAGCATGCTGATGTGACGGCTGGGTTAGCTCCGGAGACGACATTGCGTTTGTATCAACAGCACGGAGTGGACTGGCTGTGCTTTATGGCCAAGAATAATCTTCACGGCATTCTAGCGGATGATATGGGTCTTGGTAAAACATTGCAGACGCTGGCCGCTATGGCGTCCACGTTAGGAATGGAACTGAAGAACGAGGCATCTATGCCTTGCATTATTGTTTGCCCACCAATTATCGTTCACCACTGGATCCAGGAGATCAAGAAGTACATCCCTGGCATCTTCGCGTCCATCATCGACTACTCAACTCCTGCAAGTGATCGAAAGCGTCTTCGTCGTGGGAATGCTTTCCCTATTTCGGGTCGCGGTTCAACGTTGATCATAACGACTTACTCGATTCTGCGTGCAGATATCAAGTACTTCAGCTCTGTCGAATATATGTATGTGGTGCTTGACGAAGCGCATTTGATTCGGAATCCGTCCACGGGACTATTTCGTGCCGTGTTGGAGCTTCGCGCATCGCATCGTGTTGCTTTGAGTGGAACTCCGTTGCAGAATAACGTGACGGACTTGTGGGCTCTGTTCGAGTTCTTGATGCCAGGATACTTAGGCGACTTCACTGTATTTCGTCGCGAGTATGTGCTCCCGATAACAAAGTCGAAAGAACGAAATGCGACTACGAAACAGAAGGAGCAAGCAGCGATCGCAATCGCAAAACTGCACCAGAAAGTATTACCATTTATTCTTCGACGAACGAAAGATCAGGTGCTCGACGAGCTTCCCCCGAAGATTATCTCCAACGTGTTACTCCCACTTTCCCCGCTGCAAAAGCGACTGTATTCATTGGCGTCGTCAACAGAGGAAGACACAAGCTCAGTAAACTCTTCAAGAACGAAGAATCAAGAAAAGGATGCGGCAACGACCAACGTGCTGACAAATCTTCAACTGCTTCGCAAGATTTGTGTACACCCAGCGCTGGTTGCTGACGATAAAGCTGCTCAAGGTCTCAATTCAAAGGAGAAGAGTGCGCTTTCGGACTGGAAGAGCTCAGGAAAGATGACCGGGTTACACGATCTCTTGGTAGAGTGCTGTGATATTGCGGCACGGGATCAGAAAACTTCTATAGACTCTGCTTCCAACGCTGATGATACCAGCTTTTCTCCTCATCGGTGTCTGGTGTTCGCTCATCTGCAAAAGACGCTGGATCTCACAGAGCAAATGCTACAGGACGCGTTGCCTGGAGTAATGTATCGTCGTCTGGATGGAAGAACTTCCCACTCGAAGCGTGCAGATATTGTTCAGCAGTTCAATGCCGACCCATCGATAGACGTCTTGTTGTTGACTACATCGGTTGGTGGCCTGGGACTCACGCTCACTGGCGCTGACACTGTCATCTTTATTGAACACTCGTGGAACCCTTTTGTCGATCTGCAAGCAATGGATCGTGCACATCGCATTGGGCAGAAGCGTACCGTTCGCGTATTCAGGTTAATCATGGAGGAATCTCTCGAGGAACACATTGTAAACCTCCAGCAGTTCAAAGAGCAAGTTGCGGCTACGGTGGTGCAAAAGAGCGACGCTCAAAGCAGCATGAACACGAATACCAGAGGAGTGCTGAACTTGCTGCAAGCTTCGTCATCCGCAGTGGCTGCCAAGGAACTTCGAGCATCAGTTGCTGCAACAAAGAGCAGTGAAGGCGACCAGCACGTTGCTGCAGCACTTCCACAAGGAGCCCAAGAACTGCTCGACCAGATCGGTGAGCTGTGGGACGAATCTCAGTACGAATCCTTAGCGTTTCCTGAAGACGAATGAGGGTGTTGCTACAGAATTTGGAGAGCGTCAATAGGAAGTTTGTCTCTATGTGATGTATTGGATCGGAAGTACCATGATAGTCGATGTCTTACTGAGCATCGATCAGGCTTTCGACGTCAAGTTGAATGATATCAGCATCGGAGCCCTACAATAACACAACATACAATCACGAGAAAAAAAATGGGTCGTCAGAGCAAGCAAATATCACATACTCAGCGTTTCAACATACCAAGATCGAGGCGACGTTGGGGTTGGTACGACCACGATCGCCGTGCACGAACTCCTTGACGTACGTCCCCGCAGACGTTGTGAGACGTAGGAGCATGTAGTGCTTATTCAGCACCTCACACTTGGCTGCATGGATAATTTTCGGCCGCGTCATCAGCGTCCTGCGGTGCAGCACGCGGATGGGAGTCTGTTGCTGAATGGTGAGGTCTTGGATCGCGTCAATCTTCGCAATAGCCTCTGGTGTCAATACTCCTTCCGACCAAACGACACAGCTAATGCCACACAATAATACAATCATCGTTAGTCCAGTTAACATAGAAACTAAATGGTGAAATAACGTACCAGTAAGTCTTCTTCTTCGAGTCCGCGCCAGCCTGTAGTCCTGCGAAATAGTCCTTGGTGGAGCTCTTGACTTGGACAATTTCAACAGCGCCATTGTTCGCGTCGTTCACTGCCTTTTCAATCTGGTCATACTCGGATTGATCCAGGTATGCCTTCTTGGCATCTGCAAGTAGAAATAATGATCAGTGAGGATACCAAGCAAACAGGATTTCGCTAGGGCGCTAGAATAAACAAAAGCAAAAGTAAGAACGCACTCAAAATCTCCAAGATAAACGGCCTTCCGTTTCCAAGCATGCGCACATCGACATCTTCACGACCCGCAGTGTGAAACTTGTAGCCACTGCCTCGAAAGAATGGCAGAGCAATATCACCAATGCATTCTTCCACGGAGGATTCGCCCATTCGCTCTCCGTCCAGAACCCACGGTGTCTGACTTAGTCCACGTTGGAATTTGAGGTATCGCCCCTGCATGTACACGGAGTCGCGCTCGAATGTGGCCACAGCCGCTGGTACAGTGGTAACTGGAGTGGGAGGACTCTTGATAGTCTCGGGCATAGTCGTCAGTGCTGCAAGAGCGCGGGAAACTGCACCAAAACCATCGAAAACAGGAGGTGGTCCACGGCCGCGCTTTCGAGTCCCCTCTAGCTGTTTCTGTATCAACGCAGATAGATCAACGTGAGTAACGACAATCAAACCACGCATACAAACACGCATTTCGACATTCGCCATCGTACCTTGATTGCCGGAATCTGACGCACTTCATCAGCGGATTCATCATGCTTGATGTCGATCAGCACCGAAAATTCGCTTTTATTAGCGCATTCGGCATTTTTGAGCATCCGCGATACGGGAGGAGCCAGGAAGGACTAATACATCCACAACCAGAGAGGGTGAGGATAAGTTCTAAAAACTAACCCAAGCATGTCTGCGTGCCCTCACCTTGAGTACATCCTTCATGTCAAACGGCATTTTGCGTGGGAAATTGTCGACACTCGAGCGCAAGAACTTGAGCAGCGAGTATTCTCGCAACAGCACGACACTTGGCAGTTTAATGTTAAGCGAGAAGGCCTTGACGTCATAGTTGGCCTTTTCGGATAATTGCTGCACGTCGGCCAGGATCTTCTCATGAAACGCGCTATTCAACACGCCCACACAGCAGGTGCAGCCTAGCATAGTAAAACAATTGCAGCAAATAAGGACAATGGCTTCAACCTCTCCACTTGATTGATACTTACCCACAACTTCTTTCGATTCGACCTCCACGCCGCTCTCTTTAATAAAATCGTTCACTGCACCAGCCAATTCCTCCTCGGTGCAGCTACAATGGCACTCAAATAGAGCAGAATGTGAGTCACTCGCAGCTGGGGATGCGTGTCAATGGTTGCAGACATCCTGGTCATGCTTGGATCAAACCACTCACGCATAGACTTCCGAATCCTCGATACCAGCAAAACGCAGGCAGCACCGCACGCAAACATCCAGCTCGAGGGTGCGAACAAGCGCCTTGGCAGACAGCAGCCCACCGCGCAACGCACTCGCCAGGTCCATGCCAACGTCGGTACAGAACAGTACGCTCCAGTCAAAACGTTGACGTCGTGTCGCCGCGCAGCGATTAGTCAAAATGTAACGGCAGTTTCTACCAATCGGTTCGGTGGTACTTCCGTCTTTTCTGCCAATCGTTGAGTTGATGCTCTCGTTTTGCCACGTTTCCACACCCCATACAAATCCCTACATGTTACAAACAAGCCCGGCTCTACGGTCGATTTACAGTCGACGATTGACGTAGAGCTCGCGGCATCGTGAAGCGAGCGAAGGGGGGACCGCCGTAGCAGTCAGTAGCGCACTCGGCGGCGGACAGAGAAAGCGAACGAGCCATGCCGAGCTTCTGCCCCAAGTGCGTCGTCGTCTTAGCATCCGTCTCCTCCGATTGGATCTAATTCACGTTGCCTTTTCAATCAGATGCGGGGACTTTGTGGAGGAAGACGCATGTGGAAAATGCGGCGAGAAGGCGGTGCGTATGACGATTTAATTGCGGAATTAGAGGCAGATCTGGGTAAACTCACGCTGTGAATGGCTGCAGGTGACGACCAAAGAGAACCCATGGAAGGCGGCGTCCAAGGTGCCTGGAGGCGACAATATGAGCGTCCCCGCGGTGCCCACGGCCTTCACAGCGGCAGCGCGTATCAAAATGATGGGGTGCGACCGATGAAATAGTCTGGTGGCGTATTACGACCGTAGAGACTGACACAAAGCTGTATATTGATTTACAGAGTGCAGCCCGTGCCGGAGCCCGCGCGCAAGGAGCAAGCGGTGGCTCGCTTCAACTTCGTCCCGCAGGATCCGAGCACCCAATTGGCGCTGTCCAAGGGCGACGAGGTGGACGTCGTACGTAAGGATAACGATGGCTGGTGGTTCGTCATTAAGGACGGCGAGAAGGGTCTCGTACCCGGTTCGTACCTGCACATTGAGAACCCCATCATCCCCATCACGGATGCTGCGATTCTCGCAGCGCGTGAGGCCTCCAACCAGCGCTTTATGGAGTTACAACGCACCACTGGAGGCACTGGACAGGGAGCAGAGGCAGGCGTGGAGTACCAGTCGCCGCTGGGATTGGAGGCTCTTGCTATTGCAGACTCGTGTGCACCCAAGCCCCCGAATGGACCAGCGCGAGGTGCAGATGCCAAGTCTGGAGGCACAGAATTCAAGCCTGGCGAGGTGCGCAAGCTCAGGAAATGTTACGCATGCAAGGAGACGATCTTGGGCCGCACGAAAGTGTGCAAGGACCAGATTTTCCACGAAATCTGCTTGTTGTGCAAAGGTTGTCGTGAATCTATCGAGGAGGACGAGGATTTTACGCTCATTAAGAAGAAGGCGTACCACGCGGACTGCGCGAAGGACGTCAACCACTGTTTTGTGTGCGACAAGGAGATTCTGGGTCGAGTGTACCGCGCTGGAGATGGCGCTTTCCACAAGCTTTGCATGGTTTGCTCGGTGTGCAACAAACAGTCGAAGGAAGCTGGAGCCAAGCTTGAGAACGACCTCCTTGTTTGCGGCGAATGTGTTGCAGAGAAGGAGAGAAAGGAGCGAGAGGAGAGGGAAGCTGCGTTAGAACGGGAGCGCGCAGCTGCGAAGGCGAAGGCAGAAAAAGAAGCAGCTCTTGCGGCGGCCAGAGCACTGGAGGAAGAAAAGGAGCGAAAAGCACGCGAGGCACAGAAAGCTGCCGAGGAGGCCGCTCGCGCGAAGGCCAAGGCGGAGGCTGAAGCGGCCGCCGCTGCTCGTGCACAGGCAGAACGAGAGGCAGCAGAGGCCGAAGCTATGCAGAGAGCTGCCGCTGCGGCTGTTGCGAACGGCAACGGGCGATCTGGGACTGACAGTCTTCGATCCAGCACGTCGAATCTGGACGAGTTTGACCTCGAGGCCACTCCTATCGACATGTCCGGCCACAATGGACGGATCTCTGAAGTGTCAGACATCGATTCTCTTCTTAGCGACGGCGATTACGCGGGATACATGGGCAATGGTCAAAGGGAATCGCTGCGCTTGTCGGAGGTGCTGGACCTCGAGTCTTACGACGATGATCGCTTGTCCGACCTAAGTGGCATCTCGGAAGGCGCAGGTGAACGCAACAGACAGCGACGATCTACGGTTGAAAGGACGGTGAAAGAAAATGAAGAGACCTTCTCGGAAGACGAGGACGACCGCGAGCTGTGCGGTGGTTGTGGCCTCGTTCTGGAGGGAGAAGCGGTCGGAGCCCTGAACCAGTACTTTCACTATGAGGTGCGTGTGGGAACGATGGAGGAGTTCTGTGAAATATGTTGCCTAACGTAAAATTGTGTTGGTTTGTGTGTAACAGTGCTTCAAATGCAGCCACTGTAGCCGTGTTATTGCTGAAGACGATGGCTACGCAGAGAAGGACAACCAAGTAATGCTGGCTAAGCTGTTATTAGCTATTGAATGCGTGATTAACTTACTATTGTGACTTTAGGCGTTCCACCAAGGATGCTATCAGGCTCGTTTCGGCAAGAAGTGCCACCGATGCGACAAGGTGCTTAAGGGAAAAGTGGTCAAAGCCCTCGACCATCTTTACCACCCAGACTGCTTTGTATGCTATCAATGCAGTGCCTCCCTTTCAGGTACGCGACGAAACCAGTGCGAATCACATTGTATGAACCGCATGATACTAATACAGATGCTGCGTGTGTGTGTCGTTTTGTTGTCCAGCAGAGAGTTTCTTCGAGCACGAAGGCCAGGCTGTTTGTGCGAAATGCAAACACGAAGCAATCGCGCAGGACGAGCCGAGCTTCCCGTATGTATCGCTGTGGTTTGATGTTGGTTGTTCGACGGACTAACATGGTGATGTGTGGGTTGTACTCAACAGAGAGAACATGGCCCCAGTGTCCAAGGGTATTGCTGGCTATCGGTTCGACGCCCAGGATGACACACAACTGACTATTTATCCTGGCGACGAAGTCGCTATTCTCCAGAAGGTTCGTTCACCTCGAGAGGTTTATTGCTGCTAAAAAAAATGCTCTAACAGCGTATCACTCTGGACGACAGGATGACGATGGCTGGTGGCTGGTGGATCTGCGCAACAAGCGTGGTTACGTACCAGGCTCCTACTTAATTGAGCGCCCCATTGAAGAGCCGAAACCTCAGCCGAAGAAGAAGAAGAGTGCTTTCAAGAGTAAACCCAAGCGTAAGCCGGGTCTTTGCAGCTCATGCTCGACACAGAACCCGGTGGAGGCGCGTTTCTGCAGAAGCTGTGGTAACAACCTGATGGCCTAAGTGGTGCATGGATAAGAGTGAGAAAAGTAACAAGCGGCAGTTTGTTTAGAGAAAAGGTACGCGGAGACAGGGAGACACTGACCGACCTTGGCCTTATGAGCCGTGCGATGGCCTCTTTTGCATGGTGGCCGAAGACGCTTTTGTGTCTGTCGTGCGTTGGCAGCGAGTGTACAACAAGAAAAGGTCTCCCTGTCCCCCGATCATCATAGGTGTTTTGCTAAGGAATTTCAACCGGCACGTTTAGCGTCCCCTTAAATGTTCAATGGTGGCGAGTTTGCAAGAGATCGCACCTTTTCATTGCAACCGCCCCTTCGTCTCTTCAGTTGTATTGAATCCTTTTGAGTCCCGGTAGTGGAGGCGTATAACCATGGAGGGCTACCTCTGGAAACGGGGTCGCAAGGTGCCCAGCATGTACGTGTCGGTAGTGAACCGGTAGCAACGAATCGAGACTAACGACATATTCCATGCAGGAAGCGGCACTATGCTGTGCTTAAAGGCACCATGTTGTCCTTCTATCTCACTCAGGACGAGGCTCAACGTTCTGGAGCCGTACCGAAGCGAGTGCTAGAGATAATCGACTTACGGATCATGCCGAGCACCTCGTCGACTGATACGAGTCACCCTCCGCACATGGTACTCAAATATTTAGACGCAGATGGAGGTGGAACGCTTCAGTGTCGTGCAGACTCGAGAGAGACGCAACAGGATTGGCTCGAAGCCTTGCAGCACGCACTGAAAGAGCCTGATCGCATGGCCCAAGAAGAGATCACCGAGGTTCAGGAAGAGTTGAGAAGAGACGCTCAATGTCACAGTCGAGCCGTGCAACAAGCCACCGAAGCTGTAGAAGCTGCTGGACGACACCACCGAGAACAGGCCAATGCGGAGGCGGCATTGCAGCAGAATCGAGAGATCGCAGTGGAGTTGAACACGCAATTGGAGACTGCAAGGATCTTGCAACGTGAGGCGCTACAGAAGCTTGAGACGCTTCAAGGTGCACTGGAAGACGCGAGACAACGCGTCCATACGTCGTCTTTAGAAACCGAAGATTCGTCACTCGATCAAGCGATGGAAGCGGTGGAAAGGTTGGCAGCCAAAGTGGAAGTGGCAGCTAGTGCAGAAGCCACACACGGACGCAATGTTGAGCTGCTGCAAGTGCAAACCGAAGCCAACTCGAAGGAGCAACAGGAACTGGTACAGCGCGTGCAGAAATGTGCTGAGGAGAGTAAAATCCTGCGCCAAGTAGCCGCTAAGAGTCTGGAAGACGCGCAACGTGCCAAGCAGAGAACCAAACGTTTAGCGTCTTGGGGTGGCGACACTGAAAGCTCTAGACCTTCACATTTGGACCCACTGGTTGAAGGGTATTTACTATGCCAACATCCCATGCGAACGACGATGCATCGTCGGTACTACGTCCTCACTGGCAACACTTTGTGTTGGTACGCTGATCAAGACGCGTTCGTCCACAAGATGGACGCACCGAGTGGCGTTCTGCACGTTGCAGAAGTGTCGGAATGGGACGGTAAAGTGAAGCCTACTTCACCTATTCGAAGACTCGTAGTGCCGTTCAGTAGCAGCCCCAAGGCCCATTCGAACGAGGCGTATCCGAACGCATTCGCTGTACTCACCGTTGAAGGGAAGACGCTGCGTTGCAGTGCACCACTTAAAAAGAACCAGGAAGACTGGATCGCTGCACTTCACGTCGGTCTTACGATGCCTCCGTTGTCTCCTCATCGAGCACGAGCCGCCAAGTCACATCGAAACTCGTTCGATTTGTTGGCATCGATTCCAGTCTCTCCCAAACGACAGGGCAGTGAAGAAGCGAAGAAAGAGGAGACACAAGTGTCGGAGCCTGCGGCAGTTGAATCCGCCTCAGAAGGGGAGAAATTGACCTCGGAGGTGGTGGTAGAAGGCTATTTGGTGGGGAAAACCTCGCTGGAAGAGACCATGAAGAAGAAGTACTGCGTGCTGAGAGCGCTGACGTTGTACGCCTTCAACACACACCAGGAAGCTGCAATGGTAGCGCACTCTACCATACAAAACACGTTCCATGTCAGTGGCGTATCCAACTGGGACGGCCACGCTACGCTGATGCACTACGACCACGGCTTCTTGTTGCAGACCACGGAGCATCAAAGTATTTATTGTAGTGCTCCTAGTCTTCAAGAGAAGAATCACTGGGTCAACAGTGTACAGCAGGCGTTACTACGGTACCAACACGAGGGCAATCGAGGCTCTAAAATGTTCGAGCAATCAAAAGATGAAGAAAAGACTGATCAACCTCAACATCGACCGTCGTATGACTCAGCGAGACGTGAATTCCTCGCCACTTTACAGCGTTACTATGCTGAATATCATCCAGGTAAGTTGGGTGATGTACCGATGCTGCTATCTCGATATCAAGGTCGTGAACAAGCCCTTGTGGAGCACTTGGATCGTCTTTACGGCACGTCAATGGCGAGAGATACAAACGTACAGATGATGCTCTCAGCTATGGCGAATCCCATACCACCGCCTCAGCAAGTTCCAGTTTCTCCTGTGCTTCATTCTTCAGAGGATCTCTCGGATTGGTTGATGTGGAATAAAGATGCCACCTCCAGCTTTTGTGTCCTGTCTGGAAATCGTCTTGAACGCTATAAGTCGGAAGGTGGAAAGCAGTTGGCTGTTTTTGTAGTGACGGGAGTTCATGACTATCCAGCGCCTTCGCCTACGATGAGCCGATCGTCTTCGGGAGACCAGGAACTGCAGTTTTACGTATCAGGTAGACACGAACTGGAAGGTGGTGAGTCTACGCAGTTGCTGGTACTTGAAGCGAGCTCGACTGAAGCTAAACAGAAGTGGATGGAGAAGTTGACCAGTGCTTTAACACCGGCGTCTAGTGAGTCCAAACCAGAGCCTTTACCAGCCTCAGCTACGCCTCCAAAGGCAACGACAACAACACCTCCTAAGGCAAAGGCAACTACACCTCCAAGAGCAAAGGCAAGTACACCCCCAAAACCTCCAGTGATTTCTACAGAGGCTACAAATTTCCAAGAAAAACTGGTGGAATTTTACCAACGACATAATCCTAAACGTGTCGAAGACGTGAAAACTTTGCTCACAAGTTTTGCAGGACGGGAGCGCCAGCTTTTACTGTCTTTGGATGCCACATATGGCACCAGTGTGAGTTCGGACGGAAGTTTCGATGCTTTCCTGCCTCAATTATCGCCCCCAAATGTGCGTCCAAATGCTTCAAGTGTTGCTGTCTACCGCGAAGGTTATTTGTCAGTGAAACATCCGCGCTTAGGAGCTTCGTATCGCAAGTGCTTTTGTGTACTAAATGGTACAACTTGGCATTGTTTTGACAGCAGCGTCGTCGCTCACAGTGGCCACGCAGCTTTACTATCGGACGTGGTTGTGAGTCTACATCCAGTAACCGCAAAACTTGCCGAAACGTTGACATTTCCTTTGGAAACGCAAACCAACGGCGTTATTTTACTGCGTTCGGATGCTGCTGAAATTGTTCACGACTGGACTCAAGCGTTACGAGTTGCAGTGGCGAGTCAACCGAGTGTTCATCCAGTGACTGAGAAGAAAGATCTCGGTAGTTCTTTCGACCAACTTCGCGCTCGAATTGTGGGTTTTTACGAGAAGCATAACCCGTCAAAAGTTTCCGATGTGGATACTTTACTTCAGTCGTTCCAAGGACGTGAAGGTGCGTTGCTGGAGCAGATTGACACTGTCTACAAGAGTCACCTGGCGACGGATCCGGTATGCACGTCGTTGTGTGCTGATCTCGCTGCAAAATTCGCAGAGAATCAGAGCTTTTCCGATAGTAAAATATCAGAAGTTCCAAGTGACGAAGCTATTCTAATGGAGGGATATCTCATGAAACGTGGCCACAAGATCCCGTCTATGAGGAAGCGATACTGTGTGCTTATCGGCAACGAGCTTACGTACTACGTCACACATGATGACAGTAAGAATCCTGGCGGTGGTGCCACGACAAATCCGTTGGGTAATTTCCGAGTAGAAATTGTGGGCGACTGGCATGGCAAAACTGCCACACACACGTATGAACATGCGATGGAACTCGAGACAACAGACGGCAAAACCTTCTTCTGTGCTGCTGCCACAGCCAAGGAAAAGCAACAGTGGGTCGACGCTTTTCGTCGTGGTATCGCGATCTCTCGAATTGATCAACGAGAGCATGACGGTGCTGGCGAAACAGAGCACGATCGAAAATTGCGAGAACAATTTCGCGATAAATTGGCAGATTTTTATCGTGTCCGCAACCCGGCGAAGCTCCCAGACCTGGATTTACTATTGAGTTGCTATGTTCAGCGTGAACTGGCACTGTTGCAGGCTATTGATCAAGCGTATGGAACGAGTTTGGCAGCAGATGAGAATCTATTGGCACTTTTGCCGCCGCATCCTGATCAAGCCACAGCTTTGGCAACCTTGAAACTAGATGGATATTTGAAGAAAACAACGGGTGAAAGTTCGACTTCCCTTTGGAAACGTGCGCAAACGGTGTATGTGGCAATCGATGGACTGAAAATTTCCCTCTTTGCCACACGTGAAGGATTCAAAACTGGAGGTGCCGGATTAGGAGAAGGAATGATTATTTTGGCAGTGAAAGACGACGATTATCACTCAGCAGCGAATCGTTTTGCAGTAGAAACGAGTGATCACGAATGGCTTCGCTTTGAGGCTCATGATACTATGGAAAAGCGTCTGTGGGTGCAAGTGCTACGTGCAGCATTAGACACGGTGCTGGCTCAGAGTTTATTAGCGGATGAAGGTGTGGAGTCGAGCGAAGACATTGATGCTCATGGTTTCTTACTGTTAAGAATGGACTTTAACTATCCACAAGAAGAGCATTGGAAGCGACGAGAGATGGCTACACCAATTGAAGAACGCAGTGTGACACTGGAAAATGGGAACGAATTTGTGATAACCAAATCGACAAAAATTGGGGAAGAGGCACGGTTTAGAGTGGTGAGTACTCGAGCGTGGACACCTGGAGCGCGTTGTTGGCCTGTGACAGCAGGGAACCGAGCACCCCGTTTTCCCTTCCAGATTGTGACACAGGAACAATTTGTATTGAGTTGTAGTGCAGCTACAGACGCAGAGCGAGCGAAATGGATTCGTCAGCTACGTGTGGGTGCGGAACAAGCCGCAGCCCTGGAAATGCTAGAGGATCAACTTTTAGAGACTAGATCTCCCATGTCGCTCAGTCGTCGAAGTCTGGTGGCTAGAAGAGACCACGATTTCGACGATCACGAGAGCGTTGTACACGTTCAACCTGCTTTTTCACGTCAAAGTGATGAAGAGGAACCTCCAATGACGGGGTATCTGTCTTTCCGTCTTGCCAAGTCTCCACTTCCGTCAAGTGAAGCTCGACACACTTCTCAAATGACAACTGCAAACGAAGCTTTTATTGTGTTGAATATGCGTGGACTAGTCGCTGTCTATGAAGATGAAAGTGCGTATTATCGCCATGATACACCGGTATGTGAAGCTCAAGCTATAGAGCTTTTATCTGACGGAGTGGCTTCGATTTCTTCGTCTGCACATAGTCCGAAGACGAAATCGAAGCTGCGCCATCTGTTTCCTGGAACGAAAGATGCAATAACGCCGTCCTTAGCGTTTGCGGTGGTACTTCATCCACTGGCAGAAATGAACTCAAGTTATGACGAAAATACTTCAATGCTAGAGTTTTTCCCTACTCTTCCGTCTCAACGTGATCAGTGGATGGAAGCATTTGCCAATCGAATCGATTTTGCAAGGGGTGAAGCGCTGCTAGCCGATGAGAAAATCATCTTAAAACTCGAACGAGAAGAAGAAGAGAAACACGAAGATGTAAAGATTGGCAACGAACATGACAGTAGTGGCAATGACGGCACTGACGACAGTGGATTCGAGGACAAACCCTTGACTCTGGACGTGTCCGAAGCGGACGTTAGCGAACCAATTGAAAAAGACACCGAGTCTTCGGGTTTCGTGTTTAGAACTGCAGCAATGGAGGGAATTCTGACCCCATGGCAGACATCAACGTCTCCTATTCGCATCCCTGGCAGCTCCAAAATGAAGCCGACAATGCCCGTGTACGCAGTTCTCGTTGGTTGTCGTTTGCGATGTTTTTCGTCTCGAGAGGCAGCCACAGCTGCTACAGCATCAATAGATGACGAACCCCCATCTCTTGATATCGAGATCACGGCGTGTTCATCGTGGGAAGCGCCGACTGCATCATGGTTGACAATTGGCAAAGAAGAGGAGAATTTAGGTATTAAAATGGACGTCAAAGGTTCTCGTCACAGTACGTGCTTCACCGCTCCGAATACTGAAGCCAAACAGCAGTGGATTCAAGTGGTACAACACGAACTTAGTTTTATCGTCGCAGAGCGATCTCTGAGTATTACAGAGCGACAGTTCACTCAAGAAGTAGCAGCTCATTTAGCCAGTATCGCTGCTGCAACAGAAGCAGGAAACGACAACACTGACACAACGCAAACGAAAGGATATCTTCGAGTTCGCCACCATAATTTGGGATCTATTTGGCGCGAACGGTTTGTGGTGCTGGAAGGGAGCACTTTGACAGTTTTTTCAGAAAATTGTCAACTTGATGAAGAAGGTAAACCTCGTTTTCCAGATTTGGCAGTGGAAAAACACGAACTTGTGGGAGTGGAGAAATGGCATCCCGTTTTTACCAGTCTGGGCCGAAGTGGCTCTGGGTTGAAAGGTACAGGCTTTCGAGCCGAAACGAGCAGCGGTGTGTACTTGGAATTCATTGCGACGACCGCAGAGGACGCTTTTAAGTGGAAATCTGCCATCACAGCTGCAACTACGAAAGAATCCGCAACAGCCACTGTGTCACGCGATGCCACATTGCCATTTATCCCTGGAGCGAGAATGGAGGGGTATCTAAAGTTGAAAGATCCTCAGAAGTCAAATAAAAAGAAAACTGTGAAGATGAAGCCGTTAAAGCTCTGGAAAACTCGCTACTGCGTCGTCATGGGCTCTCACTGGCTCGTATACGCGAACCAAAGTCAAGCTGTTTCGTCTGGTGAAGCTCCGACTCCTGTGGCAGTGTACGAACTGCTAGGTATTGCAATAACCGACGGAGATGATGGAACCATGAACGAGTTCTCGATCCACGTCGTTCCTGGTCGACAGGTCAAGTGCAGAGCTCGCTCGAGTCTGGAGCGAAAACGCTGGGTTAATGCTGTCGAAGATGAGTTATCGGTACAGGCCAAGACAACAGAAGATCTCGAGAGATCCGCCAAACAGCATGAGGAGAAACTGGCTGCTCGTGAAGCGGTTAAGAGCAAGTTGCACGAGGTTAAAACGGATGCCAGGCGCTTGTCGGCACTGCTAGGGGAGGCAATTCAAAGCGCGCAAGGGGATTCGGATTCCGACTCAGAAACGCGAGGAGATTCCTCGGATGAGGATTCTTCACTGCGTCAGCGTTCAGGGCCGGATTACATTGATGGGAGTCCAGAGAGCTCCCCGATGAGAAGAAATGTGGGGGAAACTGTGTTCACGTTCGACACACTCGACGTCCCGAAGGATTCAACGACTCAGAGGAAGGATTCTCCTTCGTTTTTGAACTGCTTCGCGTGTTTCTTCCGGTGTATCCCAGTGAATTCAACGGGTTCGAATGGCAGGAATGTCATCGCTCCGCTGGGAATACCTGGTTACCCTTCAACTGCTGCAGCGTGTAACCCACTGTACACCTGCGAATACTACGAAGACGACGGGTATCGCGGGTTAGCCAAGTGAGAAACAGTCGATTCATAGCATGAACTAACACCGTCGATAATGCTTACCGTCAGAATCTAAGTCTTTTCGGCTGAGAGTTCAGTTCTTCAGTAGGGGCTTACATTTTAATTAAAGTGAAGCCACGTTTCGCAGAGCCGTAAGCCACCATTATCCTCGACGGGAATAAGACCGTTAAAGCATTTACGAACCTGTATTGCTTTAGTATAAATAGTAAATTGTGTGCCATCCTGGTCAAACCTAAATGGTCCATGGATAAGTGAGAAAAGTAAGCGGCAGTTTGTTTAGAGGAAAGGTACGCGGAGACAGGGACAGACTGACCGTATGAGCCGTGCGATGGCCTCTTTTTGCACAGTAGGTCGTGCAGTGGCAGCGAAGAAAATGCCTCCCTGTCTCCGATCATCGTAGGGTTTGCTAAAAGGAATTTCAACTGGCATGTTTAGCGTCCCATAGTGTTTTGTCTTACCTGCAGCCACCAACTCTATGATGGCTTGCCACTCTCAGCTCATTTACACTCTTACCTTGGAGAACTAACAGCCGATCAGAGACAATGTACCGTTCATCCTCCCGAGTAGTGACGGCGATCACTCGAGGCAGCTCTCGTGGTATGCAGACTCGACGTTCCATTCGCATGTGGGATCGAGTGCAGCCGTCGCTGTGGCACCCCTTAGCGTCACTGGAGCAATCGCTAATGGACGTGGAGATGATGGCACGCCGAGTTTTCTCGCCTCGCTTCCCACCGTTTGCGCCGTTCACGCCCGATATGCTACCAAAGCTGCACCATGACGACCACGACTTTTTCAAGGACCTCCCCATCAAGAAACCTGAAGAAGCGACAAAGGAGACGTTGGAGGCCGCGACACCAGAATACAGCGCACAGAACCCACTGGATAAGGAGAAGGAGGGAACCGAAGCTGCTCTCGACAAGAAGGAGCCTTCGACCGCTGCAGCAGGCACCGTGCCTCACCCGACGTACTCGTCGTACTCGTACACGTACTCGACCGTGCTGGACCACAATGGCCATTGCATTGGCTCGGCTCGCCGGCGCTATGAGGATTCGACCGGACGTCTGAAGGCCACACATGAGCGCGAGATCGATGGCAAGAAGCTGAAGATGGTATGGCAACGTTCCAACACGCAGGACGAGGGCGGCCACCAGACGATTTGCTCGAGCGGCAGCCCAGACGAGTTCGAGAAGGAGTGGGTCGAGACGCCGTTTGGTCGTGCTGAAGACGAGGAACTAGCCAAGTGGATGAACGACCATGAACGCAATGTGTACCAGGCCTTTGGCATCGAGTACAACCCAGACGAGATCGAGCCGAAATGTGAGACGGTCGAAGAGCGGAAGGTTGTGGAGGAGGGCAGCCATGAACGTAAGCAGACCATTCATAGGATGTCGAAGCGCCAAGAAGAGGAGACGACGCCGCCGCAGTTCACGTCGTGAGCGAGCAGTTAGGGCAAGTTGAAGTGGTTGCCTATGAGGAATCTGATAATTCATATCGAATACATGTACTGTGAAGTTTCATAACGATTTTAGAAAATTTCGTCTAAGCGAAAATTTACAGTTTCAATATGTGGACCACATGTCTGCTTGGATTCGTACTTAGTCTCGAAACTTCAGCTTGTTCCCGCCTGCCCATCTTTAAAACCGAATCAACCAGTCATCCCCCCTCGTCTCTTTCGGTCAGTATGGAGGAGCAGCAGCAACATGACGAGCCGATGCTCAAGACCTGCGACTCGGAGGCCACGTCGTCCTACCAACTCGGCGGTTTCGGTGTGGATGCGGCTATAGGCGAGTCCAAGCGCTGGCTGCAAAGCTTAGAGAAGAGCATCCGCGCCATCGTGAGTATTCGTTTACTGAGTGTACGCGCCTTCGACGGCAACGGCGCGAGCTTCAGCGTGGCCACGGGCTTCGTGGTGGATATGGAGCGCGGATTAATTTTGACCAACCGTCACGTGGTGACACCCGGACCCGTTGTGGCTGACGCCATCTTCCTCAATAAGGAAGAAGTGGACCTCGTGCCCATTTACAGAGATCCCGTGCACGACTTTGGCTTCTTCCGATTCGACCCCAAGAAGGTTAAGTTCCTACAACTGCATGAAATCCCGTTGCGCCCTGAAGCTGCCAAGATCGGCGCCGAGATCCGCGTGGTGGGCAACGACGCGGGCGAGAAATTGTCCATTCTTCCAGGCATTTTGGCCAAAATGGACCGAGACGCGCCGTCCTACGGCTCCAGTACCTACAATGATTTTAATACGTTTTACTATGCAGCAGCCAGCAGCACGAGTGGAGGCTCCAGCGGCTCCCCAGTGCTGAATATTGACGGTTGTGCTATTGCGCTCAATGCTGGAGGAGCCAAGAAGGCTGCTTCATCCTTTTATTTGCCACTTGATCGCGTCGTGCGAGTGTTGGAACTGATTCAACAGGGCAAACCTGTGCCCCGAGGTACGATACAGACGATCTTCCGACACACTGCATTTGATGAGGTGAGGAGACTGGGACTACCAGGAGAGACGGAGGCGCTGGTGCGGCAACAATTCCCACAGGAGACAGGTATGCTCGTAGTAGACCAGGTCATTCAAGGAGGACCTGCACATGACCAGCTGCGGACAGGAGACGTGCTCATTAAGTTTGGTGGACAGTATGGAGCGACATTTTTGACCGTTGAAGAGTATCTGGACGCTCATGTTGGAGAGACAGTGGAGGCGCAGTTCCAGCGCGGAGACGAGCAGTACACAGCCACTATCAGTATCCAGGACTTACATTCCATCACGCCCGACAGATACTTGGAGATCGGAGGAGGAATTGTACATGCACTTTCCTACCAGCAAGCGCGCAACGCGTCATTGCCCGTGGGTGGGGTGTATCTTGCTCAAGCAGGGCATATGTTCATGAAGGCGCATCTAGCCCAGCCCTGTATCATCACATCCGTAGCGGGACAGCCCACTCCTACATTAGACGACTTCGCACGGGTCATGGCCTCGCTTCCGAACGGCTTCCGAACGGTATTAAGGTACTTTATGATTCGTGATCGCCACCGTGTCCGCACGGCCTTCATTATGATGGATCGCCTTTGGTTCCCAATGCAAATGTGCACTCGTAACGACGAAGACGGGCTTTGGTATTCCAAGCCGTATACGTTAGAAGCATCCAATGGATAGAACTCACTTGTGGCTACAGCAAATGGAAACCCGACGTTTGCTCTTGCACTGTTGAGCTTTCCTGGAGGCAACGCACTTGGTAAGAAGACGTTACTGTCGCTGGTGATGGTATCGTTTGATATTCCTTACATGATTGATGGCATTTCGAGCTCGAGTTACCACGGGATGGGAGTCGTCGTGGATGCTGAACAAGGTTTTGTGCTTGTGGATCAAAACACCGTCCCTATTGCGTTGGGCGACGTGTTGATTACTATTGCTGCTAGCGTGGAAGTCCCCGCTAAAGTGGTGTTTGTGCATCCAGTTCACAATTTTTCCATTGTACAATACGACCCTAAGACTCTGGGCGCTGTAGCAGGCCACATTGGGAGTGTTGAGTTGGCTGAAAAACCGCTAGAAGTTGGTGAGACTGCTGACTATATTGGATTGAGCAGCAACTGGACGGTGGTCACCATGAAGTCTGTTGTAACGAAGCTAGATCGGCTTGTCTTGAGGGATTTCCAGCCCCCACGGTACAAAGCAGGCAACATCGAGGTGCTGCACTTTGACCGTATTACGAAGTCTGTGGGTGGCGTCTTCATCGATGACGTTGGCGCTGTGAATGCTCTTTGGCTCTCGTTCAGCTACCAGGATAATGCTGGTCGTAAGGAAGTCTTCCGTGGTCTACCGGTTAGCATCGTCCGACCCATTGTTGATGAACTTCGGGCGTCTCGTATTCCCGAGTCTGTGAACATTTTGCCGGCGCAATTACTGACGTTCTCACTGTCAAAGGCACGCTCGGGTCTTGGACTATCTGACGCATGGATCCAGAAACTCGAGTCTTGCTACGAGGATAAGCGCCAGGTTCTCGGAATCAAGCGTTGTGCTGCTGGCACAGACTGCGCCGAGAAACTCGAGAGCGGCGACTTACTCTTAGCAATTGACGGCCAGGTTGTGGTTCGGGACGCAGATGTGGAGCGCGCTGTGGACGGAAAGACTGAAGTGACGACTTTGGTTGTGCGGGACCAGAAGGAGATGGAGGTCTCGGTCCGCACTTCTCAGCTCTCGGCTATGGGCACGGATCGCGTAATTGTCTGGTGTGGCCTAGTTATCCAGAGCCCGCACTATGCAGTGGCGAGTTTGGGTTACATTCCTGAGGAAGGCGGCGGTGTGTACTGCTCGCGTTGGTGCTATGGATCCCCAGCGCACAAGTACGGTCTGCGTGCAACTATTTGGCTCGTGGAAGTCAACGGCGAGCCGACACGCACTTTGGACGATTTCTTGCGGGTGGTGGAGCGTCTGGGTAATCGCGAATCGGTGCGTCTGAAGACCATTTCCATCAATACTAAGCCCAAGGTGTTCACGCTGAAGACAGACTACCACTATTGGCCTACCGTCGAGTTGCGTCGAGAGGGATGGGACTGGAAATACGTGGAGCACCCTGTAGCCGCATAGGTGCTCGAAAATGATGCAAGTGTCAACCCAAGAAATCAAAATACTTCAGTACATAGAGCTACAGCACACTGCGCTTTCAAAAAATATATACGCGTATTTTGTTCACCTTTTCAAATACTATTCTTGGTGTTTCGCCTTACAGTTCGATAGAAATGGGAACAACACAAAAGGTCACCTTTCGTCACACCAGGTAATGGGAACAGTGGGCGCCCAAGCTGAAGCCTTCCACGTAGGTAGTCCAATTCTTTATCCAGGCAATGAAGTAGAAGGTGGACAAGATCAACAGCAATCGGTCTTAGACGATGGAAATCTCAACGTAATCCAGACGAAACTGTTCAAACGCCGACGAAAAGCAGCCGCAGTACTTGATGGCGAACCAGAGCGTGGATTACCTTTAAAATGTTGCAATCGCTGTAAAAGTGACCTGAATGGGAAACTCATGGTCCACTGTTCGACGTGCTCGTTCCGCTGTCATCTATATTGTTTTTCGCCTCCGCTCAAGCAACATCCTGCGTTCCTCATCCGAAGACAACAGCAAAACTCTCAAAGTGATTCCAATGGTTCATCGCCGATCTGGAAGTGCGAAAAATGTGAAGGCACGTCGGTTGTCTTCAATGTTAGACCCAAGCCATCGGTTGGGTCGCCAACACGGAAGCGACAGTCTTCACCTCAAAAGCGGAAAGGAAACTCACCAAGATCAGAAAACACTAACAGTAGTACTTCGACGCTGCAGGTGGCATCATCGATTGAAGAAAAGGATAACTCTGGGTGGATACAGCCCGTGCAGCCCCAGTGGATCGAGAACTCGGCAGTTGTGTTTGACTGGTATCGCTTCCGAAGTGAAAAAGCAGAGGCACTGCGTAACCATGAATCTGACCCAAATCAGAATCGAAGTGGAGTAGATGACCTGGTTTTTTACTCGAAGACTTATGCGTTAATGAAAAAGACAGCGGCGATTTGGCGTGCACACGTGGTGCGGCGACGACGATTCCGCTATCAACAGAAGCTGGAGATGAAAGCGTTGCATTTCCCTGATAAGAATATCAACGTGATGCACGAGGGGCAGCCAACAGACACGAATGCAGTAAATGTGACTCATGAAGAAGTTTATGATGACGAAGATGGAAATCTCGTGGGTGCCAATCTTTACATTCCATACTCAAGAAGACGCCCACGTCTTCCACTGTTGTGGAAAGGTGAACCGCCGAGTTCCTTAATGTGCTGGACTACAGAAGAGCGTGAGGAAGTTGCAAACATCTTAGAGGAAATTAAAGAGCGAGTGTGCTTATCGACAGAAGATTTTGATGTACCATTACTCCAGGCAGAAGACAATTCTGATTTTTTCACTGGATCTGACGGCGAGCACGTCAATGATAGAGTAGAACCTCAAACCGAGAGAAACGAAAGTGCAAAGATTCACGTAGCTGCAACAATTATTCAGATGATGGTTGTTCACCGTCGTCGTCGTTGTCGGAGAATTGATCGAGCGAACCGACGACGTCGCGCGCGTGAAGAAGCTCAGCGCAGAGCCAAGGCTCGAGCATCGATTACTCTTTTGCGAACTTGTGTTCAATTTATTGTCATTCTCATGAAAGCGCTGGGACAGGCTCGAACAAAGAAATCAATGCTGCTGGTTCTTCGCGATGCTGCAGAAGAAACTCGAGTAAATAACGATATGTTGATGAAGGAAGAGAAGGATGCCGAAGCGGCAAAACTCTTAGAACAACAGCGTAAATTGCAGCTGGCAGAGGTGCGGATTCGTCGCTTTTTCGTGCGACGTGTATATCCCTACGTGAAGATTAAGAAAAATGTGATGGCTCGGCGTATTCAGCGCTTTTGGAAGAGTAAATACTATCTCCATAAATGGCGGGAAGCTGCAATTGCTCTTCGGCTTGCACATCGAAATGAGGCATGTACTCGAATTCAGCACTTCTATCGGATTTTTCGGGTTCGAAATCGATTGCAAGCGCTAATAGAAGAACATGCACGCCGAAAACTGCGACGAACTCTGACGCGGTGGCTGCTTTCACGTCTTGCAAAGAAAGAAGCCAAACGATGTGCTGTATATGAAGCAGCACAATTGCCCTCGACCGAAGGAAGCCCGCTACCAGAAAATGCCCCACTTGATGAAATACTTGAGAAACGGGGAATTGCTCTTTACCAACAAGGTGATTTCTGGAACGCTGCGTCCATTTTAGAACGATTTTGTCAGATGAGGAAAGGGATTCTGACCCTGGAGTTGCAGAAAGCACTTGCTTATTCGCATCACATGACGTGGTACACATCCTATGACCGGTTTAACTTGTCTCGAGCACATGAACTGTATTGCTCTGCACTTGAAAGTTATACATCTGGAAAACGCGTGGACCCGTTAGTGTTACAAGACGCTGCAGTTGTGATGATGCACATGGAACACTTTGGTGATTCCTTGCGTTTACTAGCCAAGCTGATTGAATATTTCGCACGACATCCACAATTTCCCCTGTGGTTACTACTAGCTGCAGTGCAATTACAGCAGCTAGGTGAGTGGGAACAAAGCGTTCGCTATTTGACGTATCTTCACGATATTCCGCCGTCTCCGTATTTGGAGAGGGACATACTAGCACTGGCTGCAATGAGTTACGAGCAACTAGCATTTGCAGCAGCTAAAACATCAGAAGCTAGAGCTTCTAATGTAGCGTTTGCGAAAGAGGCGTGGCGGGCTGCACTACGTCAATGGAACCTCGAGAAAATTAACGATGCAAGGCCCAGCAGTGCAACTCGAAATAATGGTCGCGTCTTGACTTCTAAACAAAAGTGGGAATTGCTTACAGATCTAGGGAAGCGAGCGCTGGACCAAGGTCACTATTTGGTGTCCTGTCGAGTCTACCTTTACGCTCTAGAGCGCGTCAAGCGTGATGATCAGGAGAACCACGCGGTTTGGTGGAATCTTGCGGATGCGTTTCGGCATCTTAGCCACCTAGACTTGTACGTCAATGCTGCACTTCGCAGCAAGCCTAGCTCAACAAGAGACGAACTACTACAAACAAACGTGCGAGAGCGTGCTGAGCAGAAGGCGACCAGTTTCCAGAGTGAATTGAAGACACTGACAGTGCTGCAAAAGTTACGACAGCTAAGTGGGAATGCCAAGTGACTCGTAAAATGAAGAATGTTTTATAAATGTTATATCTGTAGCATATTTAGGTGGGATTTAGTCGTCAGCGCCACGACGTTGCTTGTTCACATCATCGGTCTCCTCAATTGCCGACGTCAGTTCTGCCATAAGATTTTCATCTCGTTTAGTACCTCGCCGACGCTGAGACCTTCTCCTGCGCGAAACATTTTCTTCATCTGACAGTACTCCTCTTTCACTCTGATGTTGTGGGGAGTTTCTTCTTGGATTTGACCCGCGACGTTGAATATCTTGTAAAGCAGCAAGTGCGTCTCGCTCTCTGGCTCGCATGGCACGTCCACGAGCGCCAGCCAGTGCACGGTTAAAGTGCAGTGGGTTTTGGGTCATAGTCGCGACCATCTCCAGTTCATCATCATCATCGTTATCGCTGTCGTCGTCCCCGGCTGGGCGGTGCTTACTATGGTCTGTTTCAGTGTCATCCTTAAGGTGGCGTCGAGGACTGCTGAAAACCTTTTGGACACGAGTGATACGTTTGTAGTAGTCCGGTCGGAGTGCAACAACGAGCTCCGTGATCAACACAAGAGCAAAGTACACACAACTAACCACCACTAGCATCGTGGTCGCAATAGCCAGCATTTGAGCTGAAGCGCTGGTGAAACCAGTTTCGCTGCTTCCAAGGCGACCACTTTCAAACATGACACCGGCCAATAATACTAGGGAAGCGCTAAAAAGTAGACATGCCTCCACCGTGTTGTGATCCCAGAGATATCCGACCAGATTCTGTGGTTCCTGAGAAGCAAGGATAGCCTCGTTCGCACCACGTATACCTGGCGAGGCAGCACTGCCAGCCACACCACTTCCTCCGTGATCACCGTGTCCGCTCTTCCACGCAGTTACCGTAGATGCATGCATTTCAAGACGAAGATGTGCGGGCTGAATGAAAGCTTCACCTTTTGCCTTGGCTCGACGAGTTTCCAACAATACCCGCTTGGCGTAGTCGGCTAGTACTCGCTGCGTCTCGTAAGCGCTCATATACGGGCGACAACGCACTTGGAGCGCGTAGTTGACGAACAATACGAACGTCGCCGTAGCCAATTGGAACACTGGATCCTGACGGAAGAGCAGCCCAATACCCGCCAACAAGAACTTCCGCAGGATAATGAGCACCATCCAGTACCAGTAGTCGGGCTTGAATTGGTAGTACAGCTTGGAGAATTTCTTCCTGAATACCCAGCAGTTTGGATTCGTTCGTCGACTCGTCCCTCGCTGCATGGCTCTTAAAAGTTGGTCCTCCATAACTAACGCACGGTTACGAGATAGTGTTAGAAGCACGAAAAGCGGATAACCCAGCGAGTAGACCACAAAGGCCAGTACTGCAAATGGGAAGAGCTGCATATGAATTCCACCAGGCTTGAAACACTGCGTATAGATGGCCACCATGTACAATTTCCCATCCGACGGTATGGTTCCAACGCAGTTGAACACATCCAAAGTTGTTCGTGTGAGATAGAGGAACAAATAATACATCATCACAAGTGTGGAACCAAACAGCTGAGGTAAATGTGATGTTAGTCTCGTGCGCCGCCTCTTGATAAAACGCTTGTACGCGTACAGCGCCGCGAAAATACCGAGCGAAGTGGCAGCAACAACTAATGGGAAAAGCTCGATGATGAACCATTTGTTCACAAACGATACTTGGAATGCGAAGCACTCGGGTGCGATCAATTCCAGGTTAAGGTTGAAAGCAGATAAAGTCGAAAACAGGTTAATCAACGACGCTGGCCAGGAAATCCGAGCATTACCAAAAATCGAGAGAGTCTGGAAGTAGTCGATACCAATTGATAGCAGACCCAGACTCACTCCTTTTCGAGTCAGCAGATAGCTCACAATGGATGCCACACCTAGACAAATAACCACGATTGCGACAGATCCCCATTTGTTGTCAGGACACAGATTACACTCAGCGTTGAGCTTGTGGTAGTTCTTCTCACATTCACCACATCGAATGTCCATATATCCCACGGCACACCTGTTGGCACCTAAACACGCGTACATTGGATCACATGCAAAAACTACTTCACCTTCACGCCAGTAACCAGGTTTGGCCAACGGCATCTCGTCTCCACCAGCACAAGTAGCACCCTCAGGGCACTCATCGCAGAATTCTGTGGAGGTTCGATAATACCCTGGGCTACATTGGAACTTCAGTTGTGTCTGGCTTGAAGCAGACATGACGTTCCCACCAACCGACAACGTAATGCTAGTGATACCAGCCTTCGTCTTGGGAGGATACCAGATCAATTCAGAAGAGCTATTCCAAACAATAGTCCCCGTAGAATTCGAGCTAGTGTTTGTTGCGTCAGCTGGAGTTGTTGTTTCAGCTAACTGTCGATAAGATTCACCGTGAAACGCGGTCTCCAAGTCCGACATACTACTCGCTGCACCCAGTTTTCGGGAAATTGGCTGCACCGTGTCAGTGGAGGCAAAGGAAATAGTGATAGCATCGCTCGGGAAACAACCAAAGTCGGTGCCCTTGATCGTGATAGCGTTGGCACCGTTTGCATCGGGCTGATTCGGCATCTGAGCCGTTATCACAGGTTGGTTGTACGAGAAGGTCAAGGCATTGCTAGGTTGGCTATCGACAACTACGTAGACTTCGAGATCGGCTCCGTATCCAGCTGGAACTGTAGTTTCAATAACAAAATCTGAGTGACTGGTAAGATTTTCAGCCAGATCTACCGCAGGATCGACAGCTTCACACATTATTTGCGTTCCCTTGTCGTCATCACAAAGGTCCAGGAAGTTGAACGTAGGACTGACGACGTACAGCGATGGATAACAGACTAATGTATCAATATCGATGCAGGGCCCGCTGGACGAGTATTCACACGTGTCAGAACCACAAGCCTTGGGATGAGAGCTCTGACCATCAACTCGCGCATCACGACCACCAATGAGAACCTTTGCTCTGGCTGACCCAAAGTTTTTCCCATAGAGAGTTATCGTGTAGCCACCGCAAGTCGACAAGTTGCTCGTGCTGGTCTCATATCCGATCAACTCAGGGGTCTGGTAGTCAAATTCGACAGACTTATTGACAAGCTGAAGCTCGGAGACAGTCAGATTAACGATTCGCGAAATGCCTTGGCCAGGAGGCAGGTTAAACTTGATGGTCGAGTGGCTGAAGTATACAATATCATCATTTGTTACTTTCACCGGTTCAATCGATCCATCGCTACTAGCCAGCTCAAGATGCCAGCCAAGCGACCGCACACCAAAATTCTTGCCCACAATCGTGACAGCTACGCGCTCACATAGCTCCGTACCCACTGGACAAGCACGAGAAGCAGTCTTTGAGCAAGATCCTGGGTAGACTTTCATTGTAGCATCAACAGGTGGATCCACCGTAACATCGAGCCAACCTGTCGTAGGTGGACTTACAGTGGACGCACTAGCACGGTAAAGGCTTTCATCGTTTTGAAGGAGTTGCCAAAACCCACCAGTGTACAGGAGCTGCAAATCTGTCTCTTCACTTAAATACACTGCCTTGTTGCTAGAATACACGTCTTCCACCACCGTGAGAGTAACCTTTTGTAAAACACCATCTAAAATGGTTTGGACACAATACGAATCGAGAGAAGAGCTTGTCGAACTTGCTTCGAGATATTGACACTTGATTGGTGCTTCCAAGGTAGCACACGGTTGATCTGGATCTGTACAGCTACAGGTGTATCCTGAAGTTGGTCCATCGTTTCTACTGATGCTGTAGACAACAGGTGGATCGTAGCTAAATTTCTTCGTTTTATCCACATTGGCGTGTCCACTCACTGTCACGACAACGTCATGTCCACTGCCTTGACCCTCACTTGTCGTACAAAGAATGAGATCATGGTCAATACTATCGATTGAGCACGAAAATGCATCACCAAGAGAAACTGCATGCTCATTCGAGAGTGCACGAGTTCCAAAGTTTTCACCTCGAATAGTCATTGTAGACCCACCGGCTGTAGTAGCGTCAACTACTTCAATGCTACTAATCACAGGAGGATTGTAGCTGAATGTCGTCGACTTTTCTTGATTCCCAGCGATAAGTTTCAAGGTGTAGTTTTGACCTTCTCCAGCAGGAATATTCACCGTGGCATGAGAATGATCAAATGTTGTGATGGTAAGCAAAGCAGACGCGTTAGAGCTGGAGGTCATTGAAACGATTGGGTTGGTGCCAAAGTTCGCTCCAGTAAGAGTCACCATTTTTCCTGTGGTAGGGGACAGTGTAGCAGAACTTCCAACCCAATCCACGCTAGGCGGAATGTAGCTGAAGTATCTTGGACTGCTAAGTGTTGTACCACGCGTAACGATGAGAGCGAGCATGCTTCCTTGACCGCTTGGAACGCTGCACGATATCAATCGGATGCTACTCACACCAGAAATTGCTCCTGATAGGACTACGCTCGATGGGATGACGGGCGTTGTAACTACGACATTGTTACAGGTACTGCCTCCGATAGAGATCCGAGGATTCCGACCAACATATTTGGCATACAAACTCAGCGTTGCTCCACCATTAGTTGCTGACAGGTAGTTAAGTTCTCCAGTTGTTCCAATTGGCTCCGTTTGGAAGAGTTTTGTATCTCCATCCAAACGATAGCTCGTTGAGCAATCCAGCACGCCACATGTAGAACTGTATGTATACCAGTCAAGAATTGAAGGATCATCCCAGCTGAAAGGAGCTGAGTTGCTAAGTATCTTCTCCCTACCGATCACAATGGTCACGTACCCCAATTTACCAACATACTTCGGTATTATGATGGTATCGTGAGTCCACGATGAAAAGTCAACGGAGGATTCGTAGCTCGCAGCCTCAAAATTGCTCGTAGTGACGGGGTACTTTGACACAAGCACGCGGCCAGTGGTGTAAAAGTTGGTTCCCGTAATAGTGAGCTGAATGCAAGAAGGCAGACATTCACTCGGGCCTTCATCAGTGAACACTGATTCGATCAGTGGCAAACCATAGCTGATTGGCAGTAAAGCACTCTTTTGAACACTCGTTGTACCAACCAGAAGCTGCAAAGAGCCTCCACTGCCATATCCCACTGGGACCCGAACAACCACGTATTCACTGGAATTACTATTGCCAAAGTCTCCAAAAGCTATCGTAGGAATACGACGCGTTGATAAACTGGATTGAGGTGGCGAGAACATCATCCGAGACGCCGCAAAAGTCACATTCGCCCCAAGATTTTCTCCAATAATTGTGACTTGAGTCGATCCATCCGTTAGTGCTACCGTTGGGTAAAAGGATGTTACCACTGGTGGAGCATACGAACTTGTGAAGGTTGATAAACTCGACTCCTGATCCCCGACTGACACAATCCAAGAAAGGTTCGCCCCAACACCAGGTGTCGTCGTACAAACAATTGTAGAATCATTGTGTTTGATCACTTCTGTCACTTGATAATCTCGTCCAGATGAACCATAGGAAATAATGTCAATTGCCACATCACTTGGTCCGAAATTGCCACCGCGAATAATTACTGTCTGTCCTCCACGAACGAGCGCATTTACTGCTCCCTCTCCATCCAAGGATGTGATATATGGCTTAGCATAGCTAATAGTAGGCGTCGCACTAGTCAAACCATCAATTGTGACGATCCAGACAAGGCGATTACCAACACCAGGCGCAGTTGTACATAAAATCCGTTCATGATTGATCACAATTGAGCAATTCGTCGCGGTGAACTCGTTCCCGTTAATTCCGTACGTCACTCTGTTAATAACGGATTCGTTCATGATGCCAAAGTTCTTGCCTGTGATGACCACCTGCTGCGCACCACTCGTCCTAATTTCTGCCTCTCCATCCGGACGGAAGACCTTGTTCACAATTGGTCCGGCGTACGACGTGTTTTGTGTCGTCCATAGCGAAGTTTGGCCCTCAATTGTAACGCGCCATGAGTGGAATGACCCGCTACCAGCAACGGACTCGCACTGAATCAAATTGTGATTCTTTGGGTCGGTGTATTGCCGTTTGCAGTGGACAGCTCGAAGGATAGTCAAGTTATCGAACGAATATTCAACAACCGGGTCCACAAATATGGCAGTATCAGGGCCAAAGTTTTGACCGCGTATCTGGAAGACTGTCCCTCCTGCGGTAGAAGCGTCCTTGAAGCCCATTACTTCCAGAATTTGAGGTAAATCGTATGCCGTTTTGATTTCGCTGGTTAACACGCTCAGTTGGTTGTCAACGGATATTTGCCATTGGAAATCTCCTCCTGCTCCAGGTAGAGACATACACGTCAACTGAATATGATCAACCACCACCGTGCAGTCATTCAACTCGGACGAATGGAGGGTGTTCATGTACCATACCGTGATATTGGCGCAGCCCTGACATCCGAACCCACTTCCGTTCACCACCACTGTAGCGCTTCCAGATGTTTGCAATCCATTTGCCATTGTCACTGCAGTTATAATAGGAGCAGCATAATGACAACTGGTAGCGAACGTCGCACTTGCCTGGCCGCGAACTACCAGTGTGAATGGGAGATTTGTACCTGTACCGAGAACACTACGGCAGGTAACGTACTGACGGGTAGAAGTGTGCAGCTTACAGTTTTGTACCTCAAAGTCGGAGCCGTACAAGACGATAGGCTGCGCATCTGAGCTCGACAATTGTGTCGATCCCAGGTTCTCGCCATAGATGATAATGTTATCCACACTGCTGCCGTTTGTAGGGAACGCAGTATTGCACTCAACCGAGTCAATGACTGGAGCACCATACGATGCTAACGGAACGGATGAAGATGCTTGGAATGTCGTGTCACCAATAGTGGGAACTGTCATGACCAGAGTGATATTCCAGTAGAGGTTGGCCCCAACTCCGGGAGCTGAGGTACACTCAACACCAGTATTTCCATTTACTAGAAAACAGTTTGTTGCGGTGTACGGCGAAGTTGTTCCGTACGCTCCATATTGCACTGTGAGCAGCTTTATTACCACAGAACCATCGGCTCGTTGCTTGAATCCCATGTTTGTGCCTGTAAGGATAAACTTTTCTCCGCCGATAGTGCTCAATTTACGAGAGCTATCTGCTACAAGCTCAAACGCCTCCACCGTTGTGTCTTCAGTATTTTTCACTGTAACAATGAGATCCTTGGAAATAACGAGGGCATTGATACCACTAGAATCTCGAGCCTCGATAGTCAGTGTATATGCTTGTACAGCCTCAAAGTCAATGGCGCCATTCACAATTAAGTCACCAGTTGTTGAGTCGATTCGGAACACATTCAGACCTGGCGGAGTCATCCCACTTAGCGCATACTGAATGGTACCAAATGGGTAAGAGTACATATCTGGATCAGTTGTAGTGACCCGAAGAATAGCCGAACCTATCGCCGTGTTCTCCAACACTGATTTTGTAGTGGTAAAGTCAACAAAGGAATGAATCTCGTTTACATCCTCCACCTCAATAACAATGATCGTCACAGCTGTTAGCTTACCGGGGTCTTGTGCGATAAGATTAAAGCTGTAGTGACGTCGAGCCTCATAATTCAGACTTAGCTTGACAATAATTCGAGCACATCTCGCCTGGCTGCAGTCCTTTTCAACTTTTACCGAGAAGAGAGAACAGTCGGTCGCATTCGTGCACGATGTCGTGTAGGTAAGAGCATAGCCATCGCCTTCATCAGGATCCGTGGCACTGAGACACCTGGGAAGCGCCAAGTTTGGAGCCTTGTTTTCTTGCACCACGAATTTATATTGCTGATCGTTAAATACTGGTGCCTCGTTGACATTCTTGACTTGAACAGTGACATCATGGGTGCTGCACATTTGAAATGGGTCGCACGCTGCTACAGTACAGATGTACGTTCGCCTCTGTTCGAAATCCAAGACTATCCCTGCACGAAGCGCAATAGCTCCGCTTGTCAAACCAACACTGAAGGTATCTGCACAGTACGCGTCTGTCTTAGACTGTAGCGTAAACTGGATCACGTCGTTATCAGGATCTTCCACGAAACCAGAGATTAAAGCGCCAGCTTGGGTCCCTGTTGCAGAATTTTCATTAATGTCAAACGAGGCTGGTAGTGTGCTACTCCAAACTGGCGCAAAATTGGACTTCGTCGTGAATACTTTGATGTCAGCAGTAGTCGAACAGCGACTGACACTGCTATCGGTCACAGAAACAGTCACAGTGTACTGCGCTGGATACACTAACTCGCTCCCGGAAGGTGCCCTCGCCGCCGTCAATTGCCCAGTCGTCGCGTCAATTCCAATTAATCCGGACGTAGCGTTCGACTTAACAATGGAATATGTCAGAGTATCAGCAACATCTTGATCTTTGCCGGGTAGTGGGTACCCGATTTGTGTACCTGCCGCTGAACGCTCACGTACTGTGAAGGATAACGCGGCCAATGTGGGGCAATCGTTGGCATTGACGATATTTACGATAACTCGGCTATCAGCCGAAAACCCAGTCGTTTTCACTGTTTCATCCGAAACTCGGACAGTCACCACATGCTGCGACAGCACTTCGTAGTCTGGCAAGGATGATGCTTTCCAAGAAAGGCCAACTCGGCCACTTGTGCATAGTGTAGGCTCCAGCATTTTGGTTGTTGCGACTCCATTGACAATTGTGTCATGTACCAACTGATATGAAGAAGTGCTTCCGACAATCGAATAGAAAGAGCATGAAGCTTTATCGGGATCAATAGCAATAAATGTGCACGCAGATGCCCCTTGCTCAGTCAGCACCACTGCTGTGTTCTCCACTTGCGTACAAATTAGATCATCCATTGATGGCGCCTCGTGAACATCGAGGACGTTAACAGTGACAAATCCGCTCCCGCATAAACTAGTGTGAGCAGCGTCGCAAACTCTCACGTTTAGATTAAAAGTAGTGGGATCTTTTTCATAATCCAATGCACGAGTTGTCTGCAATACGCCACTGAGCTGGTCCATTCTAAAAGGAACATAACTGTCCATTAGTGTGAATACGTTTGCTGAAGTCTGATCGGGATCAGTAAACTGCGCAACCAAAACTGTGGTGCCTGCAGGCTTGTTTTCTTGGACATATCCAGTGATCCCCCCAACAACGGAAGGCGGCTCATTTTCGTCTAGCACACTGACCTTAATATCGAGAAAGGACGTGAATTCACCGTCAGTGTATGCTATTTCTAATTCGTATTCAGTTTTGCTTTCAAAATCCATGGGCACGAGTGTCAGAAGTTGGCCATCACTACGAATCAAAAATTCAGATGCATTGCCACTCGATACGCCACTTTTAATCCAAAACCCGGAGCTATTTCCAACTGTTCCATCGACGTCAACAACCTTGACCGGCTTTCCAACTAGTGATCCCGGGGAGAGATTCTCTAGGATAGTAAATGTACCAGCAGTGAGAGATGGCGGCTCGTTGACATTTCGTATCAATACAACAGCATTCATAATCGTCGACATAGACTTGCAACTTGCAGCATCCAATGTAGGATCACAATACACGCTACTGTCTTTGACAGTAATCGAAATAAAGAGAATAGGCATCGTTTCGTAGTCGAATGGCTCTGCTGCATATAGCTCTCCACTGTCTGTTATGGAAACATAATTACTCGCATTGGTACGGAATGTCAACACTGACGCTTGATCTGGATCTGTAGCAATAATTTTCCCGATAAAAGTTCCAGTTGGAGCATTCTCCAGAATAACCAATGATCCAGACTCAGCGAATTGAGGGGGCTCGTTCACGTTAAGGATGTCTACCACCACTTGCACTTGCGCCTCCAAAGCTACAGGATAACCAGAATCTATAACGCGCACGCCAAACGAGTATTGGTTTGTTCCTTCGTAGTCCAATTTATCCCATTGAACGGCGAGCTGACCGGAGCAGCTCTCAAGTCGGAATGGTAATCCTCCATCATTTTTATTCACAAGTTCGTAACGCAAGTTTTCAGTCTGACCACGATCCGGGTCAATCGCACGTATTGGGGTTCCAAAATTTAAGCCAGATGCAGAGTTCTCCGGAACACCAAAGTAGTACGATGATTGCTGGAAAATCGGTGGCTCGTTCACATCCAAGACTTTAATCTGGATCTCGCGCTCGTAGACCAACCCACCTCTGTCAGTAGCACGTACACGAACTGTGACCAATGAATTCCGTTCGTAGTCGAACAATGAACTATCACGAACGGACATATTACCGCTTGATGTCAGTGATATATCTGTGGATGGGAAGGCCAATTCGAACGTAATTTGATCTGATAAATCCGGGTCGGTTCCTGAGAGTTCGCCGATCATCGAGCCAATGGTCGGGTTCTCTGTGATCTCAAAGCAGCAGCTAATGATTACAGGTGGCTCGTTTACGTCGTCTACGTAGATAGAAAGTGTTGCCTCTCCCATTAAACCTCCACTGTCCACGACATTCACACTGATTTGAACCGGTTGGTCTATAGCTGCAATTGATTCATAGTCGAGAGTGACGGTAGCTAGTAGCAATTCTCCAGACGTCGAGACGTCGAACCAGTTGCTTCTGGACCCGTGAATGAAATATTCCAATGGAGAAGGATATGCGCCAAAAACACAAAGCATGTTGAACGCTGTTGTGTCTGGAATCACGAAATCGCCGCCTGAATTTGCTCGAATGTAGATCTCATAGGTGGTAGCACTTGTACTGCTTTGAGCAGTAATTGTTTGTCCTTCCAGTTTTACGAACGCATTTTGCGATATCCAAGCTGGAATAACATCGGAGTCGTCTTCAACCAGTACAAATATGTCACCAGAGCTGGCCAAATTCAGCGTGACTTTTGACAATGGTTCTGATACCGAAGTGGTAACGATGAAAGCGTTCTGTAGTATCTCGGGAATGTTCATCCACTCAACGTCCAAAGAATCGGTAAATACAGGAGCTTGATCTTGCAATCTGGACACCGTGTTGGAGCTCCTCGTTGCATCATTAACAATCGTCAGAAAGTTTTCATCATCGTGCTCTACATCCGAAACACTGACAAAGCCTATGCCAGTACCAATTGGTGTGTTCTCGTTTACTCGATATACTTGTCCAGTTACAATTGGCGCTTCGTTAATGTTCTTCACAAATACCCAAAACGTTGATATAGCAGTTGTTTGACCATCTGAGCACTGGATAGTCAAAGCATAACCACGCGTTGTCTCGAAATCAAGATTTCGGGTTTCAGCATAGAACATTCCACTCTTAGTTTCAACCACAAAGGCAGAAGTATCGTCCAGTAGCGAGAAAGACAACTCGTCACTCGTGTCTTCGTCAAAGCAATGAAGAGATCCTAACAACTCCAAGTTTCGAGTCCCAAACGTGTCACCATTCCTTGATAAAGCATACTCGGCCGCTGTGAAGTTCGCTGACTGCAGTATTGGCGGATCATTGACGTTTAGCACCGTGACAGTTAATGTTGCCACCACTTGAAGGCCCTCGCGGTCCGTCACAGCGACAGTAATATACATCACCGGTGCAGACTCGAAGTTAATCGTAGAGCCATTAGCCACTCTCAAAACTCCCGTATCTGTTTCGAGCGTAAATGGCGAGTAGGAATCGAGTAAAGAGAATGTCAGCACGTCTCCGTTGTCTTCATCAATCGTGTTGACCGTGCCCACAATAGTCCCGTCTGTACTCATCTCTGCTACAATAAGAGACTGTCTTCCTGAAATTGCAGGTGCTTCATTGACATCCACGACACTGATAACGATTTCGTTGCTGCAACTCAACGATACGCCGGTATCCGGGATGTCATTCGTTTGATAACGGAGGCGATATACGCTTTGCACCTCGAAATTAGCGTAGATCTGTTGCCCCGACGTAAACCGGACTACTCCACTTGCATAATCTATCGAAAAGATACTACTATCAGGATAGGACAGTAACTGAAACGTGTGTTTCTGACCTATATCCAAGTCTTGTACTTCCGCTTGACACAGCCCTTGAGTTCCAGGCAAACCTTTGAAAACACCAGCAGCGTTCTCAAGAACCCAGCACTGAAGTGAAGGACAACTCGGTGGCTCATTATCGTTCACAATCGTAAGAACCACAGTCGATAAATCTGTTAAACCGGTTGAGTCGGTCACAACTGTCTTAAGTTTGTATGTTGGAGTCGTCTCCGAATCCAAAACGCCTTTTTTAATCAGCGAAATTATACCAGACTTATCGTCGACATCGAACACGCTACTGGCAGCTTTAGTGGCTGCATCTGTCGTATCCCACGTAAATCGCTGTGTATCGTTGAAGTCCGGGTCGGTAGCTTGTAGTGCACCTACAATGACCCCTGCACTGGCCAATTCATGAACAGCTAAGGAATATTGCTTGAAGCTAAAGGAAGGTGGCTCAGGGACATCTACCACCGCTATGACAAAAGTGAAGGCTGTCGAAACAGCGTCAAACGAGTTGATTGTACCACGGATCGTTAGCACGGGCTCCGCCCAAAGGGAGTTCATCTTAGCTAACGCTTCATAGTCGATAGAAGCTCCGGTTGTTCGGATTTGGCCATCATCACGAATTTCAATTGTATTTGAGACTGGACTAGAACCTTTCAATGAAAACGTGAAGGAATCGCCTTCAGGATCCACACCGTGCAATTGACCAAGTAGCTGTCCACTCACAGAATTCTCCGCAATTACGAGATTGAGTGTTGAGGCTTGTAGAAGGCTCGGAGGCTCGTTGACATCCACAATGAAAATGAAGACCATTACTGTATCCGACAGAAAACCTTTACCTGTGTCTGTAACGGTGAGTTGAACTCGATGCATCTTTAAACTTTCATAGTCGAATATCGCACGACTGTAGATCAGCTCACAACTTCGATCGTCGTTTTGAACAACTCGAACAAAGGGGTTTGATGTCTCGCTCACAGAATAGAATAGACGTTGGTTACTGTCCTGATCCAGCGCTTCAAAGTGGTGTAACAAAGCTCCAACCTCAACATCTTCGTTCGCTTCGATACACACATCCTTGTTGTATTCGTAGCGGTTTTCAGTAATGCCATCTTCGCGAACAAAACAGTTCCGAGGTAGTTGAGGACGCTCGTTGATGTCTATAATAGAGACTTCTAACAGCGTTGTAATCGTGTTTAAGGCTGAATCCTCGATTATAACATTAATTGAGTACAGCGCTTGAGTTTCGTAATCCAGGTCTCCAGATACACGGAGTTGGCCAGTATTATAGTCCATCGTAAATGGAACTGGATTTGTTTGGTGGTTGGCATTTGAGTAGTGGAGCACGTCAGCTGCATCCGGATCATTTACTTCGATCGGCAGTCCCACATTGACATACAGCGGAGCGTTTTCTTCGACCTCTCGCTTGATAATACTTGAAACGATGGGCGGCTCGTTCACGTCTAGAACATGGATTGTAATAGTACACGTTGAGGACAGAGAAGACACAACGCTAGTCGCGGAGGGGTCATTTCTTGAATCGAAGCTGTCGCCAATTTTTACGCGAACAGTGTACAGGTTCATCGACTCATAATCGAGACTACCAGAGTTTTGCAAAGCCATCCAATACTGATCGTTTCCCCACTGAATCTCAAATATCTCATAGCCAATTTCATCGGTATCGCTGATCACTTCAAACACCGTGATATTGTTTTTGATTGGCGAATCAGGATCGCTCCACTCGATCGGACCAAATCGCTCGTTTGCTGTGGCATTTTCTAAGATGGATAGTATTTCATCCCGGCATTGCGGTGGCTCGTTGACGTCAGTAACTTCTACAAGCAGAGGCTTCGAAAACGCCTTTAAACCAGCACGATCGGCTGCACTAATCGTAAGAACATATCGATCATTTGCCTCGTAATCGAGTGCACTAGACTTGCTCATGCGAACTTCTCCATCACATGAATGAATCATGAACATGTCCACAGACAACCCATTGCGATCTGTTGCCGACTCAAGTTTGTAAGAAACCACGTCGTATTCATCAGGATCGTAGGCGGATCCCACTACTCCCAAGACCGCTCCTCTAGACGCATCTTCAGCGATTGTCAGTGTTGGTTGAGGCGTAAATACTGGTGGCTCATTCAAATCTACTATCTCGACCCGCACAATTGCGCTCGTCTGGAGTCCATGGGAGTCGGTGGCGGTAACTAAAAGATCATAACACGACTTCACTTCGTAATTAACAGGCTTCTCCAGGTAAATCAAACCGTCGTCTGAAACTGAAATATAGTCCGATGAGTTCTGCGAGACCGTCACTGTATCATTTTCTGGATCCCAAACCAATATTCGAGCGTGACTTCCATCATACGCTCTCACCCAATCCAAATTCCCGTCTACAGACTCTGGTACCCAAAAGTGGTCGGATTGAATGACAGGTGGCTCATTTTTATCTTCGACCAGTAATTGAACTGAAGTCGAACAAACTAAACTCCCGCCGTCAACTGCCGCGACCTTAAATACGATCTTGCGTTGAATCTCGAAGTCTAGTGGAGTTTTTACGAGGACTTCGCCAGTGTTCGAAAGTGACACAGCGTTACTCGACATTTCATCGTCTATCATGTAATAGCTCAGCGAACCCCACGATAGCGACGTGTTTGCGTCCGGATCTATTGCAAGGACGTGACCAGCCACTCCAATCACGTTTTCAGAAATCGAAAGCGTCAAAACTACTTCAGGAAAAGCACACTGCTCGTTTTCATTCGTCAAATCAATCGTCAGTGACCCCGCGCTTTGTCTAATCGGGTTACCGTCATCACTCACAGTTATCACGATCACCACTTGACGTACCACTTCATAATCAAACACACTTTCATTCAAAACTTGAATAGAGCCCGATGACAGTCCAACCGAAACCACGTCATTGTTGGGTCTAACTTCCGTCGAGTTGTCTCTTAAAACTAGAGTAGTTTCAACTAACGTAAAGAAATGCTGCTGATTAAAGTCTTCATCAGTGATTTGAGTAACACCAACAACAGAGTCCCGAAGTTGATTTTCGGCGAGTGTGAATGTCGTGGATGTGACAATCGGAACATCATTGCGATCCAAAATGATGATCTCCAGAATTTCAGTTGCTGACAGATTATCATCTGTTGCCGTAATGTAGATTGAATAGTAGGAATTACTCTCGAAATTTAGTAATCGTTTCGATAGCACAGCACCGGATACAGAGTCAATGGAAAACGTATCGGTTGAGTCTGTCGCTGTAAACGTCAATGTATCTTTGTCATCGGGATCTGAAGCAAATAGCTTCCCTGTGAAGGTTTCATTGAGTGCGGAAGACGAGAATATCGGAGTTGCAATCACAGCATCTTCAGGAATATAGACTCTCACTGGATGCACTTGTGGAGCTTCGTTAACATCTTTGATGCTCACGGATACCGTTGCAAAACTTCGCACTCCTCCCTGGATACTGTCGGTCGCTTCCACCAGTAGAGTGTACGACTCTTGTCGTTCATAATCAAGTGCTTGTTGTGAGCCCACCACTATCTTACCATCTCCAGCAATTGACAGAATTGCAAAAGCGCCGAAATTGTTCCCACTGATAATATTGTAGATTATTGTCTTGTTTTGATACGTGTCGCTGTCGATCGCGACAACATCTCCAACAACCGTTTGGACGGGTGAGTTCTCCCGAATAGCAAAACTGTAATGACTAGCTTGAAAAATTGGAGGCTCCTCTGTGTCTGTAATACTGATAACGACGCTCGAATCGGAGTAGGCCCCCTGCCGATCGAGTACGCGGACTGAAACTTGATAAGACTGCTTTTTCTCGTAGTCTAGCAATCCTGCAAGTGTAATTTCACCCGATACGGACACCTTAAACACCCCCTCGTATCCAGTTTCAACATTCAGCAACTGGAATGATAGAACATCACCAGTGTCAACGTCTGTTGCTGGCAATACCCCTATTAAAGCTCCTTCGCCACTAGACTCTGCTAGGCCAAACTGATACAAGTTCTGCTGGAATGCAGGGGGTTCGTTCACGTCAGTTACTGTTAAAACCACAGTGATAGTATCCACAAGAGGTAAAGATGAAGTGTTTGCGTTGTAAATACTCGTCGCTGGCAGCAAAACATACACCACACACGTCGACATAGTCTCGTAATCCAATCCACCACTAGATAAGGTTATTTGGCCGCAAGAATCCACAGAAAACGATGCACGATGACCACAGGTGCTGTTCACGATGCTTATCTCAACTGAACATCCAATGTCGACATTCAGATTTTCTTCATCAATAACCAAGCGAGTTAGCGGCGATCCGATATCACTCCCAACCCGAATTGACTCTTCGACTGTGAATTGTATGATATCCTGCACGAAGTACGGCGGCTCGAACACATTCACGAGATTGATGGTATACCGTGCTTTTGCCGTTAAGTTGCCTCTGTCCTTAACACACGCATCAACGCAAAGATATGGATTTTTCTCATAGTTTAACACACTGGAGTCCATCACAACAATCTCTGCGGTATTAAGACCGGTTGGTTGGATTCGAAAGGTGTTTGAGTGGCTTTGCTCACATATCCAGAATTGATGATATTCGTTCACATCAGGGTCTTCTACCACTATGAGAGTGACAATTGTCTCGTCGACTGAGTTCTCCCTCAACAGTGTCGACTCGGAGGCCACTAACACAGGCGCCTCATTCACGTCAATTATGTAAATTGTTCCTTTTGTCGAAACAGTGAACTCTCCATCTGTAACATGCACGACAACCGACAAGGTACTTCCCGTCGAAGCCTCGTAGTCTAGTGAGCAATCAATCTTTAATGACAGCTGTCCAGTGGAGGAATTAATTCGGATACACGCAGTCACAATGTCACTTGTCCCAATAAGATCATAGTAAAGTTTGGACCCTGCTTCCGGGTCAATGGCTACGATAGGGTCACCAAGAATGGATCCTGGCACGAGGTTCTCTGGTACCGATATACTGAAAGGCCCAATGACTGGTGGTTCGTTAACATCGAGAATAGTTACCATGAAGTTACTTTCATCCGATAGACCGTTTAAATCCATAACACGTACACGTAAATTGTAGACTGACACTGTTTCAAAGTCGAGATGGGCAGAGGTAATCACTTGGCCTGATTTTGAGTCAATAGAAAAAGGAGACTGACTGGCATTGGTCAACGTAAACGTCAGCACCTCCAATCCATTTTTCAAGTCCGGGTCGGATGACATTGTAGCAAATGGCTGACCAACTGATGCGACAATGCTTACATTTTCACGTATACTGACGGTCTGATCTCGAATGCTTGGCGCTTCGTTAACATCCGTGATGATGACCGTGACAATAGCGGTTGAAAATAGCCCAGCGGTATCTCGTGCCTTCACAACCAGAGCATATTCTTTAGCTTCTTCGTAGTTTAATTGGTCCACCTGTTGGAACAAAACACCCGTTATCGTATCAATTCCAAATGCAGTCGGAGCTCGCGTAATAGCACCCTGCGGTGTTTCAGAAACTAGACTGAATGACACGCTATCTCCGTCGGGATCCTTGGCTTTAACCGCTGGTAAAATCTTCGTCATAGCGGGCTGATTCTCGAGAATAGAAACCTGCATAGGATCAATAGTCGGCCCTTCATTGACGTTGTTCACCACAATATTGATCTTCTGAACGTTGCTTTTTGCTCCAGATTGATCGGTTGCCACGACTGAAATCACGTACGAAGGCTTGGTTTCAAAATCTAGGGTATCACGCTGCAGTTGGATTTTGTTGTTCGCAACGTTAAACGTGTCGACCTCTTCAACCAAGCTCACAATAGGAGTATCCGACTGACCATCGCTTCGAATGTCAGGGTCAAACACGGAAATAATTCCTGTAGCCAAGGTACCAGCGACCGAATTCTCGTCGATGTAGAACGTAGTTGCATTGATCTGCGGCTTTTCGTTGATGTCTAGAATACTTATCTCGATTCTTTGTGGGGTGCTTGATAAACCTCCCAAATCCATTGCTTGGACCAGTAAAGACCAGACTTTTTGCTGTTCATAACTGACAGATCGAGGAGTACTCACCGCAACTTGACCTTGTGCACTAACATTAAATGGACATCCAGAATCCGCTTCTACCACCTGCCAAACGTGATTTTTCCAGGAAGTATTCGCGGATCCGCTATTGTCTTCATCAAGAACCGTGAGATTGCATACCGCGGTGCCAACCAATCGACCGACTTGTTCATCAGTATAGTCATAAATGTACTCGTCTATTTCACATTTTTGTGGAGTAATTGTTGCTGGCGCATCGTTGATGTCGGTAATGTAGACTGTCGTGGTGCCGCATCCGATTAACGATGGACTCCCACCATCCCTTGCGCATACAGTAACCACCAACTTCTTTCTTACTTCAAAATTGAGAAGAGTTGAATTTGCAACCTGCAACATTCCTGAAATCGGATCAATCTGAAATGTTGTATCCTCGCCATTGTTGGACGATTGAGCTAAGTAGTACACCAGTTTACCGGTGGCTAGTTCAGAGCGGTCAGGGTCGGAAGCGGGTATAGCGCAAATTGGTGACCCAGTAGGTGTGTTTTCAGCAACATAACAAACCATTTCGCTCACAACCGGTGGTTCGTTGGCATCCACAACAGCGATGCGGATCGTTGACAAAGCAGCCAAGCCTAACCTGTCAGTAACCGAGATTTGGAGCTCGTAGTTACTCTGGAGCTCGTAGCTCAGTAGATCGATGTTTGCAGTGATCTCGCCACTGTTTTTGTTCACAAAGAACACGGGGTTGGGAGGGTTTCCTTTTACTATCGCGAACTGGACGCTGTCCAGGGCATCAGGATCCGCATAAGACACTATGCCACCCGTAATGGATTCTCGTGAAACTATGTAGTGAGCAAGATAAGCATACAGAAATTGCAATCGAAGTGTCAGTCACAGAATCATATTGTGTACAGATCGAGAAAATTCACGCATCTTACCTTGAGCTACAGTGATTTCAAGAACCGCAGCCGTAGCAGCACTGCGATCGAAGGCGCTAACTTCTCCAATTCCTCCTCCGGTGATAAGGAATGCGACATTGTTAGTACTCAGAATGTTAGGTACTAAATCCACTAGAAGCGACGAAATACTTGGAGACCAGATTGTTGTAGCTGACAGTTCCTTTTCCACAGACCACGTGACAAAGGCCGCCTCACCAAAGTTCTCCAATGATTGATTTGAGCTCCACGAAGTGGTGGATTCGTTTATCACTCGTATTTGAATCGAAAAGGGACCAATTCTCCCTGATGGAACAGTGAATCGCAACTGCGCCATCGAGAGATGACCAATCACATCAGGAAGCTGGATGCCCGCAAACCGAAGTACGATTCCAACTGAAGCTCGAATAAAGGAGTCGTACCCCATTGGAAGCGTTTTTCGAGTAGAGTTTACGGCATAGCTTCCAGTAGATGTTTTTGAGATAATATAATCATCTTGAGGTGAAAGGATAGGAAACGTAAACATCTCGGTCGGCAGCACGAGGGAAGGATTCGAGTTTGTACCTATGAATAACAAGACAGCATTGTTAATATATACATGCATAACAAGTTTAAAAAGTGTAGGTTTTTACGAACCTTCAGTAATACTGAGGGATAAATTCGATGTTGTTGGAGCCTCGTTCACATCCAACGCAACCACGTATACGACGCAACTCGTAGCCAACGTACCAAGGCCGTTGTGGTAGGCGCCATCATCCATAACAACTACACTAGCAGATGTCGAGTTTTGTGTACTAGACTCAAAGTCGAGATTAGATCCACTCGTAACAACTAATTGACCACTGCTCGGATTCACAGATAGGAACGGGTGCTGTAGCGAGAATACGAAAGTGGTTCCAATATCAGCATCAGTAACGTAGGAAGATAACGGGGACCCAACGAGAGTTCCAGCTGCAGCACTTTCATCCATATAAGCCAAGATACCTGTCTGGCAAACAGGTGGCACATTGTTTGCTACGACGTTAACAATTATCGTGGTAGTCACCGCGAGTCCTTTCAAATCGGCCACTTTAGCTATTAGTATGAAGCTGTTGCCTGTTTGGAGTTGCTGAACGCTTCGCAACAAGGCCACTGTCAGCTCTCCGGATTGTGGGTTAACAGCAAAGACGCCAGCTCCATCCTTCACGTTTGTTGTTGGAAAATTTGCTGACGATACGAGAGAAAACGTCAGCACATCCCCAAAATCCGGATCTACGGCCTGCAGAACACCTATCACAGTTCCTAATGTAGCGTGACTTGCCACCGCAAATTCAAGATTCGTAGTAGTATTAGGAAAGAAAGACGGAGGTTCGTTGCAATCCAAAACCGCAAGTCGTAGAAAAGTAGTTGTGCACATGGTGTAAGGATCGCATGCTCGTAGCATAATCTCATATTGCGACATCAATTCGAAGTTTAGAGAAGCCTCCAAAGACACGTCAGGGCTGCCATTATCGCGGAAACTAAGCAGGCCAGCATAAGCTCCACTCATCACTTGGTACGTCAACTGCTGACCTACATCATCGTCACGAACGTCCCAAGTAAGTAATATCGTGCCAATAGTAGTATTTTCTGGAACTACTAAATCTAGAATACCGACGCTTGTAGGTACTTCATTGACGTCCAAAATTTGAACCATCAAATGTCCAATCGAAGTCAAAGAAGGTGTTCCTTTATCTGTCACACGAACGTTGATCCACGCTTGGTGAAGTTGCACCGTTTCAAAATCCAGGAGCTTTGGTAGAGCAACGCTCACTAATCCGCTTTCCCGTTCCACAGAAAATAATCCTGCCACAGATTGGTCAGCTATCTCGTACGAAAGAGTACCCGACTGTTTCAAATCCGGGTCGAATGCCTGAAATGAGTAGAAAGATCCATTGGTGCCTTCTACCACTTGAACGTCTTGGTTAAAAACTACTGGATGTTCATTGACATCCATGACGTGAATAGTAAGGTTACATATATTGCAAGCACCACCAGTATCACATGTTGAAAATTGGAAGCGATATACATCGCGTGCTTCGTAGTCCAGTGAAATACTACCCAAGATAAGGGACGCATTATCAAATCGAAAGCCACCAACCCCTTCAGTATCGATGAGCGAGAAAATTGGATGCAAACGTAGATCCCCCGCGTCAGCATCAATGCTTTCAAACTGAGGTGTGATAATTGACCCAGTTGGACTATTTTCCTCAACAAATCGAACTTCAGAATGACACGAAGGCGGCTCATTCACGTCAAGTATCTTAATAACCACTTCCGCGCAAGTTTCCAACAGGCTATCAGTAGCGCAGATTTGAAGCGTATATGAGGATCGGCTTTCAAAGTCTAATATAGCTGTCGAAGACGCTGATATTTCACCAATACCAGAATCGATCCTGAATGTGCTGCTGTCACCAGATTTGATAGAATAGAGTAACTGGTTGCCCGTGTCTGGGTCAGAAGCAGAAACTACGCCCACCACAGTTTTGCTTGCTGCGTTTTCTTCCACTGCAAGTATGTGCAGAGTCTGTTGAAACACTGGAGGCTCGTTGACATCAAGGACGGCAACCGAAATAGGGACTCCTAGTCGCGCTTTGCCCGAATCGTAAACTGATACCACTAAATTCACTTTTCTCGGCATTGTTTCATAATCCAAAGCCTGCTTTGATCTTAGTTGCCCATTACAACCATCTAAGGAAAAGTATGGTGAATACTCTGAAGCTTCCAACACGTAGCTCAGGGTGTTATTCTCGGGATCCCAGACAAACGTAGACAATGCAACACCAATAGCTACGCCCTCTTTCAAATTCTCGTGGGATGAGGTTTCAATGCTAGTTCCAGTATACAACTCTGGTGGTTCATTTACGTCTGCAACTACAATATTAATTGTTGAGTTGACGCTCAATGATGTTCCTCTCTTGGCAACATTTACTGTCAAGTTTTTCAACTGTACAAATTCAAAATCGAGCGGTTTCAGTAGAACAAGCTCTCCAGTTATTCCATCAACAGCAAATTCTTGCTCATTCTCCACCAGAGAAAACGACAACTTATCGTGAGATATTCTGTCAGGGTCAGTAGCTTTGACGAGAAGTAGCGATCGAGGAACAACTCCGTTCTCCTGTACGATTAAGTCGTAAGCTGCTGACAATTGAGGAGCTTCCTCTTCGTTCAGTATAGACACATACACCATGTCTCGTGCAGCCAGAAACCCACCGTCGGTCACTTGAACGTGAATAGTGACCTCTGACGTTGTTTCGAAATCGAGAACACCAGGCGTGAGTATCGTAATATCACCGGTCACGGAGTTTACTGAAAAAACACTCGTGTTAAATAGACTGAATCGGAGAGAGGACCAAGTTGGATTTGTATCATAATCAATCGTTTGGATCGTCATAACGAATTCTCCTTTCGCTGCGTTCTCTCGGATGAAACCTCTTTGTCCTGTTAAAATCACTGGAGCTTCATTCACATCTTCCAACTGAATAGAAATTGTAGTGTAAATCGATCGTGGCATTTGTGCGTCATCCGTGATTACTAAAACACAGTACATAACTGAATTTATCTCGAAATCAAACTTGCCGGGAGTTTGAACGACCAATTTGTCAGAAAGACGGTCAACTGTAATAGGACAGTCAGGATCAACAATTTGAACATTCAGTTTTTCAGTCGACTCTATCGACTCTGCCACGAACTTGCCAATTACGGAGCCTTTACCAGAATTTTCAGTCAGTACATAAGATGTCGACGCATATGAAGGAGCGTCGTTTGCATCGATGACCTCAATTTTGCCAGTGACACTGTCACTAAGTCCAGAATCGTCATAAACCTCTGCCGTAAATCGCAACGACTGCTGCATTTCAAAGTCAATCCAACGTCGACGAACCGTGACAAATCCTGATTGAGGATCAATTTGAACACCTGATGGTCGATCTGAGTCGCGCAGATGGTATCGTAGGCTTTGACCAATATCCTCATCAGTTGCTGTAAGTGGGCCTGGCACTTGAAAATCTGTCAAACAGGTTTATTCAATAACCCGTTAGATATCATCAACAATCACAAAAAAAAAAAAATGGCATACCTGAATCCGGTCCATACAGCTCAAGACGAAGACATGGACTATCACGCCAACTTCTAGGAATGATTCGAATGTCCTTAGCATTCACATTAGGGAGAAAGACATTAGCCGACACCCCGTTGCTTGCACTACCGTCTAAAGCAGCAAAATTGATCTCTGCGTTTGAGCTATCCGTAAGAGCCGAGAATTCTTCAGTGCTTGAGCGCCGCCATACTACCTGAAACGCTTTCAAGTACCCAATGTTGCCATTGTAGTCGATTCCTGGATACACTTCAATTCGAGAAACAATCGTCGCCTTTGGAAAGCTGATTTGAACCCATTCAAAAGACGAGTTGGAACGAGGACACCACGATCCATTCACGTTGTCACTACGGAGGACACCAAGTCCATTGTATCCGTAACCGTGACTTTTTCTGTTATCAAGAAAGCTACTTGCTGTCAGAGCATCTGCCCTGAGCATTGGACGCGATGAATTGCCGATAAGTTTGCTGTCAGAATCTAAAAAAAACAAAAATCATAAGCATCAGAAAAATAGTGAAGCACACAAGTCTCACGGAGAATAGCAACTTACATTGTGTACAACACGCGAGTTGGGCGTTGCCTGCGTTCAGTTCTGCTTTCACAGCACTATTCGAACACGGTGATACCTTTATCGAACCTTGGCTGGCTGTCGGGAACGTTGCAGGACTGTAGTGCGGATCAATACAAAGTGTCTCCAAATCCATCAAGTCGCACAGACGTAACCCTTGACCAGCGCAGTATTCACTTCCTTTGGCATAATCCACACCGCTAACACCCGTATTTGCTACGGCATAGAAACTAGGAACTTCATTCAACAACAAAATATTAGTCGAAAAATCATGCAACGCAATTCAAATAAAGGCATTCGTACCTGAATATAACGTCAGTTCTTGCACTTGAGCTAGAGCTATCGCACCAGAAAAATAGTGAAACCGCGTGATCCATCCTGTAAAAAATGCTAGCTGCGACGAAAGGACTGCTTGCTGTGCGATAACTGGTGATCCCCAGAATATCAAAGAGGTAGTGTCGAGACGGCCATCGATATATACTCTAAGGGTTTGGTCACTTATCGCAGAAATGATTGCAATATAATGCCAAGCGCCGTCCGACAGGACTTGGTGTCCTTGAATGAGAAAAGAGCTGGCGGTAACGTTTAGTTTTCCGTCGCTTCCTATAGACACTTCAAAGTAATCGCTTTCCGTAGATCCAACTAGACGCAATATGTTCCCTCCGTTTGTCTTGGTGCGCACACTCATAGCGACACTAAAGTCTACGTCACCGAAAACAAAGTCATACGTCCCATCGAGAAGGAGGTCATGGGAATTATTGCCGAAAAACTTGCCGCCAGGAGTCATATAGTGTAGAACTCCACCAATACCGTCGTCCAGTTGAGCAATCTCTGTAATTGTCAGCACATTCTGAGCAAAAGCATCAAATTTTGGGGCTTCGTTGATATCGACGACAGATATCGTGAGATTTCCGCAACCTCTCATCACTGCAACGTAATCATTTCTCGCTCCATCATCCATCGCGCAAAGAACAAAAGTGACCGAGGGCTCCGCTTCATAGTTTAGCATTGGTGGCCAGAGATACACATCTGACGTGTTTCTGCTTACAGGTCGGAATTGAATCCTGTCGGTTCCAGGAAGGGTGAAAAATGATAAAACGCTTCCGTCGTAAGAATCAACACCCCATACCTGACCAATTCTTGTACCAATTCCAGTATTTTCATCCAAATGAAACACGAAATTGTCAACAACCGGCGGGGAGTTTACGCTACTGACCGAGATCATCAAAACCTGGTTTGTTTGTGATTGTAGTCCATTCCCAAGCGTATCGATGGCGTCAACAGAAATATTGAACACTTCCAACGCGCTAAGTTTTCGCGACGTTTTAAGTACGCCCAAATTAGTTAAGACAAACGCTTGGTTGGAGTTGCCACTGACAATGTAATACCGCAAGTCGGCCCCGTTCCCGTCAGGATCCAACGCGGCTACACGATGCATTTCACTTCCAATAGTTGAGGACTCTGGGATGTTGATTTGAACCACAGACTCCGTAAAATATGGAGCTTCATTTACATTCGTGATAGCAATGTTAACAAGAACGTCCACGATGTTTCTACCCTTGTCAGCGGCCTGGCACGAGAGCTGGATCATCGTTAATGCCTCAAAATCCAAGAGGCCAGAGTTTTGCACCGATAGTTGACCCGTACTGCTCACGTTAAATGCTCCATTTACAGGTACAGATGAAACCAGCTTAATAGTAATGCTGTCACTAGTATCTGGATCCGAGAAGTAGCTGCTGATCGTTGTACCGACCAGCGAACCATTTGCAGTCTGTTCTGGAATGCTCATATAAATTGGAAGTGACACCGTAAGTTGTGGAGGTTCGTTGACGTCAATCACAATAACAGTGAAGGTTTGCGATACTGAGAGGCTGTTTTCGCCTGTGTCGGTCGCCGTGACAGACATTTCAAAGCTTCGTTGTTGTTCGAAGTCAATTCTTGCTCCTCGCACCTCAATTTGAGCAGTTGATGAAGACGTTTGAACAACTCGGAAAGCAGTACTGTTGCCATCTCCAGCAAACGTAGAAGCGTACGAGAACGAGAGGGTTTGATTTTCCGGATCAAATCCTTGTACTTGAGCAACAACGGTTCCCTGTGGTGTGTTCTCCATTATGGGAAGCGCCGTGACATACATGACAGGTGGTTCGTTAACGTCAATAACGTTGATAGTAACATCACTGGTTACGGTTAAACCGTCGATATCAGTGGCCTTAACTTGGAAGGTATAATCCACGCGTGCTTCGTAATCGATGCCACTATTTGCAGCAACGAAGAGCTGTCCTGAAGTCGAGGAGAGTTCAAACGGAATAAGCTCTCTTGCAGGAATTATTGCAAACGTATAGTTTCCAAGAACTCCGTCAGGATCCATCGGGGAAAGTGGACTGCCAATTTGTGTATACGCTTTCGCGTTTTCCTTTACGGAGAAAATCTGAGGGCTTAGCAGGACAGGAGGCTCATTCACGTCAGTAACTTTCACAAGAATCCATTCTTGGCTCGTCAATTCGGAATCTGTTACCTGAATTAGCAAGCGGTAGGAGGATTCAGCTTCGAAATCTAGCGAGTTGTTCTGGCCCAAAACAAGTTGACCAGTCTCTTTTTCAATAATGAACAATCCTGGCTGATTCTGTTGACCAATAGAGTAGTAGAGTTTCGAGTTTTTGTCCTGGTCAATGGCCTGAAGCGGGGCTCCTACCACCGTACCAGGCGCGCTGTTTTCGGGAATAGATCGTTCAACAGCTTTACTGACAATAGCATCAAATGTCGGTACTGACACAGCTTGCCAGCCAGCTGAGTTAATCATAGTTTCCAACGATACTGGGCTGTCTGACGGTGAATATAGGAAAACGATAACCCTGTGAACCCCACGATGTACTTGGCCAACTGTAACCTCTTCGCCGTATTGTAAGTCAAATCCAGGACGGAATAATGGTTCCGAAGAATACAGTGCTTGGTCGATAAAGAATACAGCATTGATCGCAACATCAGCCAGAATACGAAAAGCCATATCGCTATTCGTCTTAAGAAGAATTTTCCACTCGATCATTGCACCATATTCACCTTGGGAACCATCACGACAAACGGCGTTTTTAGAAAAACTCGCAGCACTATCAATAGTACCACTGCAAAAACCACTCGGTTGGCTAGCAGACCGAATAGCAGTCACGAGATCTACGCCTGTTAAGCTGCTAGTGGGGTCAGCGATAACGTTTTTAGTTTCGAATCTGATTGAATAATCAGCTGTAAAGATTGGTGCCTCGTTGACGTCACGAATGGCAATTGTAATCGTAGCTGATGAAGTCAACGATGGCAAGCCGCTGTCTCTTACAGCAACAACGATCTTGTACGATGCGGATCGTTCGAAATCAAGTGAGTTTGAACGTTTCACGTAGACCTGCCCATTACAGGATTGAATTCCAAAGAGATCATATGCGTCCTCATCTACAATGCTATACATCAAGCGTTGTCCACGATCCGCATCAGAGGCTAACAGTGGAGAGCCAACCAACGCACCTTCGCCAGCGTTTTCTTCGATACTAATTTGTGCTGGGAGAATAACCGGTGGTTCATTCACATCGTTGACAGTAATCTGGAAGGTCGAAAAGGAACAAAGGCCTCTGGAATCACAAGCATGTATCGTTGTAGTATACTGGGCCACTACTTCGTAATCCAACTGAGCACGTGACACCACCAGCTGGTTGTCCTTAAATTCGAACGGCAAAGCTGTTGCTGTTCCGTTGATACTGTATGTGACGTTGTCCCCTTCTGGATCCATGGCTATTATGTCTAACGGATTCAAGACCGCAGTATTTACGGGACTGTTCTCATTAATAGATCCGCTTGAAAGTTTGAAGACAGGAGGTTCATTCGTATCCACTACGCGGATTTCAACTTGTTGAGTGCTTGTTAGTCCACCTAGATCCGTTACTGTCACGTCAAGGTGATACATACTGCGCTTCTCAAAGTCAAAAGCACTAGTATCTGTAACGAAGATCTTTCCAGTTACATATTCGATTCGAAACAAGTAGCTGATATTGCTACTGAGTAGAGAGAACCCCAGTTTATCGTCTTTGTCAGGATCATGAGCTGTCACGTTGAGCACAGCCACAGAAGAATCCTGGGATAGAGCTTTCGTAAATTCAAGCACTGAACCAACTTGACTAGGTACAATGAGTGGTGGCTCATTCACGTTAACTACAAAAACCGTGACTGTTGCATTTGATGTGCAAGATTCCACTGCGTCATCAGTCGCGAAAACAACGAGATCTACTTGTTGCTGTACCTCATAGTCCAGTTTGGATGAGTTCGATATCATTAGAATCCCCGAGGTTTCAATTGTGAAAATATCCGAGTTCACGGTGAAAGTAATTCTTCCACTCGAGTGAAGACTATAGTCTTCATCTCGAACTGTGATAGCGTCTCCAACGAATGTACCCGCCGCACTATTTTCGTGAATATGTCGTACCTGTTTCGATATTTGAGGGCAATCATTTGTGTCAATGACGTAAATGATAACCGGACACTGCACAGTGTTAACACCGTCACTGATCGACATAACTAGCGCATAATAGGGTTGTTCTTCGTAATTGATCAGTGAGAGATCTTTTGCAAACACAGCGCCACTTGTGTTGGAATAGAACAGTCTGTTCTCGCTAATAGTGAACGTTAAATGACCAACTTCAGGGTCTGTAGCATCAGTCTGCAGTATCCATTTGTCGTATCCAACAAGATTCTCGCGAACAGATGCTGACTGCCCAGTACAAATAGGAGGTTCATCAACGTCGAGCACACGTATTATTATCGGGCAGATAATGTAGTTCACCGAGGAATAGTAAACTGCGATTGTTAGAGAATAGATGGACTGACGTTCGTAGTCCAAAGGCAGAAGGTCGTTGACTACAACATCGCCAGTCGTGGAGTTCAGTGTAAACGGCACCAGCGAGTCTTGGAGGGTATAAGCTTTCGCAGAATATGACGACGGCAAGAATCGTACTCTACCAACCGTAGCTCCCACAGCGTTTTCTGACACAGATAAGCTTTGCTCTTTTCCCAAACATTGAATCGGGGGCGGGTCAGCCAAAACAGAGAGCGAACACAAAATCTGCACTCGATTATACCCATCATTCACTTCGATCGACACCACCGCAGCAGAAGCACTTGAAATGCTAGTAGCTTTGTTCACGAACAGAACTTGATCATCTGATATTGCAAATTTGTCTTGGTCGACCGACGACGTGGTAATTGAAAACTTAAGCGTTTTTCCTTCAGGATCTTGTAGGTCAAATTTGAGTATCCGGTGACCCACTGGTGCAGTTTGATACACCGAGCCATTGTAATACATTGCTCCTGATGGAGGCTCGTTCACGTCGATTATCTCAACGATTACCACGCAATTCCCACTTAATCCACCGTGATCAACAACTTCCACTGCAACATGATAAAACCGCCGGGATTCGTAATCCACTAGCTGTTTTAGAATCAATCTACCACCACTGTCAACCGAGAATGTTTCGCTTTCGTTTTGAACACGGTATGTAAAATATCTGTCATACGAATCTTCGTCTGTGACGATTACGGGTTCCGATACCAGAGTATTAATCGGCGCATTTTCATTGATGTGGATGTGCGGACATGTGATCCTTGGTGGATCATTCGCATCCAGTACCGTTATTGCAAGTATGTAACTCGCGGTAATATCGCCATTCCGAACTGTTACGTTAAGAGAATGCGTAGACAGCTCTTCGTAGTTTATTCCGCGACTTCCCACGTGCAAATAACCAGTCGAGGCATCCAAATAAAACGATCCAAGGATACTTTGAGACGCCAATGAAAATTGCAATGCTGTCGATCCTTCAGGGTCATCAAACAGCGACGTCATAGCAGGCTCGATACGTGTTCCAATCGGTGTGTTCTCAACAACTTGAACGGTTATGTTGGGCAGCAAGACGGGGGGCTCGACTTGATTCAGTAGCTTGATATCAAACATTTTTGTTGAAGAAAGCGCATCTGGTGACGAATCGTGCACCGAAATAATGACTTGGAAAGTTTTTTTCAGTTTAGCCACGTCAAATAATCGGTACCATTCGGTGTCCCTCAACTTCCCATCAAGCACATGGCCAATGCGTAGTCGTGGTAGCTCAAACGTTATTGTTCCAGTGACAGTATTGCTGTTTGCCACAGGTTCAGCGGTAATGTTAGTAGCATAAAATAAATCTCCTGACGTATCTACGCGCACGACCAACACTTCTCGTAGTGATGTCCAAAATGCTACTGGCCCCTGCGCACTTCTTGTGTAGAGAATTTCTACAAGAGATTGAGACTTGGTCTCTCCAATGAAACGTACACCTGTAATGGTTACTTGGTCAGTATTGTGTATTAGAGAAGCTGAACTTTCCATGCTATCAAACAGCAGAGATTCATAGTCAAAGCAGGTCGTTTTCGCGACAGATAGTTGTCCAGAATGTGCTCCAATCTGCAAACAGCCGTCGCCACTTTGAGACGCAATAGAAAATTCAACGCCGCCACCTTGATCCGGATCATACGCAGCTACTGGCAGTCCAATCAGAGAGCCATTCGGCATATTCTCACGCAATTCGAAGTCAGAATAGAAAATGATTGGAGGCTCGTTCACATCTCGAACGAAAACAGTCAAATTGCTGTCTGCCGTGAGTGATCCATTATCAGTGACCCGAAACGTCAATACGTAGGAATGCTTTTGTTCATAATCGAGCGCTATGTTAACGATCAACTGATTCTTAGCACCATCATATTCAAAGGGGCATGTCCGCTCACTACACCAAACCAGTGATACCCTCGATGTGTCACTTGAGTCTTCATCTCCAATAAATAGGACTTTGAACAAGTCCACTGTTGTCGCTTTCCCTTCGTCAACATAAATGTCGGATGTTGCAATCGTTGGAGCCTCGTTTACATCAGTCACATCGATTGTAACGTTGAATACGGTAGCCATTGCAGGGTTCCCATTATCAACTGCCTTCAGTAGAATAACGTAACGATGGTTTTTTTCGTAGTCCAACGGAGCACCCAACTGATAAACCGCGTATTGATTTATTCCGCCGCAACTTTTTCCAGGCGCATCATTGCATACTATATCACACGTAGTTTGAGTGAGTCGATTTTCCATTAAACCAGGCATCATGTTAGAACACCAGCACTCGTAACCGAAGCCTAGAGCCATGAATTGGAACGAAAAACACCTTTGGTAGCAATCGCTGAACGGGATAAAACTTTCGTCCGTATTAAATGGCCCTATCAAGCCATTGCGAAGATGCGAAAAGCACCCGGTAAAGTTCTGTGCTGGGCCCTGAGCTACACTAAGTTGACCTGTTACTGAGTCCACCGCGAAAAAACTGTCTCCATTTCCATCAACAAAAGTGAAAGAAACCCTCTGGCCGATATCAGGATCCGTTGCGACAAGAGCATCTCCGATGCGAGTTCCAACGCGCGCATTTTCGGGGACCTTTCGTGTTTGATTGCTGCAAATAGGAGCCTCATTTACGTCACGGACAGTAACAGCAAGGTATCCGTAGGCAGAAAGCGGATTCACCGGACGTAGCTCCTGGATTAAGAGCTTTAGCGAGTACGTCGGGTACGTTTCGTAATCCAATACTTCGTGCGCTACCACTAATGAATTCATCTCGATGGAAAATGCATCTTGATAGTTGCCCTCGACTATCGACACAGCTAGATCATCATTATCGGGGTCATAGAAATTAATTCTCTCGATTGTCGTTCCAACTCCCGCAGTTTCAGAAACTTGTAAAATGGAGTTAGCTATCAGCATGGGAGCCTCGTTCACATCCACAATCCAAATCATTACCGTCGTCCATGCACGCAAGTTGCCATTATCCTGTACGTTTATTTGAAGTTCGTAGTAATTCTGAGTCTCGTAATCCAGAGCAGAGGTGTTTATTTTGATGTAACCCGTCGAAGAATCGATTTCGAAGAGAGAAGCGAAGTGATCGCTTCGTAAAGTGTATGTTAGGTTGGTCGTACCGGTGTCATCGTCATCTGCTAGTAAGTACTGTGTGGGAGCTGCACAAAAGACGAGTTAGTAAAACGCTTAATGTACATACGAAAATAATAGTGAAACTCACCATACGAAGCAAAGCGCGAGGATGGCTTGTTGATGTTTCGAAGATACGACGATGCTCCCCAGTCCGCTTTGACAGCGTCCCAGTATTGAATTATGACAACGGATACGCAGTGTGTCAGATCGTTATCGGTGTCGAGAACCACTTTGGTTGCGCTAACTGGAATCTTAAAGACAAGTTCTATCCATATACCTGTACCGCCGACAAAGTCAGAACCTATCTTGGCGATTGTGGTTGTGTCGCTATCAATTGCTTTGCTGAAATCTGAGCCTCCGGACGTTTTGAAACTTAAAAGAGATGTCGCCATGTCTAATCTTGTACCCTCTGAAAACCAAACAAGCTCCGCGATACCAAACGATGTAGCCCCATTGTCCGAAATAACTAATAAGCGCCATCTTTTAGCCACTTTTCCAGTCGACTCACTGATAACTGGGGCGCTTCCGAATTGCGCAACTTTACCGTCAGAAGTGTTCATGGAAGATCCGCTAGACATTGCATCCACGAGATCGCCGTTAAGCCTTCAAAGTTAAACACAAAGGAGCGTTAGCACAAAATGAACAAATATGGTGGAGTGAATATCGCTATAACCTGTAGAACGCGAGCAGAGAAGTCTGCTTTGGATCGATTGAGCGAGCAAAGTTTGATCGTATGGCCTCAAAAGTCATGACTTTGTTCCACAAACGTAACTACAGTACGAAAACACCAAGATAAGTTTAATAAACGCCACACGGTACAAAAAAAGCACAACTAACCTCGTCGATGGAGAAGATGAATGGTTTCACCGGACAGTTTACTCCATAACCACAATTGCCAACCACAAGTGTAGCTGATGTGCCCCATTTCCTTCCAATACGAGACAGAATTTGCTGCTGGAGAACGACTCCGCCATCCAGATACACTTTCAGCTCACCTTGAGTACTATCAAAAGTTAGAGCCACATGATACCAAAGAGCCGGCATGAACGCTACTTTAGTGTTGATCACAACTCCGTGTAAACTGATCCGTAAAGTTTCCCCAACATATTCCAGCTGCAAGCCCGTAAAAGAATTGCTGTTGTCTTTCCAAGTCACAAGCGCCCCCTCATTCGCACTAATAGCGACCCAGCACTCCAGCGTGAAGTCTGTATCAGGTACACGTACCAACTTGTCTTGGTGCACATTCACAGTATCATTTGAAATCAAAAGTGCTGTGTTAATTGAGTGTTCACCGATACTTTCAAAGCTTTCGCAATTCTCGCATGGCACACACGACGTCGGTAACGTTTTGTATAAACTGCACAGCGACGAGGAATAATTGAAAACACCAGCCTCACAAGTTTCCATTTGTGCACAGCGCTGTAAGCAAATTCCATACGCTACAACAGTTTGACTGTCAATTCTTGCAGTATCATCCACAATTGTGCACGGACCACGAGGTCGATATTTAGAGGTCGCGATAGTATGCATGGCAACGTTTTCAGCAATAAAGAAATGCTGGTTGGTCGGGAAATATGGAGCTTCGTTGACGTCAGAAACTCGAACGTCTATCGTAAGCGTCGCTGACACCTTTGCTGTATCTGTCGCAGTCACTTGGAGTGAGTAACGTGAACGAGTCTCGTAATCCAGTGGCTTGGCTAGAACAAGATTGTAGGCCGTAGAATTGATCGATTGAACCACGAAGGCAGAATTTACTAATGCCACTGTACATACATCATTGGCATCTTCGTCATAAACAGCCAGGGTGCCTACCGAAGTGCCAATAACAGCCATTTCTGGGACGTCTACGCCAACCAATGTCGAACTTGGAAAGGTAGGTCGGAATGACAACTTGGGAGGGTCATCTTGGTCTAGTATCTCCACATTAACACCAAGAAGAGTGCTCTTTGCGGGTCGAAAAGCATTCCGGACTATCAGTGTGATGTTGTAAGCTCGTTGCTGTTCAAAGTCAAGCATTTGAGTAGCCTTTAGTTGGCCTGTAGCAACGTCGGCTGTGAACTTCTGGTTGTCACCGACAACTTCAAAAAGAAAAGCCGTGGAATTCCCCAGACCGACGTCTGGATCAATGCAGATCTTCCAGAGAGCATCTCCAACTAGAGCATTCATCGCGTTATTTTCGGATACGGTCGTGAATACTGTTGCAGAACATACCGGAGACTCCAGTTCATTCCCGATATCAACACCCAAGGTACAAACGCCACTAAGCGGGGTCGCAGAATCATCTCGAACGCGAATCTTAAGAGTATATCGACGTTTTGTTTCGTAATCAGGTGACTTGGTCCCTACAGTAACAACACCACTCGTCGAATTTATGTGAAAAACATCACTGTCATCGCCGGACACGATGGAAAAAGATACTTTGTCAGTGACATCTGGGTCACTGCCTGTAATAGTGCCAACAATAACACCATAAGGCGAATTCTCCAAAACCTGGACTTCCGCACTAGTGCACTTTGGAGGGTGGTTAATGTTGCGAGACAAAACATGAATCGTTACTTCACTGAACGACGAAGCGTTGACAGTATCCGTAACCCGCAATCCGACACTGATACGCTCATTGTCTGCTACTTCAGGGATGTATACATCTTGTAGAACCGACAGCTCACAAGCCGTTCCATCGGTGCTGGTTTTAATTGAAAACTTATCGTTCGCTGTAGTAATCGAGCAAATTCCACCAATCTGCCCCGGATCTCTGTCCGCTATGGGCAACGAAACTGTAGCGTACGAGCCGTCACCCAACTGGCTCAAATCAACGTTGTAATTGGCCTTGGCAGCAGCAGTCCCAACGAAATAAGGCGGTGAGGGTACCATTTGCACGGCAATTATTATCGGGTCTGAGTACCCGATCAAGCCGTCTGCATCGGTAGCCTGCATGATTATTTTGTACTCGCTCACGACCTCAGCATTCAACGAAGAGCTCACTGTCAAGGCTCCTGTTGATCCGGATATTGAAAATTGATTCTGTGGATCTCCTGAGTGAATCGCGTACACAAGCTGTGAACTTTGTCCCACGTCTTCATCCAAAACCGTAAACGTAGCTCCCACAGCGGACCCAATACTAGCGCTTTCAGGAATAGAGACCGTCGCAGCTGCTGTCTCGATGATCGGTGCGTCTGGACCATCCATTATTTCAATCGTATTTGGTCCAACCTCAGTGCACAGTTTAAGCGGGTCACAAATACGGATATGAGTCTGAAACGAGTGAGCGGTCAAAGCTTCGTAATCGATATCAGCTTTCGTCACGATATTCCCACCTACAACGCCAAACAAACTGTCGAATCCGGTATCCGCGCGCACGATCGTAAACACAAGTTGATCTCCCTCAGGGTCACTGGCCTCGAACGTGTAAACCACAGTTCCAATTGGAATATTCTCGAGAATTTTCTTTGTAAAAATCTTGCCAGTAGGGGGTTCATTCACGTCGACAACTTGCACTGCCATTGCAGTCTCGTCGTGACCGTGTCTTTCGTCGTCAACCGATACAATAATTTTGAGGACAGGGGTCTTTTCAAAGTTTAAACTCCCGGTTGCCCATAGTTGCGAGCCCTGAATGGAAAGCGAATCGCCGCCTGAAACCAAAGTGAACGTGAGAACTGTGCCCTTGTCCTCATCAAACGCGAACTTAGCCAGATCTCCAACCAAACAATCGTTTCCGGCGCAATTTTCTGGAACACGGAAGACAGCACTAGTCAAAACGGGGACATCGTTCGAGTCCGTGACAGCGATAGTGTAGTCACACGTAACTTGAAGGCCCGTTTTATCCGTAAATTGTGCTCCGAAGGGGATAGTATCCTGAATTTCATAGTTGAGCGCTTTCTGTAAAGTAAGTGCACCGGTTGATGAGTCAATAGATAGTGTTCCCGGGACACTTTGAGAAAGTAGTCGATATGTAATAGAGTCTCCCGCGTCAGGATCTGAAACGTGAGCATTCATGGTTCCAATATTTGTCCCGACCACTGTATTCTCTGCTACATTAAACGGGAAAGAAGCACAGACTGGTGGTTCTGGGCCATCTTGGACAACAATCACAACGCTAGCGTGATTTTCCAACCCACCTAAATCTTTCGCAATAACATCCAATACGAACTGGGGTGTTGTTTCGAAGTCTAGTGACTTGGTCGCCACAATAAACCCTTCTCGGTTGATCACGAAGTTGTCATTTCCACCGCTAGCTATCGCCAATGTAAAGGAGTCATACGCATCAGGATCGGTAGCACCTAAAGCCGCTGGAAGTGAGACCGGCGGAAGAGCATTCTCTTTAATAACACGGGAGGCTTGGTAATTGGTTACAACGGGCGCTTCGTTGACGTCTACCACGTTCACACGGATCTGGCATGCTGCGTATGGAACGGTAACTTGGTTTTCTTGTAACAACAACATCAAATCATAGGCGTTACGAGCTTCATAATCTAGAGCTTTTAGAAGCTTTACGCGGTTTTGGTTATCCAACGTAAATAAACCATCTACCGGAGCTTTGAGTTGGTACGCCATCCCAGCAGGAGAGACATCCAGATTAAAACTGACGCTTGAAACAAATCCAGCGTCATTTTCGTTAACATTCAGAGTGTGCTTCTTGTCCACACAAACTGAAGCAGGAAAGACATAAGAAAGTGCGCGGACTCCAC